GTTGTTCCTTGCGCGGCGCGGGCCCAAATTTGCTCGCGACGAGGCTGGATGGCGTTTGGCCAATCACAGTGACCGTGCTAGTCGGATAGGGTGGATCCGTCTCTTGCGGTCTCTCCAGGTCTCGCATGTTCTTCCACTCAAAAACACCAGACATCTTAGTGGTCAATACTATAGTGGCAATTGAGGAGCCAAATGATGAATTTTAAAGATACGGTTTTGTATTGTAGCCTGCTTTTTTATCCTTTTTCTTTGGGAGAGTCCGGTGCTCTCATGGCGCCGCAAGGCGACGACTGCTTGTTACGGAACCATGAGTCCCGCCACGGATCCATCTTGTATTAAGCATAATTCACATTTGCATCAGTTTCCCGGCAAAAAAACTAGTGTACGCCCCCAATGAATTCATATTGTATCTTTATGTCCCTTCACACCTCACTCTCAGTACAAATTTTACGCCTGGTAGGTGGAGGCAGAGATGTTGCCGCCACGGCCGGTCCAGTTGACGTGAATGTCCTTGCCAGTCTGGTACTTGTCATTGGCGGCTTCAGGCTTGACACGGAAAGTGTGAGCGCCGAAGTAGTCGCGCTGAGCCTGGAGGAGGTTGGCAGGCAGGTCCTTGGTTCGGTAGCCGTCGAACCACGACAGGGCAGTGGAGAAGGCAGGAGTAGGGATACCAAGCTCAGCAGCCTTGGAAACAACATCTCTCCAGCCTGGCTGGGCCTTGTGGATGGCCTTGTTGAAGAAGTCGTCAAAGAGTAGGTTCTTAAGTTCGGGGTTCTTGCGGTAGGCGGCTGTGATGTCCTTCAAGAAGACGGAGCGGATGATGCAGCCACCACGCCACATGAGAGCAATGGAGGGTTTGTTGAGCTTCCAGCCAAAGTCTCTGGCGGCCTGGTTGTAAGAACAATTTTTGTTAGTATGGCACTCGACACTGTAATTTGGAGTACAAAGGAAAGACAAGGCAGCGAGGATGGGGTTTGGGGGGCAGGAAAGGAGATCCGTACCTCCTGCATCAGCATAAAGCCCTGGGCGTAAGAAATAATCTTGGAAGCATACAAAGCCTGCTCGAGGTCTTCAAGGAATTGCTCCTTGTTGCCTTCAAACTTGCCGCTGCTGCGCGAGACATACTGCAGCTTGGTGGAAGCCTCAACACGCTCTGGCTTGATGGCAGACAGACAACGAGCCAAGACAGCCTCAGCAATCAAAGTGACGGGCATGCCCAAATCCAACGCATTGACCGCAGTCCACTTGCCAGTGCCCTTCTGGCCGGCCTGGTCAAGAATCTTCTCAACAAGAGGCTTGCCATCGTCATCATTGAAGTACATGATGTCACGGGTAATCTCGATCAGGAAAGAGTCCAAAACACCCTTGTTCCACTTTGTGAAGACATCACCCATCTCCTTGTTGGAAAGGCCAAGACCACGCTTCATGATGTCGTAGGCCTAGAAGTTCAGGTTAGTCAAGGTTCTCATACTGGTGAGTTGATTGGGTCCGCAGCCTTCAATTCAGAGAGTTTTGCGCTGCACTTGATAGTTAAGTGTCTTTAAAGTATAAGATATTAAAGTTATTTTTTTGGAGGAGAAGAGCGTACTGAAACCGCCTGGTATATAATACTAAGTTGACCCTAATTAATTTTTAGTGTTAAAACTATGCTAGAGATCTTTTATTTCTCTTGCACAGTTTCGACACCAAGAATCGATTAGGTCAAGTCAATGTTATACACCACCAGGCGGTTCTCGTATTATATAACGCTTTTCTCCTCTAAAAATAGGATGAACATTATATATTTTAAAGACGCTTAGTTATTAAGTGCAGCGTAAAAGTCCCTGGATTCAAGGCTGCGTTGCGTTAATTTGAGGAGGATTCTTGGGAACATACCTCGCAAATCAGCTGCATGTCACCATACTCGATACCGTTGTGGACCATCTTGACGTAGTGACCAGCACCCTCGTCTCCGACCCATTCACAGCAGGGTTCACCATCACTCTTGGCAGCGATGCCCTGGAAGATGTCTTTGATGTGAGGCCACGCCTCCTCGTCACCACCAGGCATCAGAGAGGGACCGTATCGGGCGCCCTCCTCACCACCGGATACACCGGATCCGACGAATCGGAGGCCCTTGCTGGCCAGGTACTTGGTACGGCGGTTGGAGTCAGGGAAGTGAGAGTTACCACCATCAATAATGATGTCGCCCTTTGAGAGGAGGGGGAGAAGCTTCTCAATCCAGTCATCGACAGCCTGGCCGGCCTGAACGAGCAGCATGACACGGCGAGGAGACTTGAGCTTGCTTACAAACTCCTCAACACTGTGAGCACCAACAATGGATTTGCCCTTGGCCTCATTTTCCAAGAATCGGTCGACCTTGGAGACAGTTCGGTTGAAGGCGCAGATGGTGAAGCCGTGGTCGGCCATGTTCATGATGAGGTTCTGTCCCCTGTTACAGGCTGTCAGCCGGTGCCGCACGGCCCGGGGCATTGTTCGATCTGACGAGGGCACAAACTTACATGACAGCAAGGCCGATGAGGCCCAAATCAGCGCTTGAAACATTGTCAGCACTTCCCGAAGCTTGGATGGACGGAGAGGTTGAGGTGGGCTGGAAGGGTTGGCGAGGTTGCTCGCCGCCGCCAAGCTTGAGATTCGCGAGGCGAGCGCTGTCCCAAGACCATGAGCAGGGTGTCAACAAGGAGAGTCAACGGGCTCCGACGCTGGGTTATGACGACGCAAAAATAAACACCAAAACAGGTCCCGCGATAACAGCCATCGAGGTGCGAAAATATGCGCGGAATTGAGAGGTCACAGCAAGACAGCACACTCTGGGGCGGGGTGGTGGGGTAACAGCAGGAGCAACCAGACGTTGGATGGAGGGGTTGTAGATGAGGCAGCACTTACACGGGGCCGGACATGATGGCGTTGTTGGGATATTGTATGGAGTGGAAATATCTCGAGAGGAAGCTGGAGACGGAGGTGCAGACGGAGGTGGTTTAAGGGAGAAAGGAGAACAAGATCAGGGCCGGAGGAAGAGAGGTGTGGCAGATGAGAGAATTATAACGGGGTCGAGAGATTGGAAGGCGAAGCTTGTTGTTACAGCAAACTGACGCTCGAGAAGTTTGGCGTGACCCGGAAAAGCGGGCAGGGAGGAAACAGTGATTGGCGGGGCGGTAGAATCATCGTCATCAGGGCCCGGCACGGCCGTTTTCAAAAAGCTAGCTTCAGAGGGCCGTCAACATTGAATCTTTCAGGTTCAATTGTGGCGTGTAGCAGAGACGCATGGGAGCATTAACGCAGCATTTGCAAGCATGACCAGTTGACACCTGGGAGACCTGAGCACTCAACCGGAGGACTATCACGAAGCCACAAAGGCAAGTTCCAGTCTCGTTCCTTCCCTGAAAATCACTTGTTCTTTTATTTAGTCAGTCAGTCATACATGACAAACCATTACGTGCGCGGGGCCCTATCTTTGGCTTTCCACCCCACGCCCCATCGTCCCCAGGGCTACGTTTCTGCTGTGGCTGCATCATCATGACCGAGCTGGCCCTAGCTCTACTCGTACAAGCGTCCATAAAGGTTCAAATGCCCCCATTGTATGTCGGCCTTGCTTGCGAGAACCAACACATTGATATTCGGCCATTTAGACATGGGATGCCAAGCTGCTACCGAGGGGTCCAGCGCGTTATGGAAGTGCTTCACAATCCATTCCAAAACATGCATGTCCCAGCCGCGGGACGCCCGGATCACCGCCGTATCAGGATATGAACCAAAAGGAGCAAAGAAAAACCCCAAATATGCACCTGCAATGCACCCCAACGCCCCGGTCTCGTCGTGAAAGGAATTGGCTGCCGCAGACGAACCCACGGGCTGCAGACCAAACCCATCCCGTGGACATGGGAAACGAGTGGTTTTCGATTCTGGTCCTGCTCACCTTGCAGCCCGCGCAAGCCATCAGTGGAGTCTATCATTCTCTTGCCAACGGCCCCATCACTTTTTTGCCGTCTCACTCACCAAACGAGGCTGGCTTGTTGGTACGCGTTGGGGCCACAATACTTACTACTATCTGGGTTGCTGGGCACTTTCCTAGGTACCTGGGTAGTGATTAGTCACTTGCCGGACCACAACGGTCCGTCCAATACCACACCCATGTTGGTGAGGTTGCAATAGGCTCTTGATACGGAGTACGGAGTACACGATCGGTAAATGTGCTTCTCCGGGTAATGAGAGTGCTATTCAACCAATCCACTCAACGTTTAACCTTGAGGCATGTCATACAGACCTGTAACGGACTTAACAGACTGAGGGCTCGATCCGTATTCGACCACCTAGGTAGTTAAACCACATGAACATTGCCAACACCCCATAATGCTTTGTCATAGAGGAGCACTGGCCAACATCTCGCCGTGAGCATCATTTGGGCCGATATCAACTCCTTAAGCCCGAATGTATGGCCCCATCCCCTCAAGCTGTGCGGCATATGTTGACCCCGTCTACCTCACTACTTCTTCGGACGATGGCCCGGCGTGAGCCCCCACGGGACGCCGGCCGAAGCGCGACCCATCGGGACCGGAGATAATTCATCATCACCTCGGGCTTCTAGTTGATGCCCTCAAGAGTCGCTATGGCTGAGGTCGTAACTTTGTAATCCAAAAATAAACGTTCCATCATTGTGCAGCTCTGAATAAGAATAATCGCAAGTGCAACTACCAAGTAGACTTTTGACAGCCTCGAGCTGACCAGGGAGCTGTCAAGTCTCCGAATGATCACGTGATGGGGTTAGTGGCTGGAATTTTCCGTGGCGCAAGGTTGGGTTCGACGTCAAGGCGTCTCGAAAGGCCTTCAGCTATGTTAGCATGAACAACTTAACATCTTGAGACATCGACACAACACGACATAGCCTCCCGGCTGCCAAACCTGCCCAGGCTTTTGCGCAAGAATCAACTTTGAGTGTGTAAAAACTCAAGGTACGTCAAAAACAAGGAAAGGCACTTGTAAATAGGTTCCCTCTGTTCATCATGGCCTACCCGCCTCCTCCAGGCACCAGTTCTCTCCCACCTCGGCCTCCAGCAAACGCTGGCAACAACAACAACACCGGTCGATCGGGCTTCAAACCCGCCTTTTCGACAACCTCAAAAGCCCCGGTGCATACGTATTCGAGCGGTCCATCCTACAACGCTGGCGCATCAGGATATCCTGGGGCCTCGACAGCGAGTCAATATGGCCAATCTACATATTCAAGCCATTCTGGCGCACCCCCCGCCGAAGTGAGTGGCGGGGGACGAGGATATGGATATCAATCAGCACCACGGCAAGGCTACGGTCCTCAGAGCTATTCCCACGGTCCGACATCGTACTCGGCAGCACCCCAAATCAGAAATCCTTTCCCGATGCCAGGCCACCAAGCCGCCGTCGTATCCAACCCCAGCGACTATGACCCCGAAATGGCCGCGCAAATAGCCCAGTGGCAGAGCACATATTCGAGCGAAGCAACCCCAGCCGTCGACAAGAATGGCAAGCCAATCACCCCCGACGTCCCGAAGCCAGAAGTTCCCGCAACGGCTATACCAGGCCAGCCCGACAAGAAGAAGACGGTTGTCCGCCAAGGCGGCGGTAAAAAATGGACCGACGATAGCCTCCTCGAATGGGACCCTGCCCATCTCCGCCTATTCGTGGGCAACCTCGCTGGCGAAACGACAGACGACTCCCTCCTCAAGGCCTTTGCGCCATGGAAGTCCGTCCAGAAAGCCCGAGTAATTCGCGACAAGCGGACGAACAAATCCAAGGGCTACGGATTCGTCAGCTTCAGCGATGCAGATGATTTCTTCAACGCCGCCAAGACCATGAACGGCCAGTACATTCAGAGCCACCCCGTGATTGTCAGGAAGGCCAATACAGAAATCAAGGCCACCAATGTCAAGGAAAAAAGGAACGGGAAGAATAACAGGAATGGTAATTGGAAGAAATCAGGTAATCAGCAGGGTGGCGCTGGTCATGGTGGTGGAAGCGGCACCTACGGTGCGTATGAGCCAGCAGCACTTGGGCCCGTTGCGCCCACGGGTGTGACGAAGCCTGGACAAAAGACCAAGAATGGTCTGCGGCTGCTGGGATAGAGCGTTGTGCTTTTGTAGGTTGGATGCTACAGATGCATCATTTTGTTCTCGTGCAGAATTTGGGCATTTTGGCGTTTGATCTGGCGTTGGGGGGGCCGCGCATATCCCGTACGGCGTTGAACATTGGAATAGTAATACAGCACAAATCCACCCGGTATATTGTCAGTACTTGAGTCACTGTAGATGCGTCGCGGAAACCAAACCATGCATGCACAACGTACATTTCCATTACCGCGTGCTATTGACACGTATCCAATGTCTAGTCCCTTTATATGCTAACGTGGGCCGAGCTTTGGTATTTCCTTCCACCTCTAGATCAATGGTATATCCGAGCCACTCTAGCTTGACTCACTAGCAAAAATAAACCATGCCGAGATCCTCTGCCCTTCCCGCCACCCTATTCTTTTTCCATCCATCCCACAAAACAGATAAAGTGAATGGCCTTTTCCTTAGGTCCAAAATTAGACGACAATATACAAAACATTGAAACAAATAAAATCAACGCTGGAGAACCGGTTTGCAGTATGCTTAAAGTAAAAAATCTCCATCATAAACGCTTTCTTCTATCCACTTTTCATTGCGCGTTCGATGGTCGAGGCAGGTCCGGTTGCACGTCACCATCCACTGTGACAATCCCCTGTTCCTGCTCGTCAGTCCGTTGTAATAGACCTGCGGTCTCTGCGGCCGATTCATCATTGTCCATGTCGCTGCCACTTCCGCTGTGACTGATTGGAGTGATTGGGTGCACGCCCGCATGGCGTTCATGGACTTCAATTTGTGCCTCTTGGCGCATCTTGGTGATCTTGACATAATTGTAGGCGCCAATAGCGGCCATTGTGACGAGGAGACCGATGACGTTGATAGACGTGAGCTTGTCGTCAAAAACAATGGACGCGGCGGAGATGGTTACGACTTCCTTGAAAATGCCTGCAATAGACAAGGTGACGACGGATGTTCGTTGAAGAAGCGCAAATTCGGATGCAATCATGAGGAACGCAATGCAACCTGGGAACAATAGGAAAAGTGGTGTCCAGACACCCCATTCCGCGTTGAGGGCCTTGAGGCCATCCCACAACGGCCCGAAACCCTCAACCGGAATAGCCAGGGAAAAGAGAACGACAAACATGACGGGAGAGAGAAAGAAGATGCTCGAAAAGGGGTTGGAGGTGGCCGGGTTGCGTAGAAGCAGGATCTGCGTAAGAGCCCACCGCAGCCCTGAAAAGAATGCTGCAGAAATGACGAGGAAGAAGCCTCCAAACTTGAATTCGACCTCCCCAAACACCATAAGAATGACACCAAACGTCATCGTTGCGATGATGGCAACGAGGCGCCAAGTTGGCGTTTCGAGACGGAATACGAAGGCGAAGAGCAGGACAAAAGCAAGGGATGAAGATTTGCACATGGCTAGTACTGAGCATTAGCACATATAATTGTCGGCGGTTGTTGGAACATGCAACATACTGTAAAATGTCAAGCTGATAAACTTGAGTGACGTATTTCCCAGTCCGATATCTAGACTAGTAGCGGCACCACACGGGCCAATACGGGTAAAATAAAATATTTTGGACATGACGGATCCCTGAGGCCCAGACTCATGCCTGGATCGGCCGCCGTCAGAGTTGTGTGCTGCTTTTGGCCGTAGTGAGGGCACGAATGTCAAGACCAGGCCTGACAAGACAAACTGCACAATCATATGTGTAGACGTGGTGAATAGGGGAAATGCAAAATTCAGGCGGTCCTTGTCGAACATCCATTTATTATACTAACAAGCCAATGGTCAATCCAGGTACGTGAGGGTTTGAGTCGATCCAAGATTGACACTTACTAGTGAGATGGAGAGCGAAAAGAAGTACCACAACAGGATCAAAACCCCATTCGTGAACAGGCTCCTGACGACATTGCGATCTGCTTCCTTGCGCTCGTCGTCGGAAACATGCTTCTCGCGCGCAATTCGATTGTCTAGCAATGTATTCCTCCTCCGTTTCTTTTGCTTCCGCGATTTATCCTTTCTCGTCAACCCCATTTCCTCATCGTCGTGCAAATCCTCGTCACTGGAACTGTCTCTCCCTGAGTCGTCCTTGGAGCCAGACTCCCCAGTACTCCGACCAGGAACATCGAGATGTTCTTTTGAGCCCTCTTGCAGGCTAGAAGACGTAGGAGCGTTGTTACGGGAGCTTTGGGAATAACTTGGCCGGCCAGGAGCAGGCACACCAGAGAGACTGTGACCACCAACTGGGTTCATGAGACTGCTCTTCCGCCGCCGATGACCCGGAATTGGTTCCATCTCGATATCGTTGCCGGCAGAGCCTGAGCCGACTGCTTGTCGAGACGTAGAAGGATTGGTCGGGGCAGGGGCGATGGCGCCAGAGAACTCGAGTCGAGGATCGAATTGTGAAGCACTGCTGGGAGAAATTGGTGACTGTACTGCGTCGAACGCAACCAGGGGAGAGGAAGGGGAGAGGATAGTATGGGAGGAGGGAGACGATGGGTCTGGGGCCATGATGGAGATTTCGAAGGGTCACAACAAAGCTTCCTAGGCTCGGCAGGGTACAATGTCATCTTGCACTCGCACTTGGACTGGGGCGGGCACGCGACGGTCCAGTCATTGACCAGTACAGGTGGAATTGTATGTCTGGGGTTTTGACGGCACCCAACGGGCGAGGACGTCAAGAGACCTGAGCCACCAGCCGGCACTGGGGCTCCCCGTCCGCTCCGGCGTTTAGGTGGGTAAAATGGCAGGCCAACAGGGGAGCTTATTGGACATGTACCGGAGCCAAAGGAAGAGAGATGTGTGAAACAGTGCAGCTGGCCACGAGATGCCGCCATGCAAGCACAGAATCAGACGGAGGACAGTCCTGGTGTTGCATGAGGGGGGCAGATGAATTGTGGAGATGAACCTCGTCGCTTGGACCGACGGATGAGTGCTCACAGGCAGAAGGCGGCATGGGCGTTTCCAGGTACCGACTAGGAGGCCGACTGGTGCATGTGGCTTGGTACCCAGCCACTTGCAGTTGACTGGTGCATACAGGTAGGTACGTACTCCGTGCAACTGTACCAGCCCCTGGCTCGCGGCAGCTAGAGCACTTTGGGCTGGGTCACAGGGCTAGACGGCGCTGCAAGTCTTCCCCCCCTCCCTAGTTCCGGGTGTCTTGGCTCCCGGAACGTCAACATTGAAAGAACAATAGTATGATCAAGACCGGGCAGCAACAAGACCAAACACCGTCAATTCATCTCAATAGCAGCAATTGATGTGTTGGTTAGCAAGCCAAAGTCTCCAGGCGAATCGGCCTCCTGGGGGGAGGGAAGTGACAGGCTTGCGGCCGCCATGAAGGAATATTGCAGGGCACGCGACAGCCTCCAAATGCTTTACCCACACATGTGCAAGCTATGTCGCGACGACCGCTCACCGTTCAACATCGACGGCCTGTCCATGGGACGGGCCATGGCTCAGTCTAGACCTCCTCTGGTATGCTAGTATTTCTTCAGAACACTCCTGCATGCCTGTATATGTGTGCTCTCTGGCAGTCTGGCTTGCATCGCAACACCGCGTTCACTTTGCAACAGACCAGCCGAGAATTGCTTGCACATGTGCAGACTTGTGCACAACACAGTGACCCGCGACGAACGCATGACCCATGCAGAGGCACAACATTGACTTTGTCGGCATGATTAATCGATGGTTCCCCCCTGATGGACGGACGGCTGGACCCGGTAATAGATGGGACAACAAGCTTGGCCACCAGGACCCCTGGAGCTGGGCCTGAACCAGCAATAATACTCCGTACGTCTGGTATCTTTTGGGCAGCCAATCCTGACTTCTTCACGCGAGTTTGGGCATTGCCTCCTTTCTACAAGATCCACTGCATGAGGTGCGTATGTATGTACACCGGACACCTTACTATTCCGCCAAAGTAAGAGTGGCTTGATAGTTCAACAGGGAATAGTGTACTAATGTTGGAGCACAGAGACGTGGCAACCGTTGCTGTACTCCGCACGAAAGCGCTGTCTCGTGGAGTCGTGGTGCAAGAGCAGGCACGGTATCACCACGCACAGTCCGACAGGACCTGCGAGCTGCCAGGCTCATCTTTGTGGGCCGTTGCTCCTCACCGCCACGCGATCGATCAGGCGCTCTGGTGGGCGAAGCTGGCGGCCACAAACGGATGTGGTGAACATAAGCCAGTAGAATGGAGGGGAGAGGAGTGCCTCTGGGCCTCCATGTCGGGCTTTCGACCTCCGCCCTGTCCCAGCCACCGCTCCCATCTTTTCCCATTTGTCTTCAATGTTTCCTGAGATGGCCATGGCACCAGCACCCAGTTTGTCAGCCCTGCGAGCACAGGCACAGTCAGCTTTCTCGGTGCGGAGAAGGCGTGTCGGACGAGAAGCTGGACCAGCCTTAGGCTGGAAAGTTGGTAAAGAAGGGGTCCGACATTGCTGCCCGCAACAATCTTCTAGCACTGTTTCAGTCATAATCGTGGGTGCGGGGAAGAGGTACGGAGTTCGTAAGCTCTAGACAGTCCGCGGGGTTTTTTGAGGTTGTTCTCATATTACCACCAGACCCCGTTGTTACGTAAAATGTCACAGGTGACTCTTCCGAACTGTGTCTCAAAACGACCGCATAAATGGTTCAGGTCGAAACATAGCAACGTACGGAGTATGTTGTCAAGACTCAAGACTCACACTATCACCAAAGCCACCAGTCGACAGGATCTTGATACCTTCTGCTCTAAGAATGACTAGAAGACAAAAGACCAAATATGCGCTATCGGCGCATCTCCACCGTATCATGTCACAAACTGATTATCGCTTCGTCGCTAAGAGACGGAAAGCTCCCAGCCTAGTAGCAATTCACCCCTTTCGCTGCTCTTAATTCGTCTGCTTTGCTCTCAACAGTCTTTTTTCATCAGTGCTTGGATGATTCGTCGGTTACACCAGGACCGAATCTAGCGTCACACTTGCATTTTGCTTTCGTGCCCGAAGCTCCCGGCTTGGTAGAAGAAATGGCAGCTGCGAGCAATGACATCTTCTAAGCTGTGGCCTGTGGGGAATATGAATCAAAGTAAAATCAACAACTAGTACTAAGTAAGTACTCTTCAGACGTCGAGAACAAATGGGACAGGTCCTCTTCCTCCACTCCAAGATCGCATCAGCATCAAGATCGTGAAGTTTGGACCCACTTTCCCCGGAAGTCGGCTGAGCTCACCTCGCCCCACCAACACCTAGATAAAACAGCTCAACTGACAGCTGCCAACCAACCTACTTTACTTAGTGATTACATACTTAGAGGTACCTAGCTTCTTCTCCCTGTATTGCGACCGGAATAGACTTCCAAAGCTTCCCACTCCCATTCACTCGCATCTCCGATTTGAATCACCTCAAATGATTCATCATCTCGATCGAATCCTGTCAATCATTTGATGCCATTCCCAACTCGTCCTGCTGACGAGCTTGCTCAATGGCGGAAGGTTCAGCACCTCGCCGGGGACCGTCCCGTCGGGCTCAGACGGGCGGCTACCTGCCGATAGAGGACTACGGAATGATCGGCAACATGCACACTTGTGCGCTTGTGGGCATTGATGGCAGCGTGGACTTCATGTGCTGGTGAGATTGTCCTACGGTTTGCCCGTCACAAGAATTCTTGATTGAAACGTGGGTGTAGGCCCGATTTTGACTCGCCGTCCGTGTTTTGTCGACTGTTGGACAAGGACAAGGGCGGCTACTTTAGTATTGCGCCTCCAGCAGAATTCCAGTGTACCACCAAACAGCAATACCTGCCTGGGTCATGCATTCTGCAGACCCGATACATTCATGAGGACGGTGTTGTGGATCTGGTCGACTTCTTCCCTCGGCCCAAGTCCGCACTAGTCACCACCAAAGAATACAAACAAAGTTCCTATCGTGAGTCGACAAGCGTGCAAGAGGAACTCAAGAAGTGGCTCGTTAGACGAGTAGAATGTATCAGAGGATCCTTGACGTTTGGTAAGTTTGCCGTGGTCACATTCAAGGTGAAACTTCCAGATGCTCATAGCTCATAGATGTGGAAATATTTCCTGCCTTTGGATACGGCCTTGAGCCACACACGACCACACTATTCCCCAACAGCGACTCGCAGAGCAAAGTTGCCACCTTCCATGGCAAAGATGTGCGACTTCAGTTGGATGTGGTCCTTCAGCAAGGAGACGACGGCAACGGATGTCCCCATATCACATTCAAAAGGGTAAAGAAGGAGGGGATGATTGGCGAAGGTCTCGTTGGCCGGGTTCAAGTACATGAAGGAGAGGCCATTTCCTTTGTGCTGAGGAACGACATCCCAGATCATATCACGGCACGGATTTCCACTTCGGTGCTTGACAGTCAACAGCATGATACTCAGACCTTTTGGCACAATTTCAACCATCAGTCAAAGTACAAGGGCCGTTGGAGGGAGGTTGTGGCTCGAAGTCTCATGATTTTGAAAATGCTGACCTACGGTGAGATTACACACACATTCCCGCGCATCTTCTAATCCTCGTGTTCTAATGGCCTGCAGAACCCACCGGCGCCATCGTGGCAGCGCCCACCTTTTCTATTCCAGAAGACATTGGTGGAGTGAGAAACTGGGACTACCGGTATTCATGGGTGCGCGACTCCAGCTTCACCATTTACATTCTCCTTCGACTTGGATTCAGGGCCGAGGCAGATGCATACATGGACTTTATTATGGAGCGTTTTGTCAAGTCTCGCGGTCCCGATGGGGGTTTGCCTATCATGTTTACCATCCACGGTGAGACGGACATCCCAGAAAGCACGCTGGACCATCTTGACGGCTATCGAGGCAGTAAGCCGGTCCGAATTGGTAACGGTGCTGCTTTTCATCAGCAGTTTGACATTTACGGCGAACTCATGGACGCCATATACCTGTACAATAAGTACGGCAAACCAGTGCCTTGGGATGTGTGGTGTGCAGTGAGAGAATTACTAGGTAGGTTCCGGTGTCCAACATCTCTGCCGACATGCTAATTTCTCTAGACTATGTGTTGACTATTGTCAATGGTGTGTATTATCGTAATACTCCGTAAATTCTGTTCAAATGAATGCTGACACCACAGATCCCGACATGTCAATCTGGGAAGTCCGTGGTACGAAGCAGCACTTTACTTATTCCAGAATCATGCTTTGGGTCACCTTTGACCGCGGCCTACGACTAGCCGAGAAGCGGTGTTTCCCGTGTCCCAACCGTGCCAATTGGCTGGCGGCCAGGGACAAGATTTACGAAGAAGTAATGGAAAAGGGTCGGTCAAGCACGTACGTCCTCGGGCGATGTCATCACTAATGAGTTTGTTTTACAGGTTACAACACCGAGATGAAGGCTTTTATTCAAAGCTACGAAAACAGGACCGTTTTAGATTCGGCTATCCTCATTGCCCCCCTCGTGTTCTTTATTTCACCTTGTGATCCTCGATTCGTCAATACTTTGGACCGAATCCTACTGCCTCCTGATAAAGGCGGTCTAACCAGTGCTGGCTTGGTGTTTCGCTACGATACGGAACTGTCAGATGACGGTATGGCCCAATATCTCAATGTATCCCCCAGGAACCATGATGTGATGCTAATTAGGACTTTATAGGCGTTGGTGGGCGGGATGGTGCGTTTAGCATGTGCACATTTTGGCTAGTCGAGGCCATGACCCGTGCTGGTGTCTATGAAAAGAAATATCTTGTCCGCGCAGTCAACATGTTTGAGAATATGCTCTCATTTTCCAACCACTTATCCATGTTTTCGGAGGAAATTGCTCGAAGTGGCGAGCAGTTGGGCAATACGCCGCAGGCATTCAGTCACCTTGCACTCATCAGCGCTGCGTTCAACTTGGATCGAGTAGCAGAAGGGTGGACGGGCCAGCATTGATGACGACCAGAGGGCTTTTCAGGTTCCTGGCCGTCGCAACTCTCCTTATGTGTGATGTAGCCAATTCAATACTACTGCTCGATAGCCAAGTCTGCACCCAGGATTACAACTTGACGGCAACAATCTGTCCACCTTTACCACTCTGGCCGCCGCCTCCCGTAGTAACATACACTGTCTTCTCATCTTTACTCAACGCCGTAGAAGTAGGCCCATCCAAATAAACGCCAGCACTGCTGCCTTCGATCAAAGAGACCCACTTGCCGTCCGGCGTTATCTTCACCAACGTATCCAAATGGGCGCCCAGGTAAATTGTTCCATCCCTGGCAATGGAAAAGTCGTCGGGAGTTTTGGGCGGGTCGAGCGGTAGGGTAGTGATGATTTCCAAGTCGCCCGCCTTGTCACCAAAGTCATTGATTTTGATCCTCGCAACAAATCCCTGCCCCGAATTTGTCAAGTACAGATATCCATTGAAGACCTTGATGCCATTAATACCCAGAGGCACCGCGTTGGGCCGCGGTCCCGGCGTAAACCTGTCGTCCTGAAGGGCAATGTCCACCTCTCCGTTCAGGGTATTCACTCGGTATACGCGGCCCGTCTTGGAGTCCGCGCTGAGGACAATGTGTCGGTGCTTGGGGAGGCCGGCGATGCCGTTTAAAAGACCCGCCTCGGGGATCTGGGCGGCAACCTCGACAGAGGCAGGCTTGCCGTGGGCACAATGGCCAACATTGACAAGCACGATTTTCGAAGTCCCGGGCTCGAAAGAAAGATTGGTGAAGTTGAGGACACCGGCGGATACGGCGTACACGTCGTGCGCTACGTCTACAATGCCCGTGAGTGCAGTGCTACCGGGGATTTGGGCAATGACTTGAGGAACAATCTCCTTGGCGGAGGGGTCGAGGGTGTACAGGCGGGCGTTGTCGAATGTGTTGAGGAGAAGGTGGCCGTTGGGGCGCACCGCGATGTTTTCGACGAACTGGGATGTGTTGGCGAATTGGAAGAGCTGGGTGGCTGTGAGGGCGGTGATGGGGGAAGCTCCCAGGACGACAGTGAGGAGCCTCATGGTGTGTGGTGGGAATCAATAATGGGTGGTTCGGGATCATGTAGACTTGATGTTTCCACCTCTCGAAATGTTTCGAGGGATATGCGCGCCATTTACAGAAATCCGCCACGGAGCTATTGCATCACCGACCATGTGCTATGCACGTGCATGAGTTTGAACGCATGGCCAAGCACGCAAGACCTAGGGAATTGCCTGGCTGACTGCGTGGCAGTGAGCAATGATATAACTGGCGTGGTGTTCCTTGCTGGGCCGGAAACTCTGTTCTCTTGTGCAGGCAATCCCCTCACTGAATTACGTATTCTTTATGCGTGACCTGGCAGGGGGGATTAATAACCAATTAAACTGGTTTTTATGGTAAGAGAGTAAAACCTGAAGTGCCCAAGATGTTCATGATATTTCTTAATACTCTCGTGCCCAATACACGGGGCTTCAGTGTCGAAGTCTGCTCAGGTTTCAATTCCATCCACCAGCCTCAAAGCCAGTATACCTACAGTCCTGAAATGTGGGATTATTCAACTTTGCAATTTTTTCGTTATAACCCCCCAGATGGGGTTTCCTACGAGACAGCGTCTGCGGAAGAGATCCCTTGCCGCAATACGGCTGCACAGAGACGAAAGGAATCACTGTTGGCTGCCATTGCCCTTCATTGGAGTGATAGCAGGGTAACTGTTCTTTGCCCTTTCTGTAGCAAAACGCACGTCCATGGTATCAGCCACTTTAGGTATCATGGCGCGACGGGGTGGAGGATTCAGGACGACTTGGGGCGTTACATTTACGATGGTCCGTCTCCAACGCGTTGCGATTCGAGAGTGGCTCAATGTGAAAAAAAAGATTCGGATGTAGATATCGAGTATGTGATTATCTTCCCATTCGAGAACGATTGTAGGGTTGCCGGATTATCTTTCGAAATCGAACGGATACCTGATGATGATGACACGAAGCTGGAAGAACGATTCCGCACGGTTGGCCTGAAAACGATACCTGCGGACGTTCTGGAGGAGCTGGAAAGCTGCTATCCGGACGAATCATCTGAGCCTTCTGAGCTTGCGGACAGGCTACAAGACGTAGCTCTAGAAGATGGGGACTACGACATCATATCCGAGCGAGATGGAGTAGAAGAAGTAATGACTGAACGTGCCTCTGTCTATTTAGCATCGGCGGCTTGTTGTGGAAGCGTGAATGAAATGAGACCATATCTTGAGGGTTCGCCAAATCCCACTGCACTACTTCAGTTTAAGGATAAGGATGGCCTCTCCTTGCTGGCCCTGGCAGTGCCTAACGGACACCGCAAAGCTGTCGAATACCTTTTGGAACTCGGTTCCAATGTCAATGTAACGGATGCCAAAGGACGAACACCGCTGATGGAAGCCGCCCTTTGGAGTCATCCAAAAATTGTTGAGCTCTTGCTTGAAGCTGGCGCAGATGGCTCTCTAAAGGACCGGCGCGGCATGACGGCAGGGAATTTAGCGGAAGAGTCTGAGAGGAATGATCGGGAGAGACATAAACGACATTCTAAGTACTCAGAGGACCCGTTCATTAAGAAAAGGCATAGAAGGCTGATTCGGGCCTTACTGAAGCATACACCTGCGATGAGTACCTCAACGGGCATACAGCCTGATCTGGCAGACCTCACAGACGCATTCTTCTACAAGTCTCTGTCTGCCGCGACAATATCCCTAGTCATTCCCCGGCAAGGAATAGAAATACTTACTCAATCCAAGACTGCGGCCGTTCTCGTTCGCGGCGGTGCTTTCCCCCCGGTAGTCGCAGTAAGCGGCAGGACCAATCCCGTACACTCCGAGTTTAGGTCACCAGAGGCCGGGTATTTGAGATTAAATGAAGGATATTGGGGAGGGGTTGAGAATTTTGCCATCGCCGAAGCCATAGGCTTTTCCTTTGAATCAGACCGTCGTGATAAGGCTGGTGTAGAGGGAAGTTTCAACGCGTCTCATGCTGAGGCCCAGCTAATGTGCTTTTTTGTGACGAGGAATTATATCTTTCGGAATTTCGAGGCAGGACAGGTTCAATATGGTGACGATTTCCTGCAACTCTTTATGTTGCAGGAGAGGAATCGTCAAGCTAAAATTATCGTAAGCCAAGAACCATGCCCGTCCTGCAGAGCCTTAAGGGACCGCATACTGGACCGGCTAGGAATCGACTTCTCCCTTTCAGAGTGCTCGGGGTGAGATGAACATTTTTGCTCTTCGCGTTATCAGTCATATCATTAGGCTCCACAACAGTCACTCAAAGCTATATCAAGAGACTTCAAGTGCTTGTTCCTGCTGAGTTGTGAGCTGACGGGTATAACATTAAATCCTTGTAATTTCTCTTAATGCCATATAACGGTATACGTACAGGCAAAAATGGAATAAATTCTCCCCGTCTTACTTTTCCCTAGCCAGCAATAGGGATCCCCGCCCGAAATGGACAAAATGCCAAATCCTCGATTTCGTCGATGCTCAGCATTACGACGTCGGAACCTGCGGCTCAATCCTCGTCTTATTGTAATGCTGGGTGATTCGGCCACGGGGTTTCGTCAGCGAGTCCTTGCACTATCGAATTTCACTCTTGTCCCACTGCAGCGCTTCTCCCGGGCGGTGCAGTTCTTGCACTTCTGCTGGACTTTGACAGAGTTGCGGGGGTGCCCACTGCAGCGTTCGCAGTATGGCCGACGACCGCTGTGTTGTTTTAATGTTGAATCTCGGCTCTGCGGGCTCTGTGGACGAGGGCTCTGTGGATATGGGCTGATATTGCATGGTGCTTGGCCGTTCAAATGCGTTATTGTCCTTGTTCCAGGGCACCGCTTGCAAGCACCTCTCGGAAGTCGCGGGCCCAGAAAAGCTTGGTGTGCGGGTGGTTCTGCAGATTTCCAATGTGTGGGACGTCAATTCCGATGCGGGAGAGCGTGCTGAGCAGTGATGATGTCGCGTCCTTGGCGATGATGACGCCATGAGAGTAGAGGAGGCACTGCAAATCTGTTGTAGAGTCGCCGAAATACAACACCCGCTGGTCGATCTGCGTGATTTGCCGCAGGGCATTCAGCTTGTCGGGTGACGTTGTTACCCTGACACCACCTAGGCTCCGGGGGCCTTTGATTTCTCCCTTTTCAGAAATGTCGTTGGCAGCGACGCCGAGATGCTGCGGGTGCAGGACGCCTTCGATAAACGCCTTGGACCAGTTTACCGACGTCACGTCGACTTTCAGGCCCTTGCTCTCGGCAGACCGTAAGAGCTCCTCGAATCCTTCAGTCTTGGAAACACGTCCAGACAAGACGGCGTCGACACCCATCTGAAAGAAATCGTCTCTTTGTAGGCCTGCAAAGATGCCACTCTGCGAGACTCTGGACAAGGACGCTTCTTCAATGTCTTTCAGCCCGGCTAAGAAGTTTGTTTCTGTCTCTACATCCTTTCTGGATGCCTCCGGAGGGTAGAAATTTGCCTTGTAGGACTCATAGTCTTTGAGATAGGCTTGCACGGCGTCGTCCCACACCGGTTGTAGATGCCGCCCTGTACGGCGGCGTTGGAGGTCAATGGCGGCTTGTGCTAGTTCTCCAATAGTATCTTTTTGGGTGATGGTGCCGTCAAAGTCCAGGATGAGCCGCATTGTGGACATGAAACTGCGTTGTATGGTGCGGCATGTGAGCATGGCATGCTGTCAATGGTGTTGATTGTTTGGAGTTGGAAAAGATGGGGGTTGCGAGCACAAGCAACATTCAATGTTGGCCGCATCTCCACTTCCCCCACAAAGTATTCTAGTAGCACGGCAACAGTCTTTTGAATGCATGGCTGCGGCAGAGTACAGAAGACGTTTGTGAGATGGAATATGCAAAATTAGTCTAGTGTTGGCTGTACATAGTCAAGTACGCGAGGTCTAGCTAGGCTCAATATCAGGTGCGCGTGCTGGTGGTGGTTGGGTGAATCCGACAGTACTTCCCAACGTCAATCGTTCACATCTCAATTGACAGCAGCTTGCTCAGTCTATTGTTGAATGTAGGCCTCCGAGACCCAATCTATTCGGGGTATGCATGGCCTAATTATTACCTGCCAGAAATGTGTAAAAATGGGACTCCAAAAAACGCCGTAAAAAATCGGTGCGCGGGTGGCTCCCACGCTTTTCTTTAGGCACAAGTCCATATTCTCTGAAAATTTATGTCTCCTCGGCATGTTATTATGCTGGCAGAACATCCTCCATCTCTTCATTTTCATCGTCGTCCCCGTCGTCAACAGCCTCGGCAGCCTCCTCCTTGGCTTCATTGCCAGCCTTGTCCTTGTAGGCGTCGTTCAAGCCATAGTGGTTCGCAAAGCGGCCGCTCTTGTGCAACACAGCCACCTCTTCGAGCACTTGGCGCAGATAGGAGTCTGGCTGTTGCAGCTTTTGCCGCAATGCCTTCATGGACCAATACTGATACTGACGGAAGCAGTCGAAGATGAGATCCAATAGCTGGTTCTTGGGAATGCGAGCAGCCTTGAACACTTCGCCCTTTTTGGCCTTGACAGTCGGTGGTGCGTTTTTCTGTCGTTCATTAGCAAGGCACCCGATGAAAGGACCGGAGAACCGGAACTAAAAAGCATACGATGAAGCCTCCACCCCAGGTAGCTGAGCCTGCAGTGCCTGGGTTAATGATGGCGGATGCGCTGTTCCTGCTGATGATTTGAAGCTTCGTCTTGGAGCTCTCGGCGTCGAGCAGTCGCTGAGCAAGCAGGCGCTCCTCTTCTCGGATGTTTCGAGGTTCGACGCGAACATCGTAGTGGATTTTGCCAAAGATCTTTGTCTTTTCTGTTGCAGGTTAGCAATCCTTGTTTCAGCAGGCCCTGGTCAACAGACAGGGACCATAGTTACTTGGAATAGCCTTTCGATAGTACGGCTGATATCGACTTCTCCGATCAAACGTCCTCTCAGTTCGCTCGGCTCCCTGGTTCTGCCTTTGTCGCAACAGTGATTGGGGTATGCCCGCGGCGGCAGCCTCCGCACGCGCCTTGTTCTTCTCCTTATACCCCGGCAGGTCCTCCTCGCTGAATATAAAGTGATTCTTGACGTCCCTATCCAGAATCTCCAGGTCATACTCACGAGGGAGCATCTGGTGCTCAGGGCAGTTGGCCTGCAGGAGCATACGAAGCTTGGTCACGTCACGGGTGCCGCCCTCAATCGACGCATCGGGTACTCGTTCATTCCACGTCCGCAGAGTGCCAATCTGGATCTCATCATCATCGCCCAACCTCTCAGTAAGCTTCAACCACGCATCCCACATGTACTTTGGCACGCGCGCGAGATAGAGGGTTTCGAAGGTGTTGCCTAGGGTGGTCTTGTCATAGAACTCGAGGTCGCCAGCGTCTTCAAAGAGCTCGTCCTCCTCCATGGCCATTGCAGGCGGCATGACCTTTTCATCCTCTGGGTCGGGTTTGATGAAATTTGAGTCCGCCATGGTGAGTGCCGCGCACAGGATTGGGAGTGTCGGGCTTGATGGTGCGCGAGGCAAGATAGTAGGTTGATGATTGTTGGAAAACAGGCAGCATCTTGGGTGTGACGAAATGCAACAAGCAAAAGGCGACGCCAAGACTATTGGCTGGCTGTGATGAACTAAAAAAGCTTGTGGGCCCGGGAGTCAATGATTCACTGGTTCCATGATTCACTGGTTCCACAAACTGGACCAATGGATTTGACCTTCCATGTCACCGTGCCTTCAATGTTCTCCCCTCAAGGGCTTGGTGGTCAACTAGCACCTGGGTATAAAACGATCGTCCAGCGCCTCACCATCTTGAGCCTGTATTCATCGCCCTGTCTACAGCCATCATTCGTCATGTGCAACGCACAATGGCTACGATGCCCCGACGCAATAATTCGTCTCAGGAACTCTAGAACTAGCACGAGAAAGATACTAGGGTGAGACCGGTTTTTTAGTCTGATATGCGAGAAGACCACCTGTGCTAAAATAGACCACCACCACGCCCAGCCCCCCCTTCAGCAGACAATGAAACATCGTACATCCGCAACAACTTCGCCTCGCTCTGCCACCCTCCAGCGATACCAATATCACCATTACATTTAACGCATCAAGAGGCCAAAACACATAAATTGTCAATATGCCTGTCAAGTCATTGTCTGAGCTTGCTACAGCGGCTTGTTTGAAGAACCTCAAGGAGCTAGGCAGTATAGGAGACTACCTGCCCTACGAGGCAGTTCGACATCTTCTTCTCAAGCTTGAAAGCGCCCATCAGCTTCGACAGATTGAGCTCAGCTCTCCACAAATCCAGGGGCACACAGGCGAGATATGGCTGAAGCTGATTGAAAAGGACTTTCCTCTCGAATACAAGGCCAAGGCATACAAACCACAGAACCCGGACAAGTGGTATCGAGTGTGGGAAAAGTACAAAAGGGGCCACGACGCGGCACTTGAGGAGAGCGAAAACAAGCTGAAGAATGCACTAGCCGGCCTGAGGCAGGACAAGGAGAAGAATACGAGCCGAATCATTGAGCGCAAGCTGCTGCCAAAGTCAGTCAAGTTAGGGGGGCCCAAGAGGCCTTTCGGCGGGCCACGCGAGGCACACTCCAACTCTCTATCGTTCAACTCTGGCAGTCGGACCAAGACGGTCAATGGAGCGAGTGTGATGCGCAAAGTTCGTCGTGAGGTGAAGGAAATTGCAACGATTCACGGTGCTCTCTCGAGGCCTAACCGAGCGCCAACCCAACGCTTGCAGATGAGGAAAGCGCCCGAATCCATGGTCAACGACTACCGACGGGCTTCTCAACCCCAATACCGATCATCTGCCCTGTCTCCTGAGCCGCCATCTGCTGTGGCAGAACATGAGGAGCGAGCCACATTCATTTCGGATTCAGAGGAGGACGAAGAGGGCAACGGTGACCTATCTGATGACGAGGTGGCCAAGATGCCGGCCAAGCCGGCCAAGAAATTTGTTGCCCAATCAGCCGCCACGTCCCTTCTGAAGCGACGACCAAACACGTCACAAGCGACTTCGTCACCTTCTACTACTATTAAACGCGTGTCTGCTTCAAACACTGCATCAAGTCCGGTCAAGAACTCGTCGAGTCTGACGAACAAGTTCAATCGCTCAGCGGACAAGTCACCTCCAGCATCGCCACCAAAACCTCAGTCAGGGTCAGTCACAACCCATGAGAACAACTCTAATAATCAGTCCAAGGCTTCGCCTCCGCTGCCTACGGCGTCTGGGTCATCTCTGTCACCACATGCCGAGTCAGTTGCTCCTCGGGTGATGCCGCGAAAGCGCAAAGCTGTGGACGTCTTCATGAGACCCAAAAAAAGATGAAGCATATGAAAAGGGTGGGATTGGCTGCGATGCAGCCGTGTATGATTAACGGTTACGGGCCCAGCCAGAATTTGGGTTACACTGGGCTTGTATTGGCATAAACGAGAAAGATTGCATCTGAGTGGAATTGGGCAAGCATTTTCTGTTATTGATAATCAGCTGGGGCTTTGATGCGTAATGAACATTTGTACAAAGAGGAATGCCATCATACTGCATCACTGCACCGCTTGATTCGGTCCAATGATTTTGGATTGTAAATATATGTATATATGTGTGTTCGCTTTGTCATGTAGACAATAATCTAGTCGCATGTCATGGTAGCAGGCCTCCCGTCTCGGCTTCGGCGCAAGTTGTACTGGCAGTCGTCTTCCACTCCCTCCCATGAGTCCCGTCTATGGCCGCTCGTCCGTCCATCTATGCATTTCGCTGCGCACCTCCTCTCAGAGCAAGCACCAAGTGCAACGTATCGCCCGCGACGAGGTTGTAGTCGGCAGCCGTCTTGTCATCGGTCCTGCGCATATCGATTAGCCATGCTTCGGCAGTTCTCTTTGTCGTCGAGGCTGGAAACGCCCTACATTTGCTTTCCACCGTGAATGAGACGCTGCTGAACGGGAGGAATGCCCTCCTTCTCTTCGACCTTTTCCTTGATTTGCGAAACCTATCTCGTATTATTTTTGTCAGGCTCGTTTGTTCCGTTCGTCGGCGGAGGCGCGGCTTTTGAGGCAAAAGAACTGTTGTTGCATGGCACGAGTCAATAGCGTACCTTGTAGTCGCTCTCAATGTCCAGCTCAATCTCCTTGCCGGTCAGGGTCCGCACTCTTGCAAATATTAGCTTGGGTGCTTGGAAGCCTGGACGCTGACGTTGGCTGGTAGCTTACTTGATCAGCATGATGGCGGCGAAGAGGGTTCTGTGGTGGGAACGAGGCACAGGATGCAAGTAAGTAGACTTGAAGAGGAGGGCTTGGTAGCCTTGCTGCGTGAATAAAGACCTTGTTGGATGGGTGCGGTGCCAGCAAGGCTGATGATGATGGTAAAGCAGAGTGCTCGAGTGGGTTGTTTGGCTACCCTGGGTCCTGGGAAGTTACTTGGGTCTGGTACTTGGCGGGCGGTTAGGCGGGGCAGCTTAGTGGCGTGCGGTCGATGTATAAAGTCTGGTGTCATTGAGTGGTCAAGTTTTGTTTGTCCGTTGGCCAAGCAGGGCACCTGGGGCGTGCTTGCACCTTGCACAACGCCGTCACCCTTTTCAGGATTTAGTCACGACGAAACTTCCCACCAGACATCAATCATCCAATACACTTTAGCGTACATGATGCAAATCTATAAACAGTCTACATTTGTGGTTTACACCATACGCAAACGAAATTGTTCATGGATCTGCATGCCTAGCTCCTCTCCAGCTGCTCAATCACCTCATCCCAGCCATCCTCGCCTGAAAACAAAGGGACCTTGACACCACACTTTGTTCCCTTCTTGGGCATCGTCCCATTGACAACATACGAGCGAATAGCCTTGGCCGTACACAGAGATGCTTGCATTAAACTATCATGCTGCAAACTTGTCAGCTCTGGCTTGTACCAAACGCCCGGCACGAGGGCAGCTTACCCCATATGAGTCATGCTGCAACAGCACACTCCCCTTGAACGTCTCGCTGACATTCCTTGCGGAAACCAGGGGTGTGACGGGATCATTGGTATTGCCGATAATCAACACGGGATTCTTGGAACTGACGTTAAAGTCGCCCATGTAGCGCTCCTTGGCTGGCATTGTCCAGTGAGCGCACTTGGCAAGAACAGTGTCGGCGTGGTCTCCAAAGAAGCGGCTCTTCTTGCGACGTTCTTCGAGCACAGGAAGCACCTGAGTCAAGTTTGTCGTGCGGACTCGGACATCGCTGCACTTGATGCCGAACTGCGCTTCTTGGTCAGCTTTGGCCGATGCCTCGGCGGCCGTCGTTTGTGTGAGACCGGGCACGCAGTGCTGTAGGCCGGGATCCGTGCTCTCGCCAGTCATTAGGGCTGCAATACACTTTGCCGTGTACTGCCATATGAAAGGTGTGTATAGCTGGCGGAATAGCACGGCGGACACGAAGCTGTAGTCGACGAGGAGTCCACCTCCTGGATAGCCAGGCACCGGAACGCCAATGGGTTCAGACTTGAGCTTCTGGAAAAGTTGGTAGATGGACTCCTCAAGTTGAGCGGCTGTCTGGTTCTTTGCGAGTACACACGCCTCAGGGTTGGCAATACAGCCTTTGACGAAACCCTTCATGACATTATCACTGTCGGCAAAGAGTTCCGTCTCCCTGTGCCGGATTAGCATGCCAGCATCTTTTGTATTATGTGCACGTGGGGGCTTGCCTATTCTCGTAATACTCAAATGGGTTAGCAACACCATCCAGGATAATTTTGTCAACCTTGTCGGGGAACATGGCCACGGCGGTTGAGCCAAGCAGTGAGCCATACGAGACGCCCCAGAATCGGAGCATCCCGTCTTCACCCAGAGCGTCTACAATCTGCATCATGTCACGAACCACAAAGGCAGTTCCAATGAGATTGCCCGTGTTGGTCTGAGCGGCATGGCAGTCGGAGGCGAAGAAACCAGCTCTCTGCCAGACGTAACCCAGGGCAACATTGGACGCGTTACCTGCGAGGGCTTGGTTTGATGCAGTGCGGAGGAGATCGTTCCCAAAACAGGAAAACGGCAGGGTTTTCCCGGTTCCTCTGTGGCCTGTTAGATTTGTTCTTTATATATTGGTGCCACGTGAAGCTTGCCTTGGAACAATGTTGATAAGGTGGTGGCCACCGCCAGTTGCACTAACATTGTCAGCAATAGATGCAAGTGGCTATACAGGTCACAACGTACGCCTGCATCCTCTTGGCAAAATATGCAAAGTCCTCGACGCCATCGGCACCAGGTCCTCCAAAGTTAAGCAAGATACTCTTTGTGCTTTTGCTCTTTTGCTTCGCTGGGGCTCGTTGCAGCTGTAGCTGGAGGGTGGCATTGGCCGTTTTGTTCGTGTAATCAAGAGGCACCGCCAGTGTTCCGCATTCCATAGGGACTGTAGCATTGGCAATCTCGCAAGGAAACCATTTCAGGCGGTTTTGCTGTGACTCGGCGAGGGGGCTAGCTTGAGCCGCCGAGGCCAGGAGCAGTGAGGGTAGAAGACGCATTGTATCGCGAGGAGTCTGCTGGGATCTCAATGGATTTGGCTCCTCCAAGATTGCTCTGGCAATCGGTGCCCTATATATAGTGTATCATTTCATGGTACCTCACCTTGTTTGATTTATTCTTTACTTTGGATATTGCATGCAGATCGACACTTGGCGGCTTACACTCGGCCCCGTCGCTGATGACTTACATACATAATACATGTAGGGCGTCATCGCATCATGTCAGGGCCGGCGCTATCAGCCAACCGGCGGGGATCCACACGGCGGCATCGACTGCCAGATTAGGAAACATGGCGCGGCGCAGCGTTGGCTACGCTACAGCTTGTCTGCCAGGCCAACTGAGTGCATTGCCCTCTGGTGCACCGGATTTCATGTCACCTGGGCAGGTCAACTATGCCGCATTTATTCAGAGCCGTGTAGGCTGTTGTTGGGCAAGCCGTGACGCAGATGCGCTGAATGGCAACCTGCCATGATGCCGTGCTGAACGGCGTCACTCCGCAGTGTCCCGGCCCGGACTCCGATGCCTGAGATGATTCACAACGTATGCAACATGTAAGCTCTGACGTATTGCGACGATGATGTGGACGCCACATGCTACCCAAAATGGCGGAGTGAATCGCTCTGCGGATCCTCCAGGACAACCAACTTCCGTGGACTTGTTGGACCAGTCACAGGATCCTACTTCTATCGCATTCGCAAGTCGGACAATTCCAAGTCGTTTGCTCTCGTCTATGAGCTGGTATTAGTCTTACAACGAATCTGACTACGCCACTTCATCGTCAGCTGAGATGTGTCAAACAAATCGCGGTTCAACCTTGGACTCAACCTTAAAGAAGTGGTTTCGCTCAAGCCGTCACGGCGGCACATATTTCCAAATTCAGAGTAGAGGACCCTGCCTGCGTTGATGAATCTCACGGTAGACATGAGGCCCCAAGAGGTGATTTGATTAAGCTCAATGCCCCGCCCCTTGACGATTAAAGCCGTAGGGAGTCAAAAGAATACCAAGACTAGCATCATGGACGGCAAATACGGTACCTCAATCTTTGCTTCATCATACATGTCCCGTCTCTCTTCTCCACAGTCTGACTTGCAGCAGTTGGCGGGAATGTCTGGTTCTATGAGCCCAAAGAAGCAACGGCCATCTTCTTCACCGTCGTTTCTGCGTCGTCGCCATTCTGCAGTTCTGGCAATGCATATAAGCCTTGGCCACGAGCTTCGCCAAAGTCTTCACTTCTCCCACACGCATCAGTAAATACAATAGCTTCAAATCACTTCCTTCCGCCCCTTTGCGTGTTGCCTCTTCACCGCTGGATGGAAAGATGATAGGGGGTTTGTGATGGCAATAATTGACCCGTTGGGATGTATCGAGGTAGGCAAGAAGGAGGCGCCGTTTTGGAAGTTCAAGAACGGGGGACATTAAGTACAGCCGGCGAGGGACTTTACACATGATATTAATTAGATTGCCATATGTTCTAGTTCATCATGTAATCTAATGACGGCCGTGAAGGTATTGGTCCCAAGCCATGATGGCCGCGACGACAAAGGGGGAAGAATTACGATACCGAGAAGCAAAGCTGCATCGACAGACGACTCAAACAACACTCATCTCGCGTCACGGCCTTACCATGTATCTCCTTCAATTAACAAACTAATATGCTCCCTGATGGAGACGAGAACGCATACCCCTCACCTCGGAATGCCGCATGCAGCTAATACCGCCGATCGGCTGACGCTTCATGGCCAGGCTGTGGCGATATGCACCTCGAACGAGGCGTCAATCGCCTTCAGGCGAACCAATTCATGCCTACTCATAATTTATCACTTCACATCTCCAACACAGTCTCCAGTCTCTCAATCCCCTTCGCCCCGTCTACAGGTCCACCAACATGAGTCTGCAGAATACATGCCCAGCCATCATCATCACCAAGCCCAAGAGCAAGAGCAAATCTGCGGCACTGCACGCGCGCCTCATCAGCTTCCCACTCCCCGACACCGAGTCAGACGGCGACATATCGACACCATGGATCGCCTTAGCTTCCAAGGCTCACTCTAGCCTCGACAGCGACACCCCCGAGATCAAAGACCTGGCAGACAGCCTCATCTCCGCGTATACCGAAGACCTAGTCTTCATCACGACGCCCGTCTTGCTGTGTGTGAGCCCGCTCCAAGAATCCGGCGACTATGCCTCCGACGAGCACATTTCCATGCCGTCCGGCACCTCTGAACTGCTTCCACAGCCGTAAGATAACCAACCAGCGTACAAAGTCCACGCAAACTTACCCACGGCACAGCATAACCGCCGACCAACTCATCGCCAGCCTCTCGAAATGGATCCCCCGTTGGCGCCGATGGCAAGAAAAGGCCTTTGCCCACTCGGCCAACATATCCATCGACCCATCCATCACGGCCTGCGGCCCTGTTACACGCTCCGAGATTTACGCTCACAAAGGGGGCCCTTTGGAGGAAAAAGCACGGCATCCCCCAGAGGACCCCGAGCCGTGGGCAAATCCATCGTCGCTTCCTGCGGCCGTTGACGAGCCCGGGGCTCCTCCAAGTAGCGATACATGTGCCATCCTCATTGCCGAAGACAACAAAGTCTGCTGCCTAGTTTTAGCAAAGCTCCTGCTCAAGCTGGGCCTGAACTTCAAGGTTGCACAAAACGGCCAAGAGGCCTTTGACGAGTACAAGCGCGATCCGGAGCGATACTGGTGCGTGTTTATGGATTTGGGTATGCCGGTTGTGGACGGGGACACGGCGTCGCGATGGATCAGGGATTTTGAGAGGGCCACGGGGTTGGAGCCGTGTGTGATGGTGAGCATGCACAGCGGACGGCGGGAGACTGGGCTGAAGACGGACGTTTTTGATTACTTCCTGGACAAACCTATACGGAGGTCCGGGATTGAGAGTATTTTGAGGGCCGAGAAGGAGAAGGAGTTGCGGCTGGTTCGGCCATGCTAGGCATGTGCATGTCCAGACAGTCGGCATGCGATGATGACACATGGCATTGGACGGCGAGAAATGAAACTAGTAGTCGAAGACGTATTAGCCCCCTACGGAGATATAAACTATAGTACAGTTCCGTTTTGTTTTTTAAGACATTCGGTGGAGATATTTCCCTTCTGGCATTTGCGATGCCGCCTTCAACCCGCCGTGAGTGGCGAAAAAAAAAAGGGGGGGGGGTTGGTTATTTCCTCTCTTCGCCCTCAAATACATTCAAGCCCAAACCCTCCGCATCAAGCATTAGCCTGTTCTTTGAGCCGGACTCCTGCAGCTGCTGCGCAATCAAACGGGCGTTCTCGATCTTCTTGAGCTCCACGTAGGCCTTGCTCTTTTTGATGGCTTCACCAATGAGCTCAGCGGAACGGGCTTCACCCTGCGCCTTGACAACCATGGCCTGCTTCTCCTGTCTAGCCTTGTCTACAACAAAGGCGGCTCGCTGCGCTTCCTGCTGGGCCACCTGCTTGGCTTCGACGGCGGCGGTGAATTCGGGAGAAAAGGCGAGGTGCTACAAAGGTGTCAGTCAGCCGTTTTGAACTCTTCTTTCACAACGCCGGCCTGAAAGATGAAATAGGAGAGGAAATAAAAGACTACTTACCGTGAGGGACACATCGTCGAGGAGAATGTTGAATCGGGCAGCTCGCTTGGACAAGTTTTCGCGCACCAGCTTGGCCACCATCTCTCGCTGCGTAATGAGCTGACTGGCGTTGAACTGGGCGACCACGCTCTTCAGCACCTCGTTCACAATCGAAGGCAGTACACGGTCGTCATAATCGGCTCCGAGGGTTCTGTAAATCTGCGGCAGGGCCTCGACCTGTGGTCTCGACAGCACACGGCACGTAATGTTGACCATTTGCAGATCCTTGGTGCCCGTCAGGGAAGCAACGTTTCTAGGCTTTGCTCGCACATCGTATACAATGGGCGTTTCGAACCAGGGAATGTTGATGTGAGTACCTGGGCAGTCTTCATTAGCTTCCGTTTCCACAGCCGTATCCGAGCCAGTTCCTCCCGACACAGTTGGTCCTACCTTCGCTGTAGATCTCCTTGCTCACTCCGCTTACCCTCCTGTACTTGATCGCGCGATGGCCGCCGTCCACATTGAAAAGCGAGTTCGACAATACCCACGCACCGCCGGCAAGCAAAACACCTCCAATCAATGCACCACCAGCTCCTCGGGGAACTTGGGGTGGCCCGCCGCCGGGTCTGCCGCCGTATCCGCCGCGCGACTGCATCTGGCGCAGACGGCGCATGGCCTCTTCCTGCCAATTATTCTGTCCAGACATTGTTGATGAAGCGTATGGACCGTTGTTTGTTGCGATCCGTGGGGAATTGGCCAAACAAGCTGCAAAAAGGTTGGTGGTGGTCGTCACACGAGGTGTGCCTGGGTCTGCCAGAGCTTGGAGAGCTGGGGAAACCTGCTGACTGATCCGAAATTTTGGCGGCCCGTCACGCGCTAGTACGGATCGGGTCGGGAGGCTTCAACATGACCTGGAGTAAGAGCCACCCTACACGATTGATTGCCATTCATACTTTTGACTGACATCAACCCTCGATGTTGGAATTCCATCTTGCTCCTCGCTCCTACGTGCTGGCATCTTTTTGATTCGGTTCCTCCATGCCCTTTGAACTTGTTCGAGAACGGAGGTACCCTCTGATTTCATATCACTGCTGATCGCACGCATCAAAACTTGAAAGGCGTCATGTTGCAAGGACTCACTTAAGCTTCGGTTTACGGACGACAGCAATGGTAGACCAGCCTCATCTTGCACGGTCGATGACTGCACAGCCTTTTGAGAAGAGTACGCCTCAATTGTGCCGCATCCTTCAAATGCCCCCCCTCTGCCAATTGTACATTACATACTAAACTTATTCACGCAGAGATCAAATGATAAGGAAAACGCTTGGCGGGTATCAAGAAGCAAACAAATCCTCACTGCGCAAATGCAATCTGGATCACATCGTGGCACCTCTTGGGTTTCCGCGCATACCCGTTGAGCATCCGGAAACCAGCCTTGCAGCTTCTCCCCTCCTCCATCACCGCGTGCACTCCGTCCAGACATTTGCCAGCTTCCCTCATTGCCGCTCCCGTCGTTACAGTATCAGCCAGGCGCATCTCACCCCCAACCTTTTCCATCTCACATCGGAGGAGCCATCGTTCCCAGTTCCATCCGCCAACAATGCTACAGACATTGGCAATATTGTCACTGCTGCCCATGACCATAGCGTCCATCTGACACACTTTCCCGCTTCTGATCGACACGTCATCCTTTAATGGTGGTGTTGGTGGCATGCTCATCTTCCTCTTGGCACCCATCGGGAGGCACACCCAAGCACGGCGAACGTCATCAAACCCTGCGCGAGCCAGTCGGCCGAGCCACATCTTTGTTGGGCTTGGATCGTAACCGAGCGTCTTGAGTGTGAAGCCAAACTCTACACTCTTGGCACAACCAAGCGGCCCGGCATTGATGATATCCGAGTCCATGACGGAAAACTCCAAGTAGCCACCGGGTTTCAGCACACGCATGCACTCGTGGAGGCAGCTCTCCCACTCATCCTCGCCGTTTTCGCCGACAAACTTGAGAATTCCATGAAGCTCGCGAGCAGAAATCAAGTCAAACTGGCCATCTGCGAATGGAAGCTTGGAAAGACGCTTTACCGCAATCTGGCGATGATTGGGAGGTCCACGAATGTTGGAGTTTGAGAGTTGGCGAATGGCCTTGGTCGTCACGGTGTAAACCTTGGCGTTTGGATATTGAAGCGCACAGTGCCATGCCCAATCGCATGTTGACTGCCCACCAAGATCAAGAATCCTAGCACGGTCGCGACCAGCGCTGTCTCTGCCTGGAGCAGCTAGGTGGGAAAGTCGAGCCAATCTTTTGGTAACGGGTGCCGTGATGAGGCGACCGCCGTTGAGGAACTTCAGGGCAGCCACATGCCAGGTTGGGATGGTCATTTGGTTCATGGCCTCCAACTCCTTCTCCCTGCGCAGCTTGTCAGGGTCGTCAGTCAGGATGTCGTCGCCTCGAGCAACGTTGGCGCTGAGTCGCTTCTTGGCTGACTGGGGAACGACGCTGAGCTGATACTTGCCTAGGAGCTGGTTGCGATGTGTCTCGCGCAGTGCAGTGCGCTGAGCTTGGACTGCCTCGAAGCGAGAAAGCTGTTGAACAAATACATCTTGAAGGTGAGTGCGCACAATGTAGTCCTGGAAGGCGCGGTAGTATGCTGATTCCTGTCGCAGCAAACTGGAAGGCAGACGTTTGGGTTCCAGGGTTGTTGGAATGATATTGGAGAACCGCACAACCTTTTTCTTGATTTCTACTCCCTGTGAGGACTCAGATTCCGGCTTGACTTTCTCATCCTCCTTGTCCATCTCCTCCTCAGGCGACTCTTCAATGGTTTTGAGAGCAGCATTGTTGTCGGGCCCTTCGTCCACGCCCTTAAGGTAAGCCCTCTGTGCCATTAGCCACAACTCCGTGCGATCTAAGTTGGACAAGGCTTCTTGTTGCTGCTTTCTGGCATAGTCGGGATCGTAGTCGACAACAATCTCAACTGGCGCCTCCTCGACAATCTTGGCAGTGGTCTCCCCAGAATCGTTGGAATCCTGATGTGAAATCATGAGCCTAGCGGTAGGCATGCCCTCTGTCATATCGTCATCATCTTGAACTCGAATGACCTGCTCAACGGGTTCTGATGATAGGCCGACGGCCCTGTAGAATGCCTCTGCAGAATCGGGGCGCTTTGGCAATGGGGGAACAGAAGAGTCACCAACATTCCAAGGACATCGGTAAAATTGCTCAGCAGTGGTTGAGGTCGGTGGCGGCATGTCCACTGGTGACTTGCTGGGCAGATGCCAAGTATTTCTGGTTCGAGGAGACAGCCCAGAAAAGAACCCACCAGGAGAGGGAATGCTCAGTCTTGTTAAGCTGGCAAGAGATTGTCGGGTGGGAGTTGGCGAATGGATTCTATCTTGAGCCACCCGAGGTGCGAAGCAGGTCACCAAGCGCAAAGGTTGCTGTTGCATCTCGGTGACTGAGTGCATGGAAACGTCGAGTACCTGCATCGGGCGTTCGTACAACTCTTGGCCCTCTCCCTCTTCTCCCCCAGACAGAGCCTGGAGTGTCGCGAGTGCGCCGGGTTGAAGGTGGACGCCAGCCCATGCCTCTTCTGTTTTGTGTTCGTCGTTCCCCATCACAGGTGTTGGTGGTGCACTCAATGCGGCGAGCTGCTCGGACGACAGGCTGCCGTCGAGAGACGGCGGTGCGGAAATGGTTGGCACTTCGAGCGCCTGCTGCTTCCCGATGAAGTTCATTTGAGCTGGAGACATGGGCAGCCTAGCCAATGGAGTCAGCGGCACTGGCGATGTGATTTTCTTGAGTTCGTCAACCGCAGACCAAGGCTCCTCGGGCCCATCTCGATTTGCTGGGATTTGAAGACGAGTGGGCTGTTTCAATAATGGCTGGTGGTGGTTTGTGGCTCGGCCAACAGACGATCTCTTATAGCACCGCGGCACGTCATCCTCATCTTCTTCCTCAGACACATCATAGAGGTCCTCAAATTCAGTGTTCTCGGTGCCGATGCTGGCTCGATTCCACATGTTTGACGAAGTTGTAGGAGAACTACCATCTCCTGATACTGTGGACGGCGATGACGGAAGGATGGGAGCAGCAAGATAGTGAACTCCCTTTGGAGTGGGGAAATGATCGCTCATAGGTGACAACCAGGCTTCAATCTTCAGATGCGAAGCATCACCACGTCTCCGTTGTTCGTTCACCCCTGTATTCTGAACATGGCCATCATCGCAATCTTCTTCTATTATGGGATTAAGTCGTCTCTTTGACCTTCGACCCAGCGAAGGCTCATGAGACTGGAAACCACTCGGTGGTAGAGTGTTAGCCATTTCCTTCCTTTTTTTCTGGTTTTATTCCTTTTATCAAGGGTTCCGTTATGCCCAGCTAACGGTTCCCGTCTTAGGCCAGGCTGACCTATTACCAACTCGTCTGTAATGGATATCAAAAGAGAAATTGTAAATTATCGTAATGGTGAATATCAACGACCGGCGTTGAAAGTTGGAAGAAGCGGGGAACGATAGGCTGCGTCGATCAACGAAACGTCTATTGACTCTACAACAAACAAACTCAAAGACAAAAAGGAAACGGGTGCAAGAGAAGAGAATGTGAAGGGAAGAAACTCGGCCAACCCAGTTGGCCAGGGAATGCGAATCCTTAAAGGAACTTGTCCATCGACTTTGACCGAGCGGCTACGAAACATGAATGCAGATATTACTGGCTAGCAAAGACGAACTGGGCGGGGCTATGCAGCACGAGCTGCAGTAGGCTTCGGAAGCCAAAAGAGAAAGTGACTATGACCGCATCGGCGCGTCGAGGGCAGCATTTTGTCGTGGTTGTGGGAACTAAGACGGTGACGATGGCATCCCAAGGCCCAACACGGGACTGTCATCAAGCCACTAGCCCAACTAAACATCCAATAAACGAAGCTAGGGTGACTGTGTAATTATGTATGGCAGGGGACATCGGATGGCTTGCCCAGCCAAACAATATGCAGGCGCGCGCGAAGCGGCGATGTCTGGGGGAGCTGATTGGGCTCGTGGCTGCGGGGGGACGGTGAAGATGGTGGCCCATCTGATCCTCGGCGCTTAGGCACTGCTTCTCGGCCCCCAATCAATCCATTGCTGGAGTGTGATGCATCCTGCCGAACATGGTCTCGACGGGCGGTACGGTGGTAGGCTTTCACGACCAGAGATTTTGACAGCCAAAAAAGCTGCATGGACAGAATGAACATGATACAAATGAGACGAGATTTGGCCGAAGTGGTGGCCATATGCACATAAAAGTGGACAGCATGAGTACTTACTAAGTAGGTAATTGGTAATTGACAGAAGCCTCCGATGCAAAGGTCGAGGACATCAATGATCAGAGCAAAACAGGTCAACCAGGGTCAAGAGTGCAACCGCTGATGTTGTGTAAACGTGCACCAGTTGACATGCAGGCTCCATAACGGAGAGTACTGTACGGAGAATGCATGCATACCTGGTGATAGAAATTCGTGCCTCAGGCCTGGAAGGGCAAGCAAGCTTGTGGACTGCCAGCCGGTGACAGCTACTGCCGAGCCCCTCCAACGGCCGACCGACCTCTGGCAATTTTACCCCGCCATTTGCGCTACAGGAGCTCGAGATTTCACAAGAGCTCGAGCGCTTTCAACTCCAATTCACAAAAAGTCTACAGTCATGGCAGACGTAGAACAACAGCCAGACGCTTCAGCCGAGCCCCAGGCCAGACATGTAACATACTGCGGTGGTAAGCACCTCACCATGTTGTCGTAACGTCGATGCATGATTCCCTACTGACCAGACGTCATCAGTTTGTACACTGCCACCAGAGGTGTGTGACCGTCCAACCCCATTTACCGTGCCTTGATACTACGATAATAGAAACACCCAACTACGACTGGTGCGTTCTGACATTATCCAAAATAGTACTGTGAATATGGAGGAACCGTGAAAAAGTGCCAGGAATGGCTGGAAACGAACAACAAGGAGTTGTATGACAGAGTCTGGTCAGCCGGTCAGTATGCAATGTTTCCCGCAGTGGCGACCAACTGCCTGACGAGTATTTTTGGACAGAGGCGTTAGAAGCTGCAACCGCATCCTTATCCGTCGAAGCGCAAAAGAGAGCGGCCAAAGACGCACAGAAGAAGACTGCCAAGGCCGAGGCCGCCGAGGCGAAGCAGGCCGATAAGATAGCCAACAGCGTGATTACCATCAAGCGCATTGAGCGGAATAAGAAGAAGTTTGTCACGGCGGTCATTGGACTGGAAGCGTTTGGTCTGGAACTGAAAAAGGTGTGCTCTCCAAAGGTGTCTTGACGTGGTCGGTGCTAATAATATCAGGTGGCCAAAGATCTCGGCAAAAAGTTCGCCACTGGCTCGTCAGTGACCAAGCTGCCTAGTGGGGGCGAAGAAATCGTAGTGCAGGGCGATGTTAGCGACGAGTTGGAGGAGTTCATTTTGGAGAAGTACAAGGAGATACCCGCGGACAACATCGAGCTTGTAGATGACAAGAAGAAGAAAAAGGCAACGACATAAATTTATCAAGTAACATTTCGCATGGTCTGATTGACTATAAACCCTGGCCTTTGCATTACATGCCTCCAAATAACGCCAGTGCAATGTCTCAAATTGAACCCGTATCCAATCCCAATTTACGCCAAGTGTTAACGCCCGTGTCAAAGCTCTATAAGAAAAAAAAGAGAGGACAAGAAACTGATTTTCGTTAATTCTCATGCCAGCGAACCTATCCTCGCTTGCGCAACACCCTACCACTCGCTGCTGTTGTGGCTGAGGGTGCCGCTGCTTTTGCCGCTGCTCTCTTCGCCGTAGCACCGGTAACCCCCTTTCGAATAGTTCCCATGACAGTGGTACGCGTCACTGCTGGTGCTGCCTTCTTGGACGTGGCCGGTTTTCTGACTACAGTTCCGGCACTTGCCTCACTGGTGTCGCTCGTCTCACTAGGACGACGACCAGTCCGAGTTACCGGCCGAGAAACAGGTGCTCTTGAGGCTGTAGCGGTCGCAGGTCGTCGTGTCTTTGTAGCAGTTGTTGACGCGGAGCTTGCTTCTGAAGTCGTAGTGACCTTCCTGGTCCCTCTAGTACGCGTAGCCTTGGCCTTTTCCACCATGCTGGAGAGAACACTCGTGGCGGCGGCGCGTGAGGCGGCGGTGGATTTTAACGGGGAGCCAGGTCGGGGGATTTGCGGCTTCGCCGGCGATACAGGCCGATCTCGATTTGCAAGGCGAGAGTTGGATGAAGTCGGGGACAGGATCTGGTTTGGCCTAACACGCCCCGTCTCTGCTCTAGCTCTCTTCTTGGCGCCATCCCCGATTTCAAAGTCGTTTTCCTTGTCTCCTGCGACCTCATTGCTAAGGAAATATTAGCATATTCTATTGTATTGTGTTTTTGGCCTCAAGTGGAGTGTTGTTACCTCATGCGCTTATAGCCGCGGCCTACAGCTTGATTGCGAGCTGGCAGCGTCCTCTGTGGGCTCGACCGAGGTGTGTCTTTGGCGGGCACTGGAGGCCTGGAAACGACCCGGCCCTGACCCTGTTGTGAGCATTTCAAAAGCAGGTCGCCCATCGTCAACTTTCGCAGAGACATGGGGATTCTGTTTATCCGTATTTCAATCCGTGACCGTAGTCCCTGTGCTTGAAGCTGGTATTGGGCGCGAAGCCGTCTGGCGCGTTCGGTGACTAGACAACTCAGTATACATGCCAAGCATCCAACAAAATTTGGGTGAGAATTACCCTCTAACTGAAGATTGTCAATCAACGCCTGTTTCTGCAGGGCGCTAATTCCCATCCTGCGCTTCTTGATTGGGCTTTTATCGTGAGGCGTTGATGGGCTTTTGATGGGCACCTTGGTGTCTGTAGCTGCGCCGTGCCTCCTTGAGGCGGTGGATTGGTCGGATACCCTCTTCTTATTTCTAACGGGAGCCATTTTGTCGTCGTCAGGGCTGGTGAATGATGTCGAGGTTTGTATTTTCGTGCAGGTTGCGAGATCATTGGCTTGAGGTGAGGTGTTGCTGCTTGGCTTTGGCGCGCTGTGACTGGTCAGTGGTGTGGAAGTAAACAAACGTGGGTGTGTGTGGCTGCATTATGTCAGCACATGGGCGAGGACGTCGCCATTTTATGAACTAGGGGTCAAAGTACCTGAAAATAGCGCCCCGCATGCTGACACCTGAGGTACCAGTACCTGCCAGCAGGCTGAACCGCCTTACGCCTCTAGGATGAGCCACTACCTCGTGGAGCTTGTTCCTGTAGCCTTGCTTCTACTAGTACTTCCTCCTCATCATTACCCGTGTGACTCTATACTCGCCACCCAGGAGCTGAACACCTCTCTCCTTTTCAACATCATTTGCACGGTCGCCATACAATACGAATTAGCTCCAGGCTCCGGTGCAGCACCAAGATGGTTCTCGAGGCGGTGATGGTTGTCGTAGACAACAGCGAGAGCAGCAGAAACGGAGACTACCAGCCCACGAGATTCGATTCACAAGTTGACGCCGTCAATGTCCTTTTCCAGACTATTACTCAGGGTAACCCTGAGTCTTCAGTTGGCCTGATGAGCATGGGAGGCAAGGGTCCCGAAGTGCTCGTCACTCTCACGACCGAGCAAGGCAAGATATTGGAGGGCCTGCATCGGACAAAGAAGAAGATTGGCGGCTCATCTCATCTCAAGACTGGCATTCAAGTTGCTACGGTTTGTATAAAATCATCGTCGTTATTTGCATGTTTACACAACTAAGCAATCAATAGCTTGCTCTGAAGCACCGACAAAACCGATCCCAGCGACAGCGAATAATAGTCTTTATTTGCTCCCCAATCGAAGAGAGCGATAAGGAGCTGACGCAGTTGGCTAAAAAGATGAAAAAGGGCAACATTTCGGTAGATTTCATCCTGTTTGGCGACCTCGACGATGACGGCACGCAGAAGAAGCTGCAGATTTTTAACGATGAGGTCAAGGGCAGCGAGGGTTCACACTTTGTTGTTATTCCACCTAGTAGCAAGCTGCTGAGCGACCAACTTGTGGCCACCCCAATATTACTTGGCGAGGGTGCTTCGGGATCTGGCGGCGGCGGCGGCGGCGGTATGGGCGGAGGCAACGAGGAGTTTGAATTTGGTTTTGATCCCGCCATGGAACCCGAGCTTGCCCTCGCTTTGCGAATGAGTATGGAGGAGGAGAAGGCCAGGCAAGAAAAGATAGCCCGGGAGGAGGAGGAAGCTGCCAAAAAGGCATCACTTGAGAGTGTCAAGGAGGAGGATGAGTCTGGTCCATCTGGAAGCGGAGACAAAAAGGACGGCGGTGACAAGATGGACACGTCGTAAGGGAGCGCCGCATACGGTACGACTCAGGCAAACCTGTGCGGAGTGGCTTCTCGTCGAAGCTGTACAATAGAACTAGAGTCTTAGAGATGAATTTAGGACTGGATTTTGGCGACGCCTACAAGCAGCAGTGCAGGGTTATGCAATCGTGGCAATGGAGGGGACGGGAATAAATTATTTCCTGACGGACCTCTATTACCGATTATTAATCTCTCTAATATATGACAGTAATTTCCGATCAAAAATATCACACCGGATAGGCATCTCCAGGGAATAAAACGGATTCTTCATAACATAGTCCGAATACAAGTCGTATATCCTCCTAATCGTAACATCCACATTCGCCTGCGTAGAATCCGTAAATAAGAGGAACTTGGTCCCCGTCATGGTGTTGAAGCACTGCAATCGAAAGTTTTCTGTTTCCAGCACCTCTAGGCCCGACGAGGGCTCTGGGCGGATTGCCACGCCGTTGGTGCCGGGATGGGGGGTGATGGGCCTAATGGGGTTGAGTCTGGCGGTGATGGCGTGGACACTGTGTATGTGAGCAGCGAAACCCTCAGGAGACTCTTTATAAGGGGGAGGACCAAGGGCATTGGCAAACATCGGAGGTGGGAGACGCACCCGTGGAAAGTACCGGCCAGGACCAGGTAATCGTTTGTGCTAATCTTGTGCAGACCGCTGTCGTGGAAGGTCTTGTTATAGACTAAGCCACCGGCCTTGTTGATGATGATGAGGGCAAAGACAGTCCTAGCACGCGGTCAGAGATGCTCCAAGATGAGAGTGTAGACTAGGCGTACATTGTGTCGGGCGGCTATTGAGAGCCATCAAATTGTCAATGTCTTGTTCCTGGGCCAGTGTGAGGCTCATCCGCTGAGGCGCAAGCATGAACCTCGGTGTTGTTGAGTAAGCGGCGATGGATAGTGCTCGTGACGGCGTACGGGATTGAATATTGTCTGCCGGGTTAGCAAAGACTGAATGATAGTAAAGGTCGGTTGTCTTTGCATCACGCTTCACTCATGGGGTTGAGTGTCACCTATGTGCAAGTGAGTGTGCGTCGCTTGGGCCCCAGATGATGAGTGAGCAGCTCCATGTCAACTGTGGCGTTGACGTGTCAAGTCCGGTCAAGTCTGGTGAAGTTTGACTCCCGAGGTCGCTGCAAAGGCAACCAGCAGCCACGCGAGCACCGCTAAAGTCAGCACTGATAGGCAGCAGCCCCGCCAAATTACCATCTGTTTTCACTGCGCAGACCAAGCACTTGCTGGAGTCAATCGATTGACACCTGGACCCCTCGACCATTTGGTTGCATGTGTACTCCGTAGCCGCCCACACGCACTCCCATCATCCAATCGTCGCGTGGTCAGCCAGCCTCATTGACCAGTGTCAGAAGCGCTGTCCATCCCATTCCTTTTTTTTTTTTGCCTTGTTTCCCTCTCCGTCGCGCAGCATCCCTACGAGCTCCGACCGCAACCCACCCGTCGCAAACGATACCGTCCCTCGCGCCGACGTCTCGAGCCTGCGCCTCTGCCTCTGTCGGCGAACCGTCACGAATCAATCGTCGTCGACGCGAGACCACCACATCGTCCCAAGGACGACCGACAATGTCAAACCAGCGAACTTCACGCCCAAAGCCCCCCCCTCCAGGCAACGAAGAAGCTTCCGCGACTTTGAACCTGGGAGAATTCCAAAACGTCGACACCTTGACTCTGTCAGAAGCAGCGCTTGTTCTGAACGCGCTGGTTGCTAAGCGTCGAAATGATCGCAAGAACGTCAACGAGACCGAGTACGCTTCACGACACCAAGGCCGGATGGGACTATGAATGAGGCGCTAACTGGTTACCCAGGATGCTAAACCAGACGCTCAACTATCTGGATCATTTTGCCCGGTTTACGCAAAAGGAAAACGTGGAAGCTGTCGAACGTCTGTTGAGCGCACATAAGGACCTGGCCAAGTTTGAGAGGGCGCAGCTGGGTACGCGGTTGCTGCTTCTTCATGCCTGGTGTGTGATTGCTGACACCGTGTAGGATCATTGTGCTGCGAAAACGCCGACGAAGCCAAGACTCTTATCCCGTCGCTCGCCGACAAGATCAAGGACGAGGACCTGCAAGATTTGCTCGATGAAATCTCCAAACTACAAAACCGATGATGTGATCGGGAAAGCTCAAGGATGAGTGGTGCTACGGGATTGATTTTGGAACAGGATTGTACTTGGGTTGATTTTTTTGCTAACGAGAAAAAAAAAGAGAGGTATCTGGGTGTTACATTTGGCATTTCTGGCGCTGGGTCAAGATTTGTGTTTTCGCAACAGACAAAGGAGAAGATAGGACTTGGGAGATGGGTACGTTGATGTAGAATACCCAATAAATTTGACGAATTGAATACATTGGTCACCACGTGGTGGAATGGTATGTATGTTTGTTGGTGATGGAATAGACAAGCAGACACTCGGGCCAAGGTAAGTCAACTCTCGTGATTGCATGCCCTACAGTCGATGCAGCTTTGCTAACCGTTCTCGCGCAATGACCTTTTCTATGGCCAGCTATTGAGATGGAAAAAAAACTCCAAATTGGGCATCAAAATTACTGCGGCGCCACCAACACGCCCCGATATCGCATCTTGCCCTCTTTCAACCTCGTCATCGCATCGACAACGCCGTCCTTGGTCAGAGGAAACTTTTCAATCTGTGGCTTGATTCCCTTCTTGGCCGCGAACGCCAACATGGCCTGCTGTGTGCCGGCACTGGCCACGGCAGACCCGATAATCCGGATACCAGTACTGATTAAGGTTACGGGTGTGATTTGCAAGGGCTCAAAGCTGACAGTTAGGGGGTAAATTTGTGCCCCCTGGGCCAGGACGGGATAATATCTACACTGGTTAGCCCAACGTCGGAAGATGGCGGCAGCACATGGACGACACTGCGGTACTCACGTGGACAGGTCCGGCATCACGCTGGAAGTAATCAGCAGAATGTCGACCCTTTCGATATTCTCCGGCTTGGCCAAATCAGCTGCGGTGTAAAACTCCGAGGCGCCGAATTTCAATGCCTCCTCCTTCTTGGATGCTGAGCTGGAGAAGACGACGGTCTCCATGCCCATCTTGGAAGCAAACTGGATGGCCAAATGGCCGAGACCGCCGATGCCAATGATACCAACTCGGTCTCCCGGCTTTGCACCAGACGTGTGCAGGGGACTGAAGACGGTTGCGCCGCCGCACATCAAGGGACCGGCATCCTCAACGGCGATTGCGTCGGGGATCTTGAACAGGGCGGAAACGTCCCAGGCGACAGAGGAGCCGAAGCAGCCTTGGTCCAGGTTGTTGGAGCCGAACTTCTTGGCCGATGCGCAGTTATTCGAGAAGCCTGTGGTGCGAGAATTCAGTATCATGTCGATTCCCCCCGAACTTCTTTTATCGTCTTGGGGACGCTTTACCAGTAAGGCACGGTCTGCAGTTCCCGCAGAACTTGTGGAACCACCCCATGCCCACGCGATCGCCGACTTTGAAGTTGGACACTTCATGTACGGCAGAGCCAAGCTCTGTAATGACTCCAACTCCCTCATGGCCGAGACCTTGGTCCGCGTGGAGAAAGTGTTCGTCGGTGCCGCAGACACCGCAGTGTGAGATTTTGACAATGACTTCGGTGGGACCTGGGTCTCGGTGGCCGGTGGCTTCGACGATTTCCCCGGTCTTGGAGCCTTTAAATACAGTGAAGTCGACTCCCATGTTTTCTGTAGGTTGTGACGGGAAGTGGTGAGAGGTCGGTTGAGCAACGTTATAGAATGGAGTCAAGTGCTGGATGACAGTAGGAGCTTGATGATGGAGAGACTTTTTTGAGGGTAGAGAAGTGGTTGGATCATTAAATAGTCTGAAAGATAGGTTGAGTTATACATGGGAAAGATCCCAATTTCTAATACACGGTCCATTTCCCATCCGTTTTCTGTTCAGTAGCTTACCAAGCCTTTGCTCTGATGCCACTGACGTGTATTCCCGAGCCTCGTTTGCCTGCCAACCCTCCATGTTGAAGTTGGTAGATGCTGGTGGGGACATCACTTGAAATGATCCACCTTTGACCGCAGGCTCCACTTCTGACCGCAGTCCACTCTGGCCCGCATGCTGCCGCCTAAAGTATATTAACCTCAATGTTACTTGGTCAAACTGCAGAGTGGTGTCTGGCAAATCCGGGTATCTTAACATTGAAGCGCACTGACGTACCTGCCTTGTTCTCAAAACGAATCAGTCGGCACCGCCGGAGATTGGTGGGTGTCAAGATTCAAAACCAAACGAGAAAATTCAACCTCGGTGTTTCTACTACGACTCAAGTACGATAAAGAATGGAATCCTCCCTCGGCTGATTACAGAGTCTAGCTGAGATATGTATATGTATTGTATGCTTGCTCCCATGCAAATACTCATCGCCGAAATTATGGTCTCTCCCCAACGCCGATCCCACAAACAGCTCACCAGAACGAAAAGCCAGACTTCCCGTCTTCAAACAACCTCCTCCGCTCTGCTCCGCGGACAAACAATCCCATCAACCTGCTCTATGCGTCGTTTGCACCCCACAATAATTAATCTCTCAAACGGCTCATGCACTCTCCTCAGCGTCCTTGCATAAAACTCGGCAAAGTCCTTGTACGTCATGACCTCGTCTCGGTCCGGAGGCTGAAACCCACGCTCTTCGCTCGAGTACCACAGTCGCGAGTTGGTAGAAATAGGCAGCATGTTCATGGCCTGCATCTCCGAGCACTGGCCGTACCTCGACATGGCGTACGACGTGTACAGCTTGAACGCAATGTAGACTGTCCGCCGGATGCTTTCGGCGAGGATCCACGCCGCCCATGTGCGAGGGCCACTGCGTAGCTCCGTGTCAGACAAGTGCAGCAGCTTGAGGGCGTAGGAGCGGACAAAGTACTCCTGGCGTTCGGCGAGCACGCGCTCGCCAACCCGGCCGTAGAAGAGGCGGATGATTTGATACAGCACCACGGCCTGCAGCTTGTGCAGCTCCTCCTGCAGGGAGCCCGCCAGAGACGACCTGATGAGGGCGACGACCTCGGAGTCCAGGACGCGGAAGAGCGTCTGGTGGCTGACCTGGTTCGCCGACAGGGCGCCGGCGCAGATACCAAAGGCTGCGCGGAGCGGCGGCGGGGGCTTGTTGTCGGTGTAGAGGCCCTTGTGGATGAAGATTGTTTCTGCGCGCTCTGCAAAGTTTTGCGGACAGCTGCGGATCTGGTTGAGCACCCAGTTCCACGACTTTGAGGCTGCTATCGGCGGGGGGGGGGCCCGGGGGCCCGTCCATCGCGGACTGCTGGGCGTCGGGGCCACGGGGCCTGTCGTGTGCCGCGATGAAGCATCGACATGGCTGAATTTCCGCTTCACTTGTCGGGTGGATTGAGTAGCAGGTACTGTGGCGGTAGCGTCGACGGCGATGCGCTCCTTGAGCAGCTGCGGTGGATACTTGTACTGGCAGCTCTTGTTGTTGCGCTCACAGCGAATGCAGATTGGGTATGTGAGATCACATTTTCGGCGGGAGGCGAAGCAGCTGTCGCACGACTGGCGCCGGATCGACATGTTGACGATTGAAGCATATATTTTCCGTTGGAGATTTCACGGAAGTAATGTCTGGTTGCGTTCTAGCCCGGATGAAGTAGTGACTAGTAACTTACCAGACTAGTTGCATCTGAAGCCGGTGGCTGACAAATAGAATCGTGTGGTGGCGATCTTAAATTGTGCCACTGTTGGCAGGTACCGACCGAATTGGTACAAGTCGCTGGATTCTTCATCAGAACCCTGGCCATTGCTAATTTCGTGTTATTCCCGGTGTAAGCGAGCATCCAACTTGACACAAGGTACAGAGCCCGATTTGGCGTCAGATCAGGCCAAGTCGAGTCAAGCCATGCGAATGCTTTGCAGATTCTTGGGGTATAGAATTCGTCTTTATTATTGTTTGCTTTCCTTTGCATGTCCCGTTCTGTGCTATACGTATTCGGTCGAGTAAACCAACAATGCCATAGGGCCCAGACCACCAACTCTCCCACAGGCCCCCACCTGGCTTTTACACTCCGCGCTCGTCAGCTTCTGCCATTGACCTGTACTGATTCCACTGATTCACATATCGCACGCAGCCCTGGGAGGAGCCCGAGGCCAGTGTGGCTCTAGGGTCACTATTGGCCGGAGTGACGGGGCTCACAACATCCAACGGCGATGCCGCAGGGCCTGGAGCTTCCCAGATGCTTGTGGCGGGCAATTCGACGGGGGCAATGCCCGTGCCGTCCATTTCAAAAGCCTCGCTGTGTGGAGGATCCGGGCCGTGAGGTTGATCGGTTCGCCCTGTCTGGTCAGCCAAATGCCTATCCTGCCCTCTTGATGGGATGCAAAACACAACTTACCTCCAAAAGGAGCAAATGGATCGCCAACTCCCCCCGTGCCGGTTGTGTGCGGTGTCACCTTTTCATACCCGTCGACTCGCGAGCCTCCAGTCGTATCCTCATCACTTACACCCGAGCTTTGTCGCTCCCGTTTCCTCCGTCTTGCCACCACCCAGATTATCACCACAAGAGCCAGAATAATCGCACCGCCAGCCGCTATTCCGGCAATGGCGCCTGGAGTCACCCCCACTTCATTACTGGCGTCTTCATCGGAGCTCGACGTCTGGCCGGGCTCGTTGCAGTCAGAGCAGGTGGTTCCCGGTGCCGTGCCAGTGCTTGTTTCGGGGATCGACGTCGTGGATGACGGTGGTGCTTCAGAAAAGACGACTGTGTGCTTTGTGATGGTAACTATAGACGAATTTGGGATTGTGTGCGTGATTCCGGAGTCGGTTTTTGTTTCGCTCGGTGATGGGGAGGCTTTGGTTGTTTCCTTAGGTTCGTCGGGCTCAGGGGTCTCGGTTTTTGGAAAGCCGCTATTTGAAGAGCCCTTGTTCGATGAAGTTGATGATTCAACTGGAAGATTTTCGTTGTCGTCTCGTTTTAGTGGACCGCGAGGACAGTCGGGCAGCAAGCATGGATCTGTAGAGCAACATCCTTCAAATTTGTCGCCGCCACGGACATAGAAGTATGATCCCATTGGATATGGAGATTTGGCACCCCTATTAACTGGTTGGCTTTGCATTATCCTAAGCGTCAACTTGTAAGGGCTGAGCAGAGGAGACGCGGACTGGTGCAAGGAGAGGGCGCGCGAGAGCAGAAGGGGCGGTACGTTCCATGAGACAAGTGCGAGCAGTACGTATTGTGCAGTGTGATTCATCACTGAGCAGTTTATGCAATGCCGGCCTCTGTGAGAAGCTCTGGTTGAATCTCTCTGCAGAAACACTAAAAAGACAAACGCTGAAGAGTAGTGGGAACTGGCTGCCGGCTGGTTGCAGGTGAACGACTGGCTGGCAGTTACACGAGCTGCCAAATGCCAGACTTTTTCTCTCACAAGGTGATTCCACAGAACTTTCGGCTCGCCAGCACTGAGATCTCATTGATTGAGAAATGTGTTGTGAATTTCAGCGTTTCATGGCTTGTGGTTGTTGCCGAGAGGCCCTCGTGATGTTGAACTCGAAGCCTGAATTTCTAATGGAACTTGAAAACAGAATTGCTGCTGTAAATCTGACGGCCGTGTAATAGGGTAATTTTGCAGCATATTCCACCTATATTGGGATTTTGTCGTTGGACTACATAAATGCCCATAGTTCGAGTTTCATGACACACTTATCCGGGATCTCGTCGCCATGCCTCATCGGGTGCCTGTGTCAGTGAGCGAGCAAACTCTGAAGAGAGAATGCCCGTGCTACGTGTAGTGCGTACGAGACCTCTTGTGGGCATGAATTCCGTGGATGGATTGCTGCTTTGAGGAGAGACACAGATGCGTTCCACTAATGAATCCCAACGGAGATCACATCCTACGACAGCTGCTTGCTACGCCAAGCATCGATGCAAATGCTGCCCCCCACAGCCATCCTTTTCTCGAACCATCTCTTGACGAGACGAAGGATCAGAATCTGACGACCGGTCTAGGACTCGCCAGAGAGGCGCTTCAGCTTTGGATACGTCAAGTGGAGCGGTGACAGCATGGGACTGTTGATACAACTGCTTCGCAACTTGCCGACTCGTTAGGGAAAAGAATCCGCCGGGCTGATCATACAAAGACCACACTGGTGAGATAGAAAGTGATGGTGACTTTCATGTAGATCTTTCTTGGCTCAAACAATCCATTATCATGGCTTTAAAGAGGATATATCACGACAGGCTAGCTGCCAGGTCGCACCAGTAGAGGGTAGTACTGCTCGTCCTCGCCTCCCAGACCAACGCCAACATTGACTCAACACGCTTTTGAAAGAGGGGAGAAAAAATGGCAATCGGTGACAAAGTCCGTATGTATGTTGCCCTTTCCAACTCATCCGGGATTTCTGTACAAGCCACGATTAGAGGTAGATCCACGCACCGGGGAGCACGTCCTGTAATCTTCTGCGTCATCTGATTCTGTGACAGAATGCTGGATGCCATTGCAGACGCTGCCAAATCCTCGGTGCCGTATGGATAACGCAACCGGTGAATTATGAGCAACGCGGCAGTCTGCATGGTACTGGCCTGGCAGACCATGTGCGAAACCTCTGTGGGCGTAAACTCGCTCATCCGACTGTCTTGTATTGAAGGCTGCCACCTCCTGATCTCTTCCTCAAGGTGGCTCAAGGTCTTGTCTTTATCCACTGGGTCTCCATGTGCCATCTCCGCAGAGATTTTGCAGATATGGAACAGGTAGGGCAAAATGTTTGCGCTCAATCCGATGTACCGGTTGACGTACGATTCTGCTTGGTCTGGGGGCAGCTCGACGAGCAGGGTTGGCATCCTTGCGCAGAACAAGCACTCTGCCATCTCATTCAAAGAGATGACTATCAGCAGATCGGGATCGACGAGTCGCTTCCCGGCCTCATAGTAGGGTTTGACCAGGCTTAGAATATGGCTGCATAGAGGGAGCACATGCGCACCACCAAGCTTCAGAGCAAATGTTACCAGCGAGACGCCAAGGACTAAGCATGGCTGGACATGGTGCTCTATCCTGACATCCAGAGAGCGCAGAGTCAAAATGGCAGAAGAGGCTCTCTTGTAGCACGTATTCAGCGAGGGATAGTCGGGCGATGTGGAAGGGTCGCGTAAGCCCCAGATCATGGCCAGGGCTATGTAGGCATCTTCTACTGTAGATCGAGACGTGTCATACTGGGACACAAGCGTGTCTCGGTGCCTGTGACAGAAGCTGGGGCCTATAACAAATTCCTCCAGATAGCAATCGCTGGTGAGAAGGTTGTTGACGTGCCACAGTTCCTCCTGGGAAATGCTCGAACCGGCGCAGCACAGGCTACGGAGACCGCTGCAGGTTGCGGAATCGACCGTCGAAGTTGTTGCATTGCTTGTCCTTTGTTCTGCCTTGGCCAAGGCCCTGCTCTGAAGCCAAGGCTGAGACGGCTTCTTTAAACTATGCGGCCGTGGTGGGCGACCAGCTCGTTTGTGAGGCCGATTGCTTCGACAGTCGAGATGGAGGCGGCTGCAACGACGGCACGGGCATGTCTCTGAAGGTACGGGTCGCTCGCAGCGCTCCTTGAGGACGTGGCAGCGATCGCAGGATCGAGGGAGGTCTGGTTCACCCAACATTGGAGCACAGGACGATCTGGAATACGTTTCTGGAAGACGGCGAATGAAGGCAACGGCGCCAACCTTGGGATGCTGATGTTGGGGCGTTGAGGCTTAGACGCGAGGTGAAACGTGTTGCGGAGGAAGACCCCGTGTTGGCGGCCGACGCCAACTAAAGCACGTATGTACTTACATATGTACTACTACATATTTCAAGTGTCCTTTGACAAGCAGACGTTGAAGAGGCCGTCTGGTGCCAAATGTCTGGTCAAATGAACTACAGATCCGAATTATGGACAAGGGGTGGTTGGTGGGACCGTCATGAGAGACTTGACTTGGCAAGTGTCCAGGCATGGGGTACGAAGTCTGGTCGATACTTTGTGGAGACACAAGTCGAAAAATGGGCGTGGCCACGCCACATACTCCGTACATAAGTCAATATTGACTTTTGTGTGTTAGTACCGGACCCTTATGTCTTGCGACAGAATCTGCAATCTACAACTGCACATCTAAAGCATCTTTCGAGTCCTCCAACCTACACCATCTCGCTCAGGCATCTGCGTCTCTTGCAACGACAAAGCTCTCCTTCGCTTGCAGACACTTGTCCACGACTTCGGAAATGTACAGGCACTTCTCGTCCGTCATTTTCGAGGTAAAGACCTGGACGCAACACGGAATGCCTTCCAGGTCCAGAGGGTTATCTTTTGTTGGCACCCACCGTCAGAGTCAAGAATCCCAAGGTTGACGACAAAACTCACAGGATGGAACAACCTGGCCTGGCTGCAGGTCTAGTCTTTCCGCAGCATCTGATGCCGTGACTCGCCCAAATGGGATGATACACGCGGGACACTGTAGCACGATGCTAGTTAGCAAGGTCATGGACCGGATGAGTTTGCTGTCGGCAACAACAAATACACCAGCAACAGAAAAAAGACAACTCACGTCCAGAACATTCATGAGCACTGTGTAGGGTGGCAGCGTGAACTCGTCATGCTCAATCGCCGTGGTGCGACCCCCCGGCCCAATGACTGCATCAATTTCATACTTTTGCCAGAGTCTGCACCAGTCACTAATCAATTCTTGTCTTTTAAGGTTCAACCCGGATAGCTGCTTGAGCTCTGAAAGGTTGCGCAAATCTGAGACGAACTGCTGTGGAGCTTTACCCAGCTCTTGGCCAATTCTGATGCGGGAGGGAATCGGTGGCTCGCCCGCAGCTTTTACAATTCCATCGGCGGTTTCGTCCAACGCAAACAGGGCAAAGGCTACCTGTAGCGCTTCAGAGATGCGACACTCGGCGGACTGCAGCTCGACCACTTCGTGCCCGCTTGCCTGGAGCAGACGCGAAGCCTCGGCAACTGTTCTCCGCACTGGAGGGTGCAAAGGATACGTTGGATCTTCAGGAAGCAGTCCGAATCGCAACTTGCGCCCGAATTGTCCTTGAAAATCTCTCCAGTTGACATCCAGCGCGGAAGCATCATATGATGCGGGCTTTGCCTGTAGCACGGCTTTAACGAAAAGACTGAGAGCCTTCATATCATTTGCGAGGGGCCCGGCGCAGGGTAGAATTTGCGCCAGCCCTTCATCTGCGCATCCGTGCTGTCCACCGTATGGAATTCGAGAAGCCGTCGGACGAAACCCGTACGTTCCACAGCAGAGTGCAGGAACTCTAATGGACCCTGTCGTGAGAACCTCGTCAGACATATTATTTATAGACATTCCATTTCAGAAGAGCCCAGGGGATATCGTCCTCGGGGGAATGGTTGGTTGGTCTAGCGTCACATACCCGCGATATCAGTGCCAACACCGATGGGAGCGCCGCGCATGGCAATTAGAGCACCCTCGCCTCCGCTGGATCCTCCAGCACTGAGACTAGTATTCCAAGGATTAAGCGTTCTGCCAAAAACAAAGTTGTGTGAATCTGGAGTCTGTGAAGTAACAGATCAGACGGGGAAACACCAAAATGGACTTGGGGTTTTACTAGCCGACGTACCATCATCGTCTGAGGTACATTGGTTTTGCAATACAACACTGCTCCGAGGGCAAGTAGGATATCAACAAGTGCCGAATTAGACTCGGCTCTATGGTCCAGATAGGCCGTAAGGCCCAGTGTCGACGCTACACCAGCAATCTGGAACGAATCCTTGAGGCTTATAGGAAGACCGTGGAGGGGGCCAACCAGTTGCCCTTTTCCCTTTTGCCTGTCTAGGTACCGAGCTCGTTCTAACGCTCGATCAAAGAAGATCTCGGTGAGGCAGTTCGTCTGCTCGTGTTACTAATCCTTGGCTACGAAACGGTAGAAACAACTCCGTGCTGCGATTGAGAGGCTCCTACTTACAAGCTGATGAGCCACCGCAGCCCGTTTACAAAAGGAGACTGTCACCTCTTCAGCAGTTAATTGGCCAGATGCGAGTGCTTCCAGCAGACTAGTGACATCGCTTGACTCTGTAATCTGCAGCTCCTTGACGGTCAAAATTCCAGATTGGCGGACCAAATTCAGCTCCATGAGATTATTTTTGCATCTCTCCAACGGTGTTTTGAGGCTACCCAGGAGATTTTGACGGAGCCTCCATTCCTCTGGAATAGCCTCGTTACGCTGTTGACGCTTCTTGATCGCCCTGGCTTCCCAGGGGTAGGTGAATAGGCTTTCGTCAGGGACAGTCATATTCGCAGGTGCTTTTTCCGACATAGGACAAGGAGAAAGGGCATGAGAGTGTCAAGCGGTTGAGTAGGCAAATTCCTGCGATAGGGTTCGCTCAAAGACATTTTATATGTGACGGTATGGGAGTACAGGCTGGCAAGACGAAAGACTGCCTGCTCAACGATCTCGGTGAAACAGACCCGTCGATGGATGTTCGTGGAATTTCGGCAGGGATCGGCATTAGCCTAGCCATTTTCTGGAGTCTCTCACGCTCAAGGCAGCATACAGCAATTGATTGCTGGGTTCCAACTTGCGGCTTTGTCTCTTTTCAGCAAGAACAAGTTTTCTGGCCCGGAAAGAACTGGAATCGCCTTTCCGGTTACCACCAGCCTTGCCAGTTCCAATAGTTCTTCTACTAGCACATCACACCGTCCGCCACACTCTGGTTCAACATGTTGAATGTTCCAATCGGCCTAACGGATACATGGCTGACAAGCATGCCGACTTTACTTCAGGTGACGTTGTCAACCACCGACGTTGAAACCCCAAATGCAAAGAATGATGGACGAACCATGGATTTCATGTGCGTGGAGAATCCGAGAGATGCGGGGTTACAAGGGTCCTGGTAACTTCCCGGCTCACCTGTAGCACTTATTGGCCACTGCCAGAGGGTACCAGACCGCCAATATATTGTCAACGGTCGAATCAAGCAGTCAATGTCCTTATCCAGTATTGGAGCCATGAGATTCTGCTGTGCGGAATGCAGAATTCTCCATCCGCAACCCGTTGACGTGGGAAATTGGCTTGCAAAGCAGTTCTTGGGTATCAGCCACTGGGCTCCGTCTTACAAGTCCTGGACCTCTGAATTAACATCGATTCAAATTATAGTACCAGTTTTCTCGCAGCCCTCCGGTTGGTTTCCAACTTTCCTTGGCCTCAAGGCAGTCGAAGGGATATATAACAGACGTTCCTGTGCAAAATCTCAACTTGGCGGGCTGCACCTCTTCAAAATACATTCGCCATGCAATCGCCGAGGACTCTAGCAAGAACCTGCATCCACCCTGCCCTGTACTTAAGTTTTGAATGGCTTCAATTCTTCACGGGCGTCTTAGCACTCGATAGTGTGCTGGGCGACTTGAATCAGCGACCCATTTACATTGAATCACAAGAGTTACAATCTATCTGGTGCAACACGCTGGTTTCAAAAATGGTGCTTATATTCAAGATGAAAGCAGGGTGTACAGAGTTCATATCCGTGGATGGAATCGGGAACCCAACAGGCCTGCTGGCAGGCACCGTCGTCGACGCCATCGTGTGGTCGTCCATGGCAAATGTTGCTACAAGAGGACCGAACAAGCGGCCTTGGATGAAGCTGTTACATTTTTTACATCTCGGCTGGATATACATGTGTTATCGATACCTGGGAGCCCATTGAAATTCGCCGATGGACGATGAGAATCATATTCCGCATTGACACCATCCAACCGTGGCATTAACGCACTGGAACAGAGTGCGGAGGTGGTCATTTGCATGCACCGTTGCTGGCATGCTTCGAAATCGTCTGCCTTTGCATACGAATGTGTTCGACGGTATGGTCGACGGCATGGTCGACGGCTGCACTGCCACCCTGACCTACCCCCACGGCATTAAATACAACGGCACAAAGAGCCCTGTCCCGCCAATTTGGCCCCCTGAAACGCTACGCATCATTGTAAGAATGCGATCAGCGCTGGAATGCACTGCGCCGTAAATGGAATCGGGCAGGTTGCCATTACCAGTGTCATCGCCGTCATTGCTGCTGCGAAGGAGCCATATGACACACATCGCATAGAGCAACTGGAGCTTGCAAGCCAGGATGACGCCAGGCGTCTCGGCGTTCCAGGCATCACTGCTTCCATCCAGCCGGTACACAGCGGTCCCGTAATTCTCAAGGGTCACTCGCAGTTGATATCATCACAGCATGGGGAGCGCGCCTTCTTCCTCTATCGAGGGCTCCTAGACGGCAATGCCTGCGTCGCCGTCGAGACCAACTCTCCCATGGCAAAGCACCAAGCGTTCCCCAATTTTTACAACCCTACAACAAGAACATCTGCCTGCACTAGATGTATCGCTGAACGTGCGCAGAATTTGTCAAGCGTGCTGTGTAGGAAAGGGCTGGGGCGGTGTTTGAGTCAAACGTTGGACATTACGTACATGGCCCTGGACCCTTGTTTCAATCTCAGAATCCACCGCTGTATTTACCTTGGGAAGTCTCATATCATGTTCGACAACATCAAACCTGTTCTCAGGGAGTATTTTACGCTCAATTTGGTTGCTCATCATGATACTGGGCCTCAAATCGAATATTCCTCACGAGTCCTCATTTCAAACGCCGTCGCCGTCGCCATTGGTAGAGGTGGGGTGGGTCCGGAAGAGGAGCATGAAGCATTCCGAGGACCATGAATCTTCAACACAGATCCATGTAGATCACTGCGGACTTCCCCAGGTTACTTACCTTGGCGAACCTGGGCACGGCAGAGCGGCGACGAATAACTTCTTTGGCCCCGCACCGCCATCCAATATACTCATCATACCAAGGGCGCCACTTTACTCGCTTCGGTAATGCTGGACAGCATCGTAAACGGTGGGTAGCTACAAGGCTATCCGTCAAGATACAGCCATGCCCAGAGATAACCAATCTTTCGCAAGATAATGGCCGGCGTCCAGGGGCCGGGGCCCCCTCACTCCCCAAAAGGCGTATATCTCCCCCCAAAAAGCGATAATGTAACGAACTAATTTCACATGGGTTTATTGGTGCGGTTCCCCGATTTCCGACTTCCGAAAAGGGGAAGCCGTGGATGGGGAAAGATAGTGGAAATACCCCAAGCTTTGTCGTCAAGGGCAAAACGTGGAGTGCCAGGAAGGGAGCACCAGACGCAGATATAACTACACAGTCGATGCAATCTTGAAGCTCACACGCCGTTGATCGGATGCCTCTGGCATGGAGAGAAGCGACAACCAGCAGCGACAACCAGCAACTACCAGTTCTGTCATCTCAGAGACTCCTCTCTCCTCCGGCATCCCGCAAATTCATCTCGTTGGCCTGTCTATTCACTACTGAACCACGTGGCTAGCATCTCGAAGATGAGTCAGTTCCAAGATGGAACGAATCAACCCGGTCACGGCCGGGACGATCCATTCTGGGCCCCTGGAACCGTCAATCTTAACGAATGTATGCACTCTTGAGTATCCTTCGAGTGTTCTTGTGGGATGCAACAGCGCTAATAGAATAATCTGCAGTGGGCGAGTCTGGCACGGGAGTCATTCTGCATCCGATCCCAACCTCTGATCCGAATGATCCTCTGAATTGGTCCGCGTGGAGGAAGGCGGTCAATTTTACCATCGTATCCTTCTATGTCCTCATGACTTTTGTTCTGCTCGACATCTCATTCACAGCCTGGGGGGCATATCAAGAAGAGCTAGGCTTCTCCATCGGCGATTTGAATGCTGCTACAGCCTTCAACTATTCTGGCTTGGCCGTCGGGTGTTTTATCTTCGTTCCTCTTGTACAAAAGTATGGACGGCGCCCGTTTTATATTCTCAGCACCTCAATCCAAGTCGCGGCCAGTATCTGGGCCGCCCGGACGCAAACCAGGGCAGACCTTTGGGTCAGCAACTTATTTGCCGGGCTTGGGGGCGCTATTAGTGAATCCATTGTACAGATTACTATTGCCGACCTTTTCTTCATTCACCACCACGCTGTCATGAACGGCTGCTATCTGTTCATCGTCGCCACTGGGGCATTCCTCGGCCCTGTGGCCGCAGGATATGTGGTTCAAAGCCAGGGTTGGAGATGGATATGGTGGTGGTGTACGATTCTGCTCGGCGTAGGCTTGGTGTTCATCCTCCTCTTCTTCGAGGAGTCCAAGTACTTACCCGCCATAGAGGGACGTGCTCAGCCACCAAACCCTGCCACTGTTGATGGACAGCCCGGGCAGTACGGGCCAGAGACCACGCCACAGGAGATGCTGTCCTCCTCTTCTCAAAAGGATGTTGGCAAGCTAGTGGAACGGACAAAATCAAACGTCGTCCTGGATGCCGCAATCCCCATGAAGCCTATAAGTAAACGCCTGGCGCTATTTACCAAATCAGACGGCTCCATCTATGGCGATATATTACAGCCCTTCAGGCTACTGTTTACTTTTCCCGCTATAGCCTATACGGCTCTAACATATGCTGTAACCCTTGCTATGTTTGCTATTGTTACGTCTGTCCAGGCAACGTATCTGCTGGAGCCGCCATACAACTTCACCCCCTCGGGTATTGGTCTTATGAGCCTTGCGCCGTTTATAGGGACATTTCCTGGCATTTTTGTTGGCGGATATCTGAACGATAAGTCTATTATATGGTTGTCTAAGAGGAATCATGGAGTCTACGAGCCAGAAATGCGGCTGTGGCTGGCGTTGCCCTCGGCTATCCTCATGCCTTCCAGTCTTCTTATGGTTGGATTGGGCATAGCATATGTAAGTGGCCCAAAAAGAGAGAGAGAACAAAAAAACGGAGCCGTTGAGCTGTGCAAATAAAAGTCTAACGTATTGTCCTCACAGGGAACTCCCTGGCCATTGATCGCAGTGGGTTTCGGCATCTTGGGCTTCAATTTGGGAGTTACGGGAAGTGTTGCGCTGTCTTATGCCATGGACTGTTATCACGATGTAAGTGGCTGTCTTGATTACAGCAGAAGCTCAGCTACCACGTCAAACAACCAGGCTAACTGCGACGCAGATCATTGGCAATGCCATGGTTGGCATCGTTTTCTCACGCAACGTGCTCTCTGTAGTTGTTCTTTTCACATTGACACCTTGGATCAGTGGAATGGGCCTAAGGAACATGCACATTTTGGTGGCGATACTTTGTTTTGTCATTTTGCTTATTCCTGCCATGTTGCTTGTATGGGGAAAGAAAGCGAGAATTGCTTTGGCCAATACGTATCTGGCGATGGCACAGAAACAGCCTACTAGTCGCGACGTTTGAACCCGCAGGATCGCTTATGAACCCTTCGATTGATTGCCTGGACCCCCGCACCAAAATGGAACTATGTTTCTCTCCATATAATAATAGCTCCCAGGCTGACTGTGCTGCCGTGATGTGCTTCAAGAAGAATGCTCTGCTTCACTGTTGGGATCTGCCATTAGCAACTTGTCTCGCATACAATCAGGGCAGGCATCGCCTACGTCTATTTGCGAATCAGGCCGTGATGTACCTAGTCAATGATTCGGTACATCACTCGGCACATGCTCGAGTCGGTCAGAAGGCGACTGTGAAGATTGAGTCATTACTAGTCTTGATAATCAGCAATATTTGGAAAATTGCCATCTAAAGACAACTTATACCCAAAAGCCTAAAGGGATAAAGTTTACGGATTGTCTGAAGCTTACACGCCAGAGTACACATTTCCAGCAAAAGGGCAAGAGATCAAGTGAAGTGACATGATATTATGAGGAGCAACCGCCACGTGAGAAGGCTACATATGTATGCACAGAAACTTGTCTTGCATACCTGGGCTGCGATGGAGCCACTGTCACGAAGGCCAAAGGCAAGCACAATTGGCAGGCAGGGTCATGACTCATGAGTGCGATTTCCTCGACCATTGAATGTAAATTCTATGTGCTCTTTCCTCTAGGTGCCAAGGCCGTCAGTGATGACCGCGTCTCTAAATATTTTGAAAACCAACTGAAGTATACAAGCCGCAGGTAGTTAGCATCTTGACCCCAAATTGGTGTCTGTATGCCTATTCTGCCATGGAGTTTCGTCAGGTGTGCTGAACGAGTGCACGGCCTGTTTAAAATCCATATGGGGAATCTAGCGAAATATGCGCGGGAAATAGGCCAGAATACAACCTGTTGACAATATCGGAAGGTCATGTAAGCCAGTTCCAACACATGCCCTTCCATCGATTAGTCTGGTCCATCACTAGTGAATTCGAAGCCATTTCATAACTAATGAAGCTGTAGCCAAGTAGCGACAGACTCAACTTACTTTTGGGCCGACGCATGTCTTGTCATGGCCGTGGAGCAAAATTCAAGGGCTATTGTTATTACGGCCTTGACCCTGTTGACATTTGCGGGCTGGTATGCTAGACTGCCGAGCAATCATAACAACAGACCGGGCTTCAACGTCGCTAAGCCACGATCCGAGGCGGGCTTCCATGAGTCGTTGGGACTCTTCCTTGGATGGGTTGTTGGACGTATGTGTTCTGCCAAGCGATAAGCCTTGATGAAAATTATTCATAAGAAATGAGAGACGCATTACCTGTCCCCGGAACTGAGATTGACACTCATTGAGGCGGCCGGGTCTTGATCCATGGAGAAGGGTTGACTGAGGACGAAGGGCCAAGCGGAAAGTTTTGTCCAAGGTAGAGCTTGAAGCAAAGAGAACAGCTGATTGTGCAGTGTGCAGTGCACCATTCTTGGGAATATCACACGGCGAGAAGGAAGAGCATGACATATTTATATTCATTCTTGGATGGCTGGCTTGAATGACAATGAAACGTTATGTGTAAGTCGAGCTGGGTGACGGTTTTTGGACGCATGGGTACCAGGTACCGGGAAGCACCGTTGGAACCGCATGTGCTTAGCAAAGCCCTTGTCTTCTGGTCGGTAATGCAAATGAGGCGTCGAGATCAATAAGACCTGCATTGTTACTGCATGGTGAGCATGCTGGAGCTGGTTCGTGAGCTGCACGGGTCTCACTTACAGGATGGCCTCGACAGCAAAACGATTAACGCCACGAACCCTGGAATCGCGGGAAACAAGCTGCCTTGTGCATCATGATCATCCCTGGCCATGTTCCAGGATCCCCTTTGGGCCCTTTGGGTGTCAGTCCAACAGGAAAGCCTGCATCTCACCCAAGTCTCGGTGCCTGTCGTCCGAATTGGCTAATGACCAAAGTCACTGTGATGGCATAAATGCACGTCGACATTAGGGTTATGTGAACATTGATCATTTGAATTAGAACTTGTGGGGGCGGAAAGACCAGAGGGGAAATGGCGCTCCCAGCTTGGCTTCCCGTCTCGATCAGGATTCACGGGGACATGGTGCCGGAAGGTCCACGTGCATGTGCAGTCCAGTTGCCTGCATAAGGAGGCATTTGGCATTTGCTTGGAATGCATTTTGACATCCACGGCCCACGGCGGCATGGCGGCGACGGCATGGCTGCATCACCGATGGACAACCATCCAGCAATGTGGATCGGGCTTTCGTGCAGAGGCGACAAAGACCAGAGACAACGACCATCAGCTTTGCTCAACTGGCCTGGCGCGTTTCCGCAAAGACCCCATGGCCCAAGTATCTCACGGCAAGCTGACACCCGGGGCGTGGCAGAGGGGGAAGGACGTCTACACATGGCAATGTGAGTGTAAACGTGCATGTAGAGGGCCAATCACACCAACCATGCCAAACTAGCTGGGCCAGCCAGTCCCTTCAGCTAGGCGACTCCGACGCAGCTTCAACGGTTATTTTGAGACTTCCTTGCGAGTTCCGAATGGACGGCAGAGCAGACAAGCGGGAAGGGGTAAGAGGCAAGGGGCGAGAGAGACCAGAGAGACCAGAGAGCACAGAGTCCACGAGGAGACCAGAGAGCACAGAACACAGAGAGGCCAGAGAGTTGCGAGAAGAGACAAGGGAAGCGAGGCTGTGGCGCCTGTGAGAAAGCTCTCAGAGACAACGCTATGGTACACTGGGCGAAGCAGCGATTACGTGTGAGCTCGAGCGCTTCGGTACACTTTAACCCCTGTGCAGCGACATCCGGCATGGGATTCCAGAGTCTTCCCACTAATCCCCTGGTCACGGTCAGCAAAATGAATCTGTACGGAGTACCTCATATAACTACAACCCAGCAGGCAGCTACGGAAAAAAAGCTCAACCTTGTGTGGAGGAACACGGAACAAAATGGATCAAGGTGTCGCCAAACGTTGCACGTACACATGGAGACCATGGATCTGTCTACATGGGCCCAGATTTGACCAGCCAACTGGTTCTGTGTTTGCGGAGAGGACATCAGATGCCCTGACTTTTTTTTATGAGTTAATCACGAACAGGTCCCAACGCCAAATCATATTGAACAACTAAATGCCATCCCAACACTTTTGGCTCCAATTTAATGCTTTCTATACACGGATTTAGGAAGAAAAAAACAACAGAACCCACCGTGTCACAGCTTGTCTAGCAAGATCTTGCTGCCTACATTGCCAACCGGCGCATCAGGCCTCTTCTTACTCTTCTTTCCTCCCTTGTCCGCTTTCTCCTCTTGAGCATCCCTGGCCGCCTTTTGATCGGGTGTCATTTCCGTGGCGGCTTTTTCCAACACCTCCTTGTTCTTCTTGAGTGTCCTCCTCAACTCGTCAGTGCTGCTAAAGTCGTTGGATTCCAGAAGACCAACAACTACAAAGGAGCTTGGACCCGTGGCCCAGTCAACAACGTAGTCTTTGATAACGGGGTACAAGGTATCCGAAAAGCTGAGCGGAGGATCCACAGGTATAATCTTTCCGGTTGCTTTGTCAAATCTGCCGCCTTGAATCAGAGACTTCAACATGCGGCCGCCAAAGGGTGTAGCTGAAATATGAGGAATAGCGTTTAGGTCGTCCTCGGCGGGCTGCTCCTTGGGGTCGCCAATAGCCGATTGCGCAATGGCTTCGAGGGCCTTGGTCTTGTCGCCAGTGCCGGAGAGAAGGGCGTCGGTGACGAATTGGCAGCCAAAGGCGGTAGACGCCAGATCAGCAGCTGCTTGCTCAATGACGGACAGCAGTTGCGGTGAAAGGGCGGCAATGAGTTCCTGTCGTCGAATATCCTCATCCTTTTTGCTAGTAGTCTTCCGAATCTCGTGGACTTGCTTCAACACCTCGTGATCAAATGAGTGGCTGGCGGGGAACAGAGACCTGGACAAACCCTCAAAAAGGTAGAGAAATGTAGTCCGGGCGTTGGGGTTATTGGCCGCTGCGACAATATTCTGCGCCTGCTTGTCGTCCTTTTCGCCAACCAGCTCGGGGAATATCGACTTGGCCGTGAGCTTGGTGTCGTCAATGACATCGTACGCTGTCAAGATGACTGTGTGGCCATAGGGGTCGCCAGACATGGCAACAAGCGTGTCAGCTGTGTCCTTGTACGCCTTGAGGTATTGTTTCCGGTCCTTCGCAGACGCGTACGCCAACAACAAGCATGACAATCGCGCACCCGACTTGGTAAAGGCCATGTTCTTGAGCAAATCGCCACTCTCATCTCCTTTCACCATTTCGACAAACTCACTAAACTCCTCGGTGCCCGGCTGTGTGGTGAGAAAGTACTGTAGCATGGCGTCGTGCAGCATGGTGAAACCAGTCATGCGCTTCTGGACAAGGGAGTTCACCATTTCCAACAAGGTCTTTCTGATGGGTCCCCGCTTGCTGGGTTCCGCCGCAAGAATCTCCTTTAAGTCCGCGGTAAGCTTGGTATCCTTGGTCAACTCCTTGATGCTGAATTCGGGGCCGTACCATTCCCGTAGCAAGGTGGCTCTGTGCTCCTTTGTAGCGACAGTCCGGTAAATGTCGTCCAGAATCCACGAGGCCTCGGGGTGGTTGATGAGCTTGCGGACCTTGCCGTAGAAGTTGGGTATAACCAAGTCTCGGATTTCATCGTCGCTGTGAACGAGCAACTTGGCAATCAAGAACTTGGCATACTTGCTCTCGGCAAGCTGCACGTAGCTCCCCTCAAGCTCTCGTGCAATCTGCCTCCTTTGATCCGGTGTGGCGTACTTTAAGGCCGTCTGTACGGCCCGAACGGCGTCGTGTTTGAGAACAAAATCTCGGCATCGGCCGGTAATGATGCCAAACAGCTCCTCCACCAACTTTTGCCGCTCCTCTTTGGGCACGTGGGATTTTCTCCTCAGCCGCTCCCAGATCTTCTTGGTGCGCTGCACCTCGTCGGCGAGGGGCTTTGCAGCTTTTCGTTCCTGCGCCAATTGCTTTTGTTTTGCGTGAGATTCGCGTGACGTGAGGCCGGCTGTCACCGCTGTTAGCAAAACGGTCGTACAGTTCAATTTCGAGGTCTATTTCTCCCTGTTGGACTCACTGCGATCAAATGTGTCGCCATTGGCACCGGAATCTGTCTTTTTGGACGACTTCTTCTCATCTCCAGTATTCAGCTTGACGCCGCCATCCTCAGAGTCGGAATCCGACAAGTCGCCGCTCTTTGCCGACGCTGTCTTGGCCGCCTTGGATTCTTCGAAACGAGCCTTTTTGGAATCAGACCTGCCCTTACCACTGGGTGTAGCTTTTCTCTTTTTCCCCGCGGCAACGGGTTTGGCAGCCATCTTGACGGTGTGAGCGCAGTTGGGTGGCAGTGTCGCGTATGTACTCTCATTGAAAAAAGCCAGCAGCCTGCGGCGATCATGGTGTGTCAGTAGTCTACCAAGTTTCCAAATTTTTTTGAGAATCTGCCGAGCGGTCAGCGCTGCGTTAAGCCCGAAAGGGAACAGATGCAAAACCACCACCCCGCTACAGGGAGTGGCTTGCCCCGCCCGCGCATCCAAAAAGCTGTATTGTCTGGAATTGAAGCATCACGCCTTGGTTAGGCAACTCAACCCCAACTACACTTGGGCATTGCAATTCACCGCCAATCCATCGCCATGGGTCGTGAAGATCAAGTTGAAGAGCGCGAGGTGCTCGAGTCTATTTTCCCAGAAGAAATCACAGGTACACGTCGTGGTCCACCAGACTGTCGCCTACCAACTAACAAATAATAGACCTCTCCGAAACCGAGTTCCAAGTATCCATCACGCTCGATATCCTCGACGAGGAAGACCAAGAAGCACCCTCATTTATCCTCCAAGTCCGCTACCCAGATGAATACCCAGACGTCGCCCCCCACCTCGACCTGCTGGCTGCACAGAATTCTCCATCCCACCAACACTTTAGCATCAGTGACGACCGCGAACAACTCCTTGAGACTATCCATGAAACCATACAAGAAAATCTCGGCATGGCCATGGTATTCACAATTGTCTCTGCCCTGAAAGAAGCTGCCGAACAACTCATTCAAGACCGCAAGGACTCGGCCGCCAGAGTCCACGAGGAAGCCCTCCTAGCAGCAGAGCGGGAAGAGAACAAGAAATTTCACGGCACGCAGGTCACGCCCGAGACGTTCCTCAAGTGGCGCGAGGGATTCCTCAAGGAGATGGAGGAGAAGGAAAGGCTAGAGGAAGAAGAGAGACTAGCCGAGTTGAAAAAGGCTAAGATTAAGGAACCTATCAAGTTGACAGGGAAACAATTGTGGCAGAGAGGCTTGGCTGGGAATGGAGATGATGAGGAGGGCGATGAGGAAGACGTACCGACAGATGGGGTGGAAAGGCTGGCGGTGGAGGCTTGATGATTTTTATTTCACATGCGGGAGAGGCCATGCATTGTTTGGAGTTTGGAATGACATTGTTCGGGAAGCCTTGGATGTAAAATAAAGCCTAGCACGAGAGACGTGAAAATGGGCTGGGTATATCCTTGAAATTTTAACCTGTGTCTTTTTTCTATTCCTTCGTTCTCCTTTTTCCTTTTGAAAAAAAAAGTTGATTTGTCATTGACGCTCGCAAAGGTTAACCAGTTATTCCTTCGCTTCCAAGTCGCGCAGCAACTACCCAAACGCCGTCTAATGCCATTTCCCTCCAATTCAGTCGTCCTCAGTCGCATCTCGCACGAATTCAACCCTCCATTTCCTCGTCTTCGTCATCCATCTCAACCTCATCTTCGTCCCCGAAATCCTCCCAGTTATCCCTCTCACCCTCCGGCATTTCGCCCAACTCATCGCTAATCTCCCGGAACAACTCGTCGGCATGTTCGCCCAGTCTCTCATCCTCATAGTTCAACATGGTATACAACTTTACACACTGCCACAGCCACTTCCTCGCCGTCGACCACGTCGATCTCCACTCGTTCTTTGCATCTCCATTCTGCTGACCTTGACCATCCCTTTGCTTCTCGCCTACAATATACAGGCACCATCCACCCAGGTACCACGCCTCCACACTCTGATCGTCATCCGTAACCAGTCGCTCCAGCACCCTGAGCGCATCTTCCTCCAGCTCCGTCTCCAACAACAACCGCGCAAGACCGATTCTCGTGGGGAACGCGGGGACGATAGGATGGCCCGGGGGCAAATCCTGCCACAGCTCTAGACTCCGCTTCAGCGACTGCCTCGCCTCATCCACGCGCTCCTGCGAGATGCGCACATTCGCAACGGTCTGCCACGTCTCGGGGAGACCGGGCGCAATCATGATGGCTTCCGTAATGAGCGCCTCGCAGCGCTGCTCGGCGTCCGCCTCCCAAGAGAGATCCGTCATGTACACCTCGGCCACGGCGCACAGCGCCCCGCCCAGCTTTTCCTGTTTCTCATCCAGGCTGGCCTGCTGCTCGGGGGTCCTGCTCGCCAGGCCCGTCAGGTTCTGGATCTGGCTGCGCAGAGCTGAGGCACCCTTCTCGAACCACTTGACGCTGTCCTCGCCGCCGTCCTCGCTCAGCTGCGCGAGGAAGAGGAACTTGTCCGGCCCGCCGCCAACCTTTTCGTCCGCCATGCCATCCTCGTCCAGCTCGACTGCTCGCTCAAAGTAGCTGCGTCCTTCGTCGGCGTCGCCTGATTCCACTGCCAGCGTGCCGAGTAAATTGAGCGCGCGGAGCTCGAAGTCGCCCCCGGCGCCGGTTGATTCCAAGGCTTTGTGGGCAAGCGTAACCGCTTCGTCGAGGTTGCCGACCTCGAACTGGGTCTCTGCATCGCTGAGTAGAGAGCCTGGGCTAGACTCATTTTTGAGTCCTGGCCGACTGGGTGCCATTATACAAGTCTCGCTCTTCTATCGGCGGTTAAATGACAAGAGGCGCAAAAAAAAGGTAGAAGTAAGAAAGTGACGATGCAATAGAATGACATGGAGGGTCGGTACATATATTGCTTGCTGCCCACTGGGCGGCACTTGATAGCTCTAGTGGTCGCATGAAAATTTTGGGTGGGTAAGCCTTATCGATAACAATGACATGGCGGGGCAAAGGACCTACTCGGCCCGTTGAGAAGCATCAACGGCGCTGAAGAATAGAGTCATCTCGACGACAAGGAACCGATCAATAAGGAGCCTTATTTCATAAACCATTTTCCTTGTAACACCACATCGTCCACAAAAAGCAAAACTCCAGTTACAGGCTAAAAACGTGTCTTTCAGTCGCCAGACCATCATCTGCTTTGTGTCAATACTCATCAACCGCTCACTCACAGCCACCCACCATGTTCACCGGCATCGTCGAAGACATCGGAGGTACATCCCCTCCAGCTCAACCTCGTCCCAGCCATCACTAACATGTCACATCTCAGTCGTCTCCCACCTCGACACCAATGACTCGACCGGCGGCACCACCATGACATTCACCATCCCCGCAAACTCACCACTCCTCAAGGACTGCCACGAAGGTGACTCCATCGCTGTCAACGGGTGCTGCCTCACAGTCACATCCTTCACAGCCGACGCCTTCAACGTCGGCGTGGCCCCCGAGACTCTACGCATCACCAACCTCGGCGCTCTTGCTGAAAACAGCCGTGTCAACCTGGAGCGAGCCGTACGAGCCGACACCCGGATGGGCGGTCATTTTGTCCAGGGCCATGTCGACACCACGGCCGAGATTTTGTCCGTGACGCCGGATGGCAATGCTTTGACTTTTCGATTTCAGCCCAAGAACCGTGACATGCTGCGCTACATCATCTTCAAAGGTTTCATTGCCATTGACGGGACGAGTTTGACTGTTACGAATGTCAATGATGCTGACGGGTGGTGGGAAATCATGCTGATTTCGTACTCGCAGGAGCGTGTGGTTTTGGCGCAGAAGAAGAAGGGCGACACGGTCAATATTGAGGTTGACATGATGGCCAAGTACGCCGAAAAGTCGCTGGCTGGAGTTCTGGGGGCAAACAGCGGCGATGCGCCGATTCCGTTGCTCGAGAAGATGGTGCAGCGAATGATTGGCAAGCAGTAGGCAGGCGTGTCAAAGACTAAGTGAGTCATTGTATTGCTCATTCAAGGGTATCATGTCGCATGTCTCATGCCCAAAAAAAAAGAAAGAAAGACAGAAAGACAGAAAAACAGAAAAGAGACGATATGCCAGCCGGCCAGCGGTACTAGGCATCACCCCAAATTTCAGATATCTTTTGGCTCAACGCCCTGCTGATTTTCTTCCTCCCAACCAAGTGGCCAAGTTGGCTCGACACGAGCTCTCGCTTGCGCTTCTTGCCTGTCTCTCCAGGCCCGCAAGCCTCAAAGGCCTTGACGAAATCATGGGGTGTGCGCCAGCGCCTCTGAATCTCGAGGGCTCGCTCTCCCGTCACTCCCCTAGTTGTCATTAGCATTTTTAAAAATACATCTCGCAGCGTCATCATTTCGGATTTGGATGCAAGCGAGGAGAAGGTCTGATATGTTATGTAATGGCCCACGGACGGCTGAGTCTCTCGCAAATGCTGCAGCATGGGCGCGTAATTCTGCGCGGTAATCACCCTAGATGGGATCACATACAACGTCTGCTTCTCGTACCTGCGCTTCAGCATGGCAGTTAAACGCGACAGGTACCTGACAGTCTCGTCCATTTTGGAAGTTCGCTTCACAAAGTACCCATTGACGACTTGTGTCGAGGCAATGGCAGACTGGACGGCTTCCTCGTATCTTTGGAGGACCTGCGGGTCGATGGTGATGTCTTCAATAATGTAAATGACATTTTGAACACCACAGCGCCTGAGACGAAACTTTTGTTCGTGAAATCGTCCGTCTTTGATGCTCCCAATCAAGTCGTCAAGGCGCTTTCGTTCCACAATCCAGTCCAGCACCACCTCGTCCCCCTCGGCGCCGAGTCTCTGGAGCAGTGTGGAATCATGGCATTTGGCAACCCACTGCGCATCGCCCACTTCCAGACTTCTCATCAACGGCGTGGCGTCTAGTTTGGCCAGCTCCTCTTGCATATAATCACGATCGGTTTTTGCCCGGACTTCACGCACGTCCAAAACTAGACGAACGGAAAACGAGCCAGGAGGCAGTTTGATGGGGGCAAACGCGGGCAACGAGCTGTCCGTGGCGTTCTCCTTGGCTGCACTGTCTAGCTCGGCAACAACCTCGATCTCGGCAGACGGCGAGCGGACAGGGCGCGTAGAGGAGGTGGCGGGATGCAAAGCCGTGTTGCCGTTATCTGCCTTCCATTCGCTGGTTCCTTTTATCCGGTTGGCGACTTCCCATCCCTCGTCGGTCAATGCATAGCGCCGTAAAGGTCTCCCCCTCTCATAGACGAGTTCCTTTTGGACCAATATCTTCATCGAGGCCCATGCCGTGTAAAACTTGGTCGGGTCGCTCGGTGCGGTGAAGGAAGAATCGCAATGGGGCTGTGAGACTTGAATCAGGTCTGCTTTCGTCATACCCGAGGTGGTGTCAACTGGTTGTGTCGACAGGCCAATCAAGAGCGCATAGGCACCAGAACGAAAAGCCGGAACGTAGGCCTTGGGTTGTCGCGTCTTGCGCTTCTTTGCGGCACCGGCCCCCTCGGCAGCAGCAGCAGCTTGCTCGTCTCGTCGGGCCCTTTCTGCAGCCTTCTTTGCTTGAGGATGCTCCGGCATGGGCAGATGATTCTCCTGGCAGTGTTTCTGGAGCTGGTCGGTCAGTCTTTCACACAGCTTTGGGCCAAAGCCCTTCAACTGTTGCAGCTCAGCAGGGTGCTGAAAAGCCAGAGGGCATGCTTTGAGAGATTCATAAGCATTTCGATACGTGGTGAATCCTTTCGAGTTGCGTTCTCGTGCTGTGTCCAGCCACTCCTTGACCCAAGCGAGGAGCTGCGGATTGGGGCATTCTTCCATTACGTCGAGGCAGCGGGTTGGCGAGAGTTAATATCGGTCCATGGAGGCGAGAAAGGGCGCCAGAAGTGATTTCAGCTTCCAAAAAAAAAGGGGCGGGCCCGAAAAGAAGAAAAGCCAAAACGCCAAAAGAGGTCGCTCAAGTCTGCTTGATAGCATCAAAAAGTTGACAAGACCGTCGCGTCTCAGAGCTCTGCGTCGCGTCGGTTTGAATGTACATTGGGCGAGGCTTCCGGCTTGTCTTGGCGGGGGGGAAAGCACGAGCGGACACGACAGCACGTGGCCTGATGGGTCAAGGTGTGCCCTGAGGCGCCCACACTTGCGAAGGAGCTGGCAGCTGGCCTGCCTTGGGTTGACACGTCCACTATTATGACGACACCGCCAAACTGCCAAATCGCATGATGCAAGCTTCAACGTGCAACACCACGACCATTGGCGCGGCTCAGTCGAACAAAGCGGGCAGGTCACTAGGAGGACTTTCAACGCTCAATTGCCGCGCAGCTTCTAGCCAAGGGTCCGCTCACCATCATCAGCCTTTACTCCGTCATCCGTATTGTATCACGGCGCACAATCTGCTCATTATCTGGTTTCTGTGCGGACAGCTTGCCCGCTGATGCTACCTTCTCCACCTTGTGTTCGGCGGGGTCAGTCGCCTACATATGTATGATCCCTGTGCCCTGGTGTGCCCTGGTGTGCCCTGGTGTCGTCTTTGCCAGGGACCAGTTACGAGTGTCCTTGTTGTCCATGCTTCGCGGCGGGTGGAACTGGGAACGAGGTCATGAGAAAGTCGCAAGACGACAGGATGTGGGAGCTGTGGGCTGTGGGTTGCGGGTTCGCTCGCTCCAATGTTACGCTGGGCTGCCTCTGGTGCGTCGTAAAGCGTTGCCTGTTTGGGTTTTGCAACCTCGAGTCCGCATCGAGGATAACTACCTACAGAGGGAGGCAAATGGTATTTGGCCAGATCCGGTACCTGGCTATCGCGCTGTATACTATAATGTGCTACAGTATATTAGTGTATACTTCTTGACGGGCAAACCAAACATCTTCTGCGCCAGACCGCAACCGCCGTCCAGCTCGCCACGTCCGTTGTTGAGCTTATCGAGCTGGCTATCTCTTGTTTCCAACGTGCTGGGATGTTTTGGTCTCAGGACCCCGGTACCGTCGTTTTAGTAATGAAAAAAAAAAAGGGCGTCTCATTCTTGGGCGGAGCTGTCACTGGGAGATGACATGGATCTCGTCAGATCTCAAATTATACGAACCAAACTTGTTGACATGTTGTCGATTTGCATTGAACGCAGTATGGAGTATGGGACTACCCCACCACCAGACAGAAGAAGAAAGAGCAAGCAAGCCACCCCACCTCTCTTAAAAGACGCTTGCATCCTGAATCGCTACTCTTACCATCGTCCTCTTTAGCTTCCCAGGCTGCTTCCAGGTCAAGCCCCCCCTTTTGCACCCCCGAGGTACGTCTGTCACCAACAATTGAGAATCAAGCCGGGACGTCTGCTGCACAAGGTCGATCTCCTAGACCTCCATCAGAGGCCAAAACTGGCAGCAGCTCCCCTTGGCCAGGCACAACGCAAACCACAACACTGTCTCTTGTCATGTTCTCCAACTAACACGCTGCAGATACCCAGCGGTCATGGACGGCAAAATCCTCGAAGCGTCGGCAAAATACCCCATCGTTGCCGGCCACACCTACAAGTATGGCACGGCCGGATTTCGAATGAAGGCTGATTTATTGACGGGCGTTTCGTTCCGCGTTGGTCTGCTCGCCGGCCTGCGCAGCCGCAAGCTCAATGGCCAAGCCATCGGCGTCATGATCACCGCCAGTCACAACCCAGCTGCCGACAACGGTGTCAAGATTGTCGACCCCATGGGAGAGATGCTTGAGCAGGAGTGGGAGGCCTACGCTACCCACCTGGTCAACTGCCCTTCCGACAGGGAGCTTCTTGACACCTACAAGGCCCTCGCTGCCCAGCTCAAGATCGACCTCAACACCCCCGGCCGTGTTGTGTACGGGAGGGATACTCGACCTTCTGGCCACGGCCTAGTCTCTGCCTTGTCCGCCGCCCTGGAAGCTACAGGCACCGAATACACCGACTACAAGATCCTGACGACTCCTCAGCTGCACTACCTGACCCGCTGTGTCAACACCGAAGGCACCCCCAAGGCCTATGGCGAAACTAGCGAGGCTGGCTACTACAAGAAATTCTCTGATGCCTTTGTCCGTGCCTTGCGGGGGAGAAAGGTCCAGGGCCAGCTGACCGTGGACTGTGCCAACGGTGTTGGCGGCCCCAAGTTCGCCGAGATGCTCAAGGTCATCCCCAAGGACAAGACCGGCTTTGACGTCAAGGTGGTCAACGACGATGTCCTGCGGCCCGAGGTTCTCAACCTTGACGTATGTATCAATTCTTGAGTTGCTGCAAGCTGGCTCTGTCATGCCACCTATTGATACTAGCCCTGCTAATCATTTTGCAGTGTGGCGCCGACTATGTCAAGACAAAGCAGAGAGCCCCCCAGAACCCCAAGCCCGTGCCCGGAGCTCGTTGCTGCTCCTTTGACGGCGACGCCGACCGCCTGATTTACTACTGGATCGACCCAGACACCGGCTTCTTCATGTTGGACGGTGACCGCATCTCTTCCCTCTGCGCCTCCTTCATCGGTGACCTCATTCGCTCCGCCGGCCTCGAGGATGAGTTACGCATCGGAGTTGTGCAGACCGCCTACGCCAACGGCGCCAGCACCAACTACATTGAGAAGCACTTGCAGCTTCCTGTCGTCTTCACTCCCACCGGCGTCAAGCATCTGCACCATGCCGCATGCCAATTTGACGTGGGCGTCTATTTCGAGGCCAACGGCCACGGCACCGTCGTCTTTTCTCAGGAGGCCATGCGCACCTTTAAGGAAAAGGAACCCCAGTCCCCCGCCCAAAAGGACGCGCTTGACACCCTCGCCGCCGTCGGGGACCTGATCAACCAGACTGTCGGAGACGCCATCTCCGACATGCTCATGGTGGAAGTTGTCCTGGCTCACAAGGGATGGACCCTCAAGGACTGGGCCATGACCTACACCGACCTGCCCAACCGCCTGGTTCGCGTCGAGGTTGGCAACAAGGATCTCTTCCAGGCGACGGATGCCGAGCGACGCCTGAGCCACCCACCTGGCGCTCAGGATGAGATTGACCAGGTTGTTCAAAAGTACACATCGGCACGTTCATTTGCTCGTGCCAGTGGCACTGAAAATGCCTGCCGAGTGTACGCGGAGGCGGCGACTCGCTCCGAGGCAGACGAGCTTGCAAACAAGGTCGCGCAGATTGTCAAGCAATTTGGATCGTAGAGCGTCTAGGTACGACAATGGCGACGAATGACATGATTATGACATGACGAGGGGGGAGGGAAAGGGTTCCCTAAGGGGGGGAAAAAAAAAATTCGGCGCGCACAGCGGGTCAGCTCATCTAACGAGAAAAGCAATATTGGCCAAGTAGCCGTAGCATATTTGAAATCGAGATGTGCAATTGTTTTTAGTGCAAAATTGGGCTACTTCGAGATGCAAATATTGTGGAGATTTTTGTCTTGCTTGTTCCTCTTTACGAGCCGAAGATGGAATTCCGATGCCAAATGCACATCATTGTCACGTCTATCTAAGCCGACTAAACCCGGCGAGCCAAGCCTAATAGTATAGAAAACAGAAATTACGCCGTCCAGCTCCCATCGTCCTCTTCCCGTCTACATGTTCTTGCGTCCCTCTTGTTTTTTTGAGGGGTCCCCGTCTCATGTAGTGAAAATATCCGAGCAGTATGTCTCTCAACTATGCTACTGTTGATGCTCCTATATCAATTTTTTTTTCCCTCTCTCCTATGCTAAATGTACCCGTGGGACCTTTTTTCCTCCACCACATTCATTTGAGTCGTATATGCCTAGCACATGTGGAACGAGCATTGCCCAGAAGATGATCGGGTAGAGTCCTCCGGTTGGAACTCGTACTGGAGATCAATGTCCAGATCTCGGCGGTTCTTGGCGTTGGGCTTGACCTGCAGATGGCATGCAATCTCCTCGCCGTCCTGGACCGTCAGCACGTCCTTGAAGTAAAAGACTGTCTGTTTCCAGTGGGTGTATTTGGTGTGGGGACCGGTAGAGAAGCGGATGGGCTTGTGGCATGCGGTGAAGTCGATGTCGAACCAGGACACGAGGGCGTGAACGAAGTCGTCGCGCTTGATGGCGAGCTTGAAGGGCGTGGCAAAGGCGAGGTCGGCCACGGTGCAGGTGTAGAGGTCAAGAGTGAGGACGGGCGTGGGATCGGTGACGACAGTCTTGAGCTCGACTGTGTCGACGAGGGGCTCGGAGAGGGCGGTTTCCTTGAGCGGGGTGTAGTCGAAGCCGTAGACATTGTCCCAGACTAGGTGGTGTTGGTCAGTGCCTGTTGGTGAGTGAGGGGGCAAGGGAGAGAATATGCAAGCATACATCCAATCTTTTCCTCCTTGTAGTCACCATCTTCGATGCCGGCAAAGAAAATGGTGGCCTTGTCGGGGAAGATGAGGCCGTCCTTCTCGAGATAGGTGTCGCGAGCATACAGGACCGTGTCCAACATGCTCTCGTACAACAAGAAATAGCCCATCCACTCAGAGATGATGATGTCGACCTTGGGGAAGGGCATCTCAATCTCCTCCATCTTGCCCTGGATCAGGGTGATCTTGTCGGAGAGGCCGTTGGTCTTGACAATCTCGCGGGCCTTGAAGATGATGGACGACATGTCGACGCCAATGACGTGCTTGGCGCCGGCCTTGGCAGCAAACCTGGCGCAGCGTGAGTCTCATTGCAAATTCTTGGAAGACGAAGATGCGAGCGGTCATTGTGGTACAAGGTGACGGGTGGAAGGAGACACGGAGCGGCGGCTCTGGTCGCAGGGCGAGGCTGGTCAAACATACATGGAGAGAATGGCGGTGCCACAGCCGACATCGAGAACCACCTTGTCCTTGAACAGGTGCTTGTTTTGCATAATAGCATTCATGTAGGATCGAGTGCGGACCTCATCTTTCTACCAGTTTCCAAAGTGTCAGCTTCCTCTACATGCTTGTCTGCGACGCACAGGCAGCTTGGGTCGTGGACTCGTGGGGTGCTGATGCGGCGGGGGAGGGGTGCAAAAAGCTCACCAGCATTTCCTCGTGGATGCCTTTTTGCGTTGCGCAAATGTCAGTCAGTAATGTACGACTATACAACACGAATGGACCGTGGAATCGTACCATGGTGGTCATAGCTGTGAGGATGGATTAGCAATGCGTTTGCTTTTATTTTTCAAATTCTTTTTTCTTCTTCTTGTATTCTTCCTCGTTGCGATTCGTCACCTGGGGAATAATGGCACACAACCAACCTCTTAAAGTAGTGCTGCTCGCTGTGCTCGAGCGACTTCATGCGCTGCTCGGCAATCTCAACGTCCATCTTGTCGCCAGTCATTATGGCTGCGAATACTCCGTACCGCTGACGGATGCAAATAAGAGTAGTAGAAACAAGGTATGCAAAGATTCTGAGACGGGGACTGGCGGCACAAAGTGAAGGGGAAGCCGTTGGGTCGCTGACCGCAAGGAAGAGTCGCACCACAGACGGACGGCTGCAGGTTTTGTCGGGCAGAAAAATAATTTATCGGGCCACCGCCTTCAATGGACGACTGCCCCTCCCTCGCTGCAAAACAGTCAATTGCACGGAGTACGGCCCGCACCCACACACGCCACCTTGTCTTGGCGCTGCCAAACAACATGACGGGAGCAGAGAAGCATCATAAATAAGGGCTTAGTGCCTAGATCACACACCAAGTAGCATCTTCTCTTTCTCTGCACGTTTACCTACATCACAAGCACAGCAAAAAGCATTTATTGTCATCACGCAGAGCGTCAGCCTCCATGTATTCGATAGCCCTCCTGCCTATAGAGTGTATATTCCTGCATTCCGCTCAACGCGCATTCCGTCCACATCTTTTTTTCTTACGCTCTAATCTCTTGTGGTACCAAAAAACGCCCAAACGCCATTACGTATATGCAACAGAAAGCGAACGATATATCCCACAGGAAACAGCATCCCGAAGCCTCATGGTCGCCCGTTCCACCCCATTGGCCTTACACGAGCAACACGCTGTTGACACAGCCATCGTTTTCGGGATTGTTGGTCACTTGCGCATATCGACCCCACACAACCTTTCCGCCAGCAGTCACCAAGCCCAGTTCGCTGACGTTGACCTCGATGACGGTACCCTTTGTCAAAACACCAAGCTGGGTATACATCGGATTCTGAGGGTTCTTCTTGACGCCGATGATAGGCAACTGCACCGTAACACCCAGCTCGGCCTGCGTGCAGTTAGTTTTGCGGTATCGAAGCCCCATGGGCCTAATAAACCTCTCGTATTTCGGGTTTCTTCGCGTGAAGTCCTGTCCAACAAACGTAGGTTTGGTGACCATGCGCTTCCAGCCCTTCTTCTGGATCTTCTTGCCCGTCTTGACCACCTTGAACATTTCCTCCTCGCTGATACCGCGGACCTTTGGCAGCGGGACGTTAAACTTGGCCGCCTTTTCTGCTCGCTTGTTCTTGATGGCACTGCTGAGGGCCTTGGCCGTCGATGGGTTCGTTCGGTCAAGTAGGTACGAGGGCATGGGAGTTGAGGGCTCCTTCTCGTCGGCAGTCTTGACATTTCTCTCCTCGTGTGCCTTGATAGCCTTCTTCATCTGGATCTTCTCCTTGTGCCGCTTCTGCTGGTGCAGCTTGGCCCGCAGGCCACGCAAATTCTGTGCATCCTGGGAAGCCTTGTGGCCTTCACGGGCGGCTCTCTTTCGTGTTCGTTCTTCGTGATCCAGGCGGCGGCCATGCAGCTTGCGCCACCTCTCCATATACTCGTTCTGAGGCTGCAAAGTCTGTTAGATGAAATCATATTCCCGTCTGAATGAGAAAAAAAACCATACCATAGTTACTGTGTTGCCCGATTCTGGGACTTTTGGCCGTGGGTGGTTGATAGGAGTGTGGAGCCAAGTTGAAATTTCGCCCAGGGACAAAAAAAAGAGAGAGAGGCGGTCGGCGGAGCCCGGCACAACACTTCTCCGACCAAAGCTCACCTAAACTTTTTGGGCCATACTACCAACGCCCATTTGCTGCCATCATCTGATCTGCAGCGTAGGACAAACCTACAGCTCAAGGCTCTCTTCACCAACAGAGAGACGCCAATTGCAGCATCGCCATGAGCAGAGCGCTCTTCCGCTCCGTCCTGGAGCTTCGGGCGCCAAAATCAGCCCCCCGGTTCCCGCCGACGTTGGCCCTGCCCGTCCGCAGCCGGGCATTCAACACCACAGCACCCATCATCGAGCCGACAAACCAACCGCACGTCAACAACGCCCCGAACCCGACAGATGCCCAAGTCCGCCCCCTAGCCTTCAAAAAGAGCCACCCCACAGCGCCGCCCACCCCTATCCAAGACTCGGTCAAGAACCTACTCCCCTTCCTCGTCGCCCAGCCGGGCCACTACATCACCGTCCACATCCACGGCTTCCCCTACCTCGTCCAGGAAGGCGACCAGATCCGCCTTCCGTTCCGCATGCCGGGCGTGCTTCCCGGCGATGTACTACGTCTGAATAGAGCCAGTGTAATCGGCAGTCGCGACTACACCATGAAGGGGGCCCCCCACATCGACGAGCGCGTCTTTGAATGTCGAGCGACAGTGCTAGGCGTGGAGTCGGAGCCGATGCGCATCAAAATCAAGAAGAAGCGGAGGCAGCGGAGAAAGAGACAGGCCAAGAGCAAGCACCGGTACACCATCTTGCGCGTCTCAGAGCTGAACATTAAGAATTTGGAAGACGTCAAGTAGCCGCCCACGGTCAGGAGACGGGGAAAGCAAAGGGTCAAAGGCAAGGGGTCGCGTGAGAAGATTCTGTATACTGGCATGCATCATGTATCAATACCAGCGAGGCCGCTGGCTGTACAATAAATAATACACTCGTCAAACGTAGCCAGTCGTCAACCTTCACCTGTGATGCAAATCTCGACACTCAACAAGAAACCACACAGATTGGATATCTGGAAAGCTAAAAAAAAATAACAAGTCTCACAAGAGGAGATGCTGAACGCTACTCTATACCACACAACATTCCCCCTCTCCTTCAAAAATAAATAAAAGGCCCACGGCTAAACGAAAGACATGAACAAAGACTCCCAAACACCAAGCTATGCCCGCCTGATTTTCCAATTCTGGTTTTTGCAAAAGTAAAACAAGAAGCACACAAAAAGGTGTACACAGGTCCCCTTTTTCGACATTAAATAAAGAGAATCATGATGAATACCACGACTACATCCGCCCTGCCATTGCCTTTCTGATACTTGTCCAATACGCTTGTGGCCAGACACTAGCGCCCTCAGACTCGGTGGGCATCCGTTCGCGACATCGGGTGACGACGCTCTGGATGATTCTGCCAAGCAGCTCCTCGTCAATGGGGAGGGCCTTTTCATTGAACTCGGCGGGGTAGAGGAAGGGGTCGGAGGCATGAAGCAGTTCTTCACATGTAGGGCGCATATGGAGATCTCGGTTGAGGCAGCGCTTCATGGTGCGCAGCAGCGACGGCGGCACGGGGACACCTCCGACTGCTCGCGAGGGAAACTCGATGATGTGGTCCCAGTTGATGATGGCCTGGCACCGGGCCATTTGGTTGGCAATGTGGCCAAACGGCGGGACGCCATAGACCATTTGGTACAGGATGCAGCCCAGGGACCAAATGTCACTTGGTTTGCCGAGTTTCACGAGCTTGGGACGGCCCGGGAGGCGGCCTCCGCGAGGGTTGTTGGCGTCCATCAGTGACTCGGGGGACATGTAGCTGGGTGTTCCGACTTGAGTCTCGCGATGGACGTTGACTGTCTCCTCGGTCTGAATGGCGTTGGCAATGCCGAAGTCAATGAGTTTTAAGCGGCCCTGGACAAGGACAAAGTTGGCCGGTTTCAGGTCGGAGTGGACAATTTCGTACTGGTGCACTGATTGCAGACACTCGAGCATCTCTTTCCAGTAGAACCGCACAAAGACAGGATCGAACTTGGCCGTCTCAGAACTTTGTCGAGACGTGAGGAGTTTGTTCAAGTCCAGCTCACCCATCTCCATAAGCTATCAAACTGTTAGCGGGTCGAACGTCACCGGGGGCTTTCCAGGTCTGGGACACATACCAAAGTAAGGACTTGTTTCTCCGAGTTCAATTCATGATCGTACAAATCAATGACGCGATCAACACCCTTGAGCTTGCCCAAAAGATCAATCTCGCCTCTGTATCCCTTGATGATGCTGTCGTCGGCATTCTCCAAGGACACGCGCTTGAGAGCAAACATTTTGCCATTTTCGGCCGTCACCCGATACACCTTGGCACTGCCGCCTCGGCCGAGACACTCCAGCCTGGTGTAGCACTTCCCGTTGACCCGCAGCACGTTTCGACGTTGCCTGGCCTGTGTGGTTGTGGCCGCGCCAGCCGTCGACGTAGCCGCCTCCAAGACGGACATCTTGGGCGGCGGCGGCGGCGCAGACCGGTGTGGTGTATTGTTTGCAATGGAGGCTAGAGGTTTCCGCTCGGGAGATGCTGCTTTGGCGCTGCCGAGGTCAACATGCAGCGGCCGGATACTGGGCTTTTCTACGCCTGGGTCGGCTGCCACCTTGACCGGCCTCTTGAAGGTAATGGGATACTCATTTTCCTGGTCGTGTATGGACGGAATCTCAATGCGTTTGGGGAGCATCGCTTCCGGCACCGTAATGTGGTCGTCGCGTCGAGCCTCAAATTGAACCCCACGAGATGAGCGCCTTGACGAACCCAGGTCGGGCAACTCGATACCAGAAGCCTGTCTCCTATTACTGGCTCGGGCAGCACTGCCGCTGACAGGGCTTCCCGAGTTGAAGTCCCGGTTCGCCTCATGGTAGACAGACGGTTCGGGCGGCTCGTCTGCCGGTTGGAGGCCATGCTCAGCTTCGTGGCTGGGGACGGCGTGGTCTCCGTCTACATGGCCTTCGCCCTCCTCATCGCTTTGACGTCGTCTGCCTCTCCTGGCTGGTCCGCTCAAAAAACTTCCCGAAAGCTTGCCAACTCGCTTGACCCGCATGGAGCTCTGCGGGTTGACATCGTCGGGGCGGCTACGCGTCGACGGGTATCGTGATGCGCTGCCGTGGCTTCCAGAATTCCGCACCGCGCTCTCAGGTGCTTCTAGCTGATCATACTCGGCTTCCAGGTGCGATCTGTCGGCCACGGAACGGTCAAATTTGGACCGTCCAGACGAAGGTCCGGAGGAGCCAACCCGACTCCTGTTAGCCGATGAGCCGGCAGCAATTCGCACAACCCGGTCAGGATGAGGCGGGGTGTTGACCTCTGGTTGCGGCTCTGGCAGTGGTTCTTGCTCCTCTTCTGCGGGCTTTTCATGATTGTTGCTTGTCCGGCTAGGTAGTGATACGGCCGCCTTTTGTCCCGTAGAGCGAGACATGGAAGTAGATCGTCTCTTGCCCGGACCCATCTGGTTCAAGCTGTGCGGGTTACTGCCCAGACGTACAACCCTCTTCCTAACGGGGCTAGCCTCTTGATTTTGGCTTGTATCGGCGGCCTTTGCGGGCTTGTCATCCGCAGGCTGCACACTTCCAGATCGTAGATGTCGCCTGTCCTGGGGTCCGGCTCCAACAACGCCGGCTGAGGACGAATTGTTGTTCAACGCACTAGTTCGTCGTCTCGTGCGTGGCGGTGAGGCTTCCTTATTGGCAGGTTCCGGGGCGTCATCGTTGAGGAGAGCTTTGGTGAGAGCACTGAGCTTCATAGGCACAGGGATTTCATCCTCTGAGCTGTCGTCGTGGTATTGCTGCTGATGTGGTGATTGACTTGCAGGGGCCACGGCGGCGGCAGTGGCGGCGGCAGCAGCGGCGGCTTGACTCTCGCTTCTGCTAACCATCTGTCGCGAGGCAGGACGTCTCAAGGCTTGGCGTTGTGAAGTTCTCCGGACAGCACCGGCAGTGGCCATTGGTGTCGGCGATGCGGTCGCCATTGCAGGACGCGTGGGTTCGTAGTTGGTAGTTTGTATACTGTGAGAATGCACTGGTGATTTCGAAGGTCGAATTGCGGTAATGGTAAAGGATTCGGACTTCTTTACGTGTCGGGAGTTCCCATGACCCTGATTCGCACACGTATCACGACAATGTCGAAAATATTTTAGTTGATGTTATCGCGTTGGTTGGATCGATATCGACAACAGGGAGAGCGGACGGGAACCTTTAGTGGGATATTTTGGAGGATTTGGAAGGTGGCCAATCACAGATCCGCGGGTTGCCGTGGGCAACCGGTGTCGAGGTGGGGACCGTCTGAACAGGCACCCCAGGCCCCAGGCGGTCTGGTCTAAACAAGAGGCGAGCAATGGAGAAGATTTGCATTGACGTTTATGCAAGTTTGATTGGATGGGGTGCTTGCAATGACTTGTGTACAGCCTGGTACTAGTCAGTGCCGGAGCGTCCATCGCGACTGCTCTTCGATGGAAAACAAAAGGAGCGCTTAGCTCGGCACATGTCATGGCGTGTAGAGAATGTATCCTATACTCGGTACGGAGTACCCCGTCTCGCACTTGCCATCAGAGCACCAAGTCAATGTCGTGTCATTGACTACCAGGCAGATGGAGCCATCCAGCTATCCAAATACTTCGCATTAGACGTAGCCTTCTCCCGTGTTGTCCGGAATTAAAGCACAACGTCATTTTACAGCACCGAGGACAACCAGTGATGTGGCTATAATGACAACGTTTCTTTCTCCTGGCCCATCTGCCCCTGCCAAGTGCTACATCGGGGGCCCCTCCAGGGTCAGCGTCACTTCGCACCATCTCCGGCGGTCCGTGGCGCATTTTCTTTTTTCGATTCCCGACTCCTTCTTCCCTGGGCGTTGGATTCTTGTCTTCTTGCTTGTTCCCCTCCCATCGATGCTTTTGTGATGGCACCCGATAGGAGGCGGCCATGGGGAACCGCCCTATCCCTGTGTTCCCTGAGCCTCCTCTTGCTCGTCTTCTGTGGCGTGTCGCACGCTTCCATTGGAGACCGTTCGCCGGCATTCAGGGAGTGTCTTGAGGCATGTCGCCCGTCCATGTCCTCCCCCATACATAGCTAACCGACGGTAGGTCTGCAAAGCCGAAAATTGCGGTCCCGGCAAAGACCATACTCCCATTCGTACGTCCTGAAGCCTTGCTCGGATCACGAAAATACAAGACTTGCACCTGCTAACATGGAAAGGAAAGCCGCCCACCGTCGCCTCCTCCTCTGGGACTGCGCCTCCGAATGTGACTACACATGCCAGCACATTGTCACCGCCCAACGAGTCGCCGCTCGCGAGCCCATTGTCCAATTCCACGGCAAATGGCCCTTCTACCGGTTTCTCGGGATGCAGGAGCCCTTCTCCGTGCTCTTCTCCCTGGGAAACCTCTATGCGCACTGGCATGGCCTCGTCAAAGTCCGCGCTCATATCCCAGCGACGTACAGTCTACGTCCGTTTTACGTGATGCTCGCCCACGTTGGAATCGCCAGCTGGGTCTTCAGTGCCATTTTCCACACACGCGATTTTCAATTCACGGAAGAATTGGACTACTTTGCCGCTGGTGCAAACGTCCTCTACGGATTGTACTACACGCCCATTCGCATCTTCCGAATCGACCGGCCCTCGCCTCGACGGCGATCCGTCCTTCGCGCATGGACGCTGCTGTGCATAATGCTGTATGTATTCCACGTGGCGTACTTGAAAGGTGTGCGGTGGGACTACACGTATAACATGGCGGCCAATGTCGCTGCTGGTATCGTGCAGAATATTCTGTGGAGTTGGTTCAGCGTTACGAGCTTCAAAAAATCAGGGAGCCTCTGGTCGATTGTGCCCGGTGTAGTTGTCGCGTGGGTCATGTTCGCCATGAGTATGGAGCTGTTTGACTTCCCACCCTGGCTGGGGTGTATTGATGCCCATAGTCTGTGGCATTTGCTGACGGTTGGACCTACGATCTTGTGGTACAAGTAAGTCGCGCCCGTCTCGATGTCTCAGGGGCTTGAATTATAGGCTAATAACAGCAAATAGTTTCTTGTTGAAAGATGCTCAAAAAGATATTGCCGGCACGGAGCGGTACAAGGCTTAAGAGCTTGGTGACGAGCATTGCAGACGCCGCCTTGTGTGATCGCAGTCATCAATAATACAGAGAAAGACTGAAAGGGGGTGTCTTCTCTAGATGACGGAGCTGGAAGGCGGTAGTTGCGTTTTAGTTGCATTTCTAATCGGTAACTGGATACTCAAGCATCGTTGATTTCAAACTCGCAATGATGCTATGTCGAATCGTGTCAAAGTAGCTCAAACAGTATCATTCATTACGACTAATAGCACACGTTGCTGTGGTCCGGTTCCGTTTTTCCGCCGTGCAGGCGGTGTAATATCAGCACAGAAGCTGTCCAGAAATCAAGAGAAAAGAAAGAAAAGCTTCTCAACGCGATCTCAACTCAAAACAGGCGAGAGCAAACCAATTCGTATACAAAAGCAAGTGACGGCCAAAGTCAAGTCTAAACCCCCGTCGCCTCCCCGCTGTCGTAGACTCTATAGAATATAGAAAAAGGGGTATCATGTACGCCGACGCCAACAGTACCAACCTTGGTTTCGATTCATTCGCTTGTGAGAATAATAGGGGATGGGGCATCATTAGTCTATTCGATCATTATTTTTCCATGCATGCCCGACTCAGGCAAAAAGATAAAACGATTGGAACGATTTTTCTTCTCTAAGTGCTGAGCAGGTCTCGGACCGACAAGCCCCGGGCGTTGAGGGCGGGATTGGTTCCACGTCTGTCGTTATTCAACATCAACAACGCGGCAGAGGCTTCCTGGTCAAGATCGGACTGCGGGTTCAGGGCCGGGCTTGTGAGCGTCGACCCAGACGCGCTGCTCTGCGCGTAGACGGCGTGCGGCTGGGGTCCAAATGCAGGAGAGGCTCCGGCTGATGTGCTGAAGCTATAGTGTCGCTGGTCAGTAGACACGGACGAATATGACTGCTTTCGGTGCTGAGCATCATCTGGTTGCAGACCGGGTGAGATTGGCGGGTGTGCGTGGTCGGGCTGGGCTGTGAAGAGAGGCGACGCCGTGTCCGAGTCGGACATGTCTACGTCGCCGGAGGGGTCCGCGTGAAACGTTGGATGAAAGTCACGGATCGAAGGCAGTGGGTTGTGTGCGGCCTGTTCCCTGCCCTTGTCGCCATGTTGAGCCTTGAGCTTGGCAACGCAATCTTCAAGGTATCTAACATAATCAATTGAAGCCTGTAAACGACGTGTTAGTGGGTTGGCATTGCGACCGTGGCGGCGCCCGCGTTCCCAGTTGGCCGAACTGACCTGGAGAATGGCGAGCTTGTGCATTTCGCCCGTACAGGCAGGAATCATGCCTTTGAGGACGGCAAACTCTTCATTCATCTTACTGCGACGTCGTCTTTCAATCAGACTGTGGGCAGTTTTCCTGGCAATCTTGCGTCCAGCAGCACTCGTGGCGCTGGGTTGCTTCTTCTTTCCCTGAGCCCCACCAGCATCGGCGGTCGCACTGTTCTTGTTAGCTGCCGTCTTTGCCGCTCCAATGGCTCCCTTGCCTCCGACCTTGCCAGACATGGAGTCTTTCGTCGACGAGACCTCGGTCGCTGCTTCCTCCTGTGCTCGGGGCTTCATTTGGATAATCTTTCGTGATCGAGTGGGTGGAGGAGGGAGAGTAAAGGAGGACTCGTCCTTGGTGTCCTTGGCGGCAGACGATCGACGGCGTGATTTGACCGTCTCGGCAGCCTGTAACGGATATATGGTCCGCGGGGAAGACGAGGTTAGCGTGGCTGGATAAGACGCTGTCCGAGCAGGTGAGGTGTGCTTGGGTTTGGTGGGTGAAATGCGTGAAGCATCATGAATTGCAGGTGGGGGTAATTCAAAAGAAAGATGAATCGATGAGAGCTGCTGGGCGCCATCCTGTCCCTTGATATCTGTGGAAGAGCCAGGGGTTGGCGGAAGGGCCGGTCGAGGCATTGGCGCAGTCGCGTGAGGTCTTTTACACGAGCAGTAGCAATTGACTATTGTTGATGCGGCCAGGCCAACGTTTGCTCTTCTGGGACTGGTAAGCTAGATCACGGACCCAGGTCGGCCAAGTACCGAGCAAGCAGTGCAGCGTTCAAATGATTTGCGTGTACTCCGTACTCCGTACACCTCTCTGAGCCGCTAATGGAAGAAAGGGGCCAGGTCAAGCCACCCGGCTATCTGTCCCTCCGTCTAGGGTGTCGGGGACGCTCAGTCTGTCGTGACTCGGCACACGAGTTCCGCTATGCAATGCCCTCTCGCTGGAGGAGTCGGATTCAGAAAGTGTGTGTCAAGGACTCGAGGTGCTCCGTAAATGCAGGTCCTGCGTGAAGAGACTATGCCCCGATACGCTATTTGCCGAATAGAGTGGATGATATCTCTTTGGATGTCGTGCTGTGCGGCTGTATTTCTTTACCACCACTGCCGCAGGAGGAAGGAGAATATACCCTTGAGTCCTCTTGTTTGTATCCAAATTTCGTCCTCTATAAACGTCTTCTGTCTTTTGTTTTCGTTTTCGTGTCTATTTGGTTCCTCAGCGACGAGACAAAGCAGTGGCCGGAAGTTTGAGTGTCAGGTAGCCAAGGTGCTACACGGTCACGCTCGTGTAAGTGGTGGGAATTGACCAGACAGGAGACCGTGTCCGAAGCCGACCAAAGACGGAGGCAACTGAACGATTGAATAGAACACAAGGAAAGGTGCCAATGCCCGGGGCCCGGGATTCCTGATAAATAATCTCGAGACTGGAATTTGAGGGGGGTTAGGGGAGAGAGAAAGAAGATGGACGGTCTTGAGAATGAGAGAGTGGTGGTTTTCCAAGCAAGACGAGGAAACTGGGCACGGGACAAACCAAAAGATGAAGGCAGGCCACTGGAATATACATACTAAAACCAAAAGGCGCATGCACGCATGCACACATGTACTCATCGAATGTACATACGATGTACATACGTCCCTTCGGCTTCTCCAAGAAACTCACTTGCGTCTAGCGACTGGGCGCGAGGCTCATGGCCCATATGTTCCCCCATTCTTCCCTGACACCCGGGATGCATCATATCCGCCCACCCCGTGGGCAGGACCCAGAAAGCCAGCTGGCCAGCCGGGAAACATTGACACAAATTGCCTACGATTAGACCACTCGTCCACGGTGAGAACCCCCTCAGCATGTTCGTACTTCTCCCACGGGGTCAGGAAATGGCCGGCCACGGGGGACCATCCAAGACGGCCATTGACCAAGCATCATCGAGAAATTGGTCGCGTGCTCTTTGAGCTTGTATATGAAGGCTGACGAATCAGAGCGGCGCATAGGCCCATGTGTCTTCCACATGCACCCGGGATGGGCGAGCCTCCAAGCTTGAAGCGCCTTGGCTGCTCGGAACAGGGTCCAGGCACCGGTGCAGATTGTCGCACAACAAGCGGCGTACCAAGTACCGCCAACTTCTTTCCAAGTTGGGTCGGCATGTTGTAAACCAGACTCCACGCAGCCCGCAAACGTCCATTGGCCCATGGATCCAGCTCAAATCCACGATATCGGTCCAACAGAGAGCTCCGGGGTCTCTGATGGCGTTGGCTTCAGGCATGTCGTGTGAGGTCCTGTTCAGCGAGCACGTGCTCATCCGAAGAAGCTGCAAAGGTTCTGGGGTTCTTGCCGTTCCTGACCTGATGAAAACGGCCACTGACGGAGAGGCTCAACTTGGTGTGGTTGGATTTCAGCACAGCGATCAGAAGAGAATCCGGGCTCAACTGCTGCCGTCTTCTTGCCATGTCGTCGTAGTATGTGTGAATTCTGTTGTATTGGGTAGTTGGTGGCTTCAATGTTGTGCCGGAACACTCTGTGACCCAAGCGCCGCACCATTCAATTACTAAGATTTATCCGAGAAGTTTTGCGTGCGCCACCTCCAAGTGGTGGTGCTTCTTTTGCTCCCTGCGTCTCCGCAATGACGAGTTTTCCTTTGCCATTGAACTTCTCCAGCAGAGGCACCCTACCCTAAATCACGCTGGGTCAACCCTCTTTTATTGAATGTACATGATCCTTTCCGCGCTGCCAGATCCATCAGCACTAACCATTCACTAGCGAATACTCCTCTAATCACGGCCAACCAGGACAGGCCGTCCCAGCAATGGAATACTACCACATAGCAGCCCCGGCAAACCAGCGGACCCTAGCTATTCCGGGGTTATTTGCTCCAGTTCCAAAGCGAAGTCCAGACAAATATAGTCAGAATGCGAACAATAACCAGAAAAAGTGCTCCCAACAAGCCACTGCATTTTTTAAGGATAGTGTTAAGCGGGCTCAAGAGAGGAATCAGAGGTACAAGATCTGGTTGCCCAACACGTTTCCCTAGGCCTTACACTACGTTGCCAATACTAATCGGCTTGTTATGCAGACAAAGTGAGACTGAGAGAAGGCTCCAGGAGCCCAACGTCGGTCAAGAAAAACGAGATCAAATCTGGTTGACTACTGGCCGGAAAGAAGGACAATACTTACGGTTCTTACGGACTAAAGATAAGCCTGAGAACTACCAAACAATTAAGGTCATTGGCAAGGGCGCTTTTGGTGAAGTTAAATTAGTACAAAAAAAGGCAAACGGCCAGGTCTACGCAATGAAATCTCTGATTAAAACAGAGATGCTTCAGAGGGACCAGCTTGCACACGTTCGATCAGAGCGCGACATCTTAGCAGAGGCTGAAAGTCCTTGGGTTGTGAAGCTTTTCACTACTTTCCAGGATGCATATTTTCTTTATATGCTCATGGAATACTTACCTGGTGGTGATTTAATGGCAATGCTCATTAAATATGAGATCTTCTCAGAAGATATAACCCGGTTTTACATGGCAGAATGCATATTAGCTATCGAGGCAGTTCACAAACTGGGCTTTATCCATCGGTATGTTACACCCCCAGATCTACCTTTCTGTCACTGACACCATCTAGAGACATCAAACCAGACAATATCCTCCTAGACCATGGTGGCCATGTTAAATTGACCGACTTTGGCCTCTCTACCGGCTTTAATCGTCTGCATGACAACAGCTACTACCAACAGCTACTGCAGGGAAAGTCCAATAAACCAAGAGACCGAAGCTCAGTTATTGACCAGATTAACCTTACTGTTAGTAATCGGTCGCAGATTAACGAGTGGCGACAGTCGAGGAGATTAATAGCATACTCTGCTGTCGGAACACCTGACTATATTGCGCCTGAGATATTAACCGGCCACGGTTATTCATTTAGCTGCGATTGGTGGTCCCTTGGCACAATTATGTACGAGTGCTTAGTAGGATGGCCTCCATTTTGCGCCGAGGATAATCACGCCACGTACCTAAAGGTTGTGAACTGGATGCAGACTTTGTGTTTTCCCGATGACATTCAGCTTGGTCCAGAAGCTGAAAATTTCATCCGAAGGTGAGCTTCACCATACCCCAGTAGCTGTTCCAGTGCTAACAGCCAAGATTGATCTGCAATCCCGAGGACCGAATTGGGTGTGGCGGGGCGCAAGAACTCAAGGCACATCCTTTCTTTCGGGGAGTCCAGTTTGACAGCCTACGCCGTGTCAGAGCACCATTTGAGCCGCGATTGGCTTCCAGTATCGACACCACGAATTTCCCCACAGATCAGATCGATCAGACCGACATGGCCAGCCGACTTAAGGCCCAGGCACTACAAGGCGCCGAAACGCCGTTGGAGGATTCGCTGGAGATGAGTTTGCCTTTTATCGGATACACCTTCAAGCGGTTCGACACCAATTTCCGTTAATGGGTGTCCGGGATGAGTGCTGGTTCCTCCCCTGTGGTTTGTGCCAGGTTCTGGAGTAATATAATATATTTGTGTTGGCTACATAGACCTCGCCTCCAAGGCATCCAGTCCAGGCCATCTAGACCAAATACCCCCCCAAGTCTTCCCGCTTGAAGGCATCAATCCCCAATCACTGTATCGTTATTACATTGACTCGAGGACCTTGTGGCCTGTGGGGGCCGCCTCTGCCATATATATTGTGAGGAGCAAAGTGACCCATTGCGACACAAAGCTAGTACCAAGCAAACGGTGTATTGGTGTGATAAACTCAACGTAGCGATCTGCACCTGACAGGGTTGTCGGTATAAGTATTATAACCAAATTTCCAACTAAATAAAGGTACTATTTAACCGTTACTGGTCGATTGGCTATTGACCCCTAGAACTGACTCTCCCCAAGGTCCTCGATGAGATACTCGTCATGAGTTACCCCTTGCGACAGCTGTGTCTATCAAGGTTTGGCCAGGTGTGGGCTACAGCGCTCATCCATACAGCTCCCAACAGGCGTACTCGGAAGTATCAGTAGTACACTGGGTGCAGTTCAAGCCGTATAAATAATGGAAAACGCCATGGGGCGCAGTTAGGCGCTAACGGCTTAGGCCATCAGCGATACCAGCTGGGAGGTCGAGTCTTGCTTCAAGCAGAGCTCGTTTGGTGTCTTGAGGAACAGCACACGCTGACACCGTCAATAAAGCAAGTAGCGGGTAGGCTCTCATACTTGGTTTGACTATGCCTAGGAGGTTCTGGGACGGTTTGGGAAAATATCAAGGATAATCCTTGGACTATGACTCTGTGAGTGTAAAAGGAGTCGAGGTCTGGCGAGTGAAGAAGGTAATGAAAGACTTCGGTACGTGACTACGAGAGTGCTTTATAGTTGGAATAGGAAGAGCCTTTCCAGTGATGAAATAACAGGGTGTTGATGATGCAGCCAGTCTCTGCTCTTAACGCGGCCGTTTAGTCTCTCGACTCTGTCCATGCGTCCAAGGGTCCAGGTTTCTGCTCAGCCATACCATACCACTTTATGCTTCATCTAATGAAAATGTTATTCTATACTATCAAAGACAATGTGTTTCATGGTCACTTACGAGGCGTTTATACCAGAGTTATGCCCGGTAGGTCGGGCCACTTGAGCCCTAGTCATGACAGACAAGAAAAGTGTCAGAAATTGACCCCGACATCATCGGCAAGACTGTCTTCGACATCTCTCGCGCATACAAGGGGACCCAGGACAATCGGTCCGCCAGGTCCAGCAAAATAAGAAATAAAGAATACTCGCTAAAGTCGGCCGGACAATGCGTTTTGCAGAGGAAGCGGGCCGGTGTCTGCGATCCAGCCGGATGGAGCGAGGAACCCAAGAAGACGCCGCCCAAGCAGACAGGTCCTGGAGAAGACGACGGCAAGGAAAGGGGAAAGGGAAAGGGCGCAATTACGGGCCAAAAAATCACCGAGAGCAAGTTCCTGCAGTTCCTCGCCGAGCTGGACCCCGAGTTCATTCGCCCCCTTGTTAAGGCCGTCCAGTCTGGAGAAGTCACCGTCTCGGATATTCAGCTAGCCTTTAAGCGCGCCCTCTTGGAAACCATGGAAAAGCGCTGGGCATACTTTAGAAGTGGCGATAAGGCAGCTAAAAGCCTCAAGAATATTATTGTCAACATCTTTGCCACGGCCCGCTACGCAACGCCTCCTGAATTCTGGCAAAATGTTGCCAGGAACTTAACTTGCCTGATATTACGAGAGAATTAGTAAGGGCAAGACCCCTGAGGAAAAGCTAGAAATTGCTAATCAGAATGTAAATGAGGTGGTTAATGTGTGGCCGTACACGCCAGTTGGCGTGCTCAACAAGAACATTATAAAGGAAGCGGTTAATAACGCGCCCCCCATCCAGGCTGTCGCCGTGTCTCTTAATAACCTGTTGTCATACACCCCTATTGGCTGGCTGGTTAATCAGATTGCCCTCGTTGATTCTGGGCTGAGACAGATCAACGTTCGTGATGTGATGCTGACCTTGGGGCAGTAGAGTACGGCGAAGGCTCAGGGGCGAGTAGCTGATGTATGGATCTGATTGATCCGACTTTGTAAAGAAATTTGTCCGCCGTAGATTAGAGGTTCTCTTTACTCCTTTTGGATAATACGCTTTATTCAAGTCGCACTCGACCATGCTCGTGCCCCATGTACCGTCGTCAATGCAGCGGCACTTGTCTAGCCACGTTCCCACAAGACCATCTGCCGACTCGTCTTATCCCATCGATAAACAGGACCCCTCCCGACGTTGTAGTTGTAGTAATTTTCCGTCCCGTCCTTGACCATGGCCCTCCGAAACGTGATGTTTATACGCCCCCCGTCATCCTGGTTTCTGCCCGTCCGCTTGGGAACAGAGTGAAGCCAGTTCGACTGCGTCGCCCCCCTCATGAGAACCATGTCGCCGCTGCCCAGCGCCAACTTGACCCTCCTGGCCTCCGTTGCGGCCGCCGACTCACCGGGCCGGGGGGCCTTGTGCTTCATTACAAAATCCCGCCGGGCACCGAGTGAAAACGAGGCAATCGCCGGCTCTGCGCCGAGAAATCTCTCGTCATCGCTGTGGAAGGATATACTGTCCGCCCCGGAAGCGTAGTAGTTGACGAGGCAAAAGTTGAATTTGCAATTCGTTGCTGCTTCGGTTGATTTGCGGAGGGCATCCAGACACTGCGGGATAGGACGCGGGGGGTAGCGATCGTACCGCTTGTCGTTGGCTTTCATGGTGGATAATTTGTCTGTGACGGCGCCGGCGGCGTCAAAGTACGACGTGTCGTCCAGCCCGAATACCGTTGTCCATCTATCCGCATTAGAGCAACTTTCCATGACGCAGTTTGTGTGCACGTTTGACATGGCCCAGTATATAATATCGTGCTTCAACGCCAGGGGGTACGTGAAATAACTACCGCACTACTTGTCGACTGCCATCCGTAGTATGTACATGGGATACGTACCGAGGTGTGACGATGTGTGTTTGATACCCGCCGCGCTTAATGTCATACTCTACCCTGTAAAAAGGTAGCTCTGACCGTAGGAAGTCGAACATCTGCTTGCCCAGGTATGCTGGGATGTACGGCTCAAAATAGAGCAAGTCCAGGTCTGGCTGGTCGTTGATGCGTCTTCCCGGACGAGCTGGGAGGGACGCCACGTCCCGCACCATCAGGGCCGGCAGGTTGGCTATCGGGAAGGGGTATGCCGGGTGCGCTGAGTGACCAGCCTGGGCCTATTTAGATGCTATCCATGATGGTTCGTGTCGTGTGCATTGTGGCAGACTTACATCCTGATCTGGCTCATTCTCCTTGCGTCGTTTCGGCACCACCGTAAAGAACGCGTCTAGTGTCCGCTTCTGAGCCATGTCCCATAGACCTACAGAAATGTACAAGTTGAGATGATGCAAACGGCCGAGCACAACGCGACACAGAATGTAGCTTCGCATTGGAGTGTTGGATGCAAGTGGTGACATCACACAGCCTCGCCCGAAGTGCCCCACACTTACCCGAGACCGAGTGGTTTTCATCAGCCTCGCTGCCTCACCCCATGTCGCTCACGACCGAGTGAGTTGTTAAAAAAAAAAAACATCATTTCGTCTCATCTCGGTCCGCCTTCTCACCACGGGGTATACCATGGAGGTACGTCAAAATGAGGGGAGATCTCTTTTTTTTCCCATAGGCCCACGCTTTATTCTCATCCCATCGCACTTTTTTCTGCCTATTTTTTTACCCAAGGCGCCAACGTGGGACAAGATTTCTGACTAGATGAACAGACCAAACGCTCGGAACTGGAAATGAACCTTTTCAAACCCCCTGCCGCGGCTCGAGCTGCCAAAACGCTCGACAGGGCTCTGTTCTCACGCACGCTACCCACTGTAGCGGCGAGCGTGCGCGAGAACAAGCTCATCTCCAAGTACAGGATGGAGTTGGGGAAGACAAGGGAGGTGCTGCTGGTGGAAAAGTTTGACCCGATTGCCGCGGATCCGGACGAGGCGTTAGCGGCCCAGGGGAAGAAGTGCCTTATTTTGAGGCCGGATTTGAAAATCTCAGGTATGTTGTCTTTGTTTGTTTATGCGTTTTGGGCTTCATAGGAAAGCTAACACGTTTGCTGTAGCCCCTGAAGCGTGGAGTCCCGTGTTGCAGGAAGCGACCAAGATTGGGGATCTGAAGATTGTCCCATTTGATGTGACGATTGATTATAAGCTGTGGTCATATGGTGAGCTGCCGCTTTTCTCATGTGTCAATCATGGGGCATGCAACTAATCTTGTGTAGTTGACGTTATGAAATCGATAATACCGGAGGAGCTTCAGGACGAGATCCCCGCGAGTTTTAACACCGCAGGGCACGTGGGTACGTATTAACACACGTCTAAAGTTTACTTGATCTCCATTTGACATCTTGAACAGCGCACCTGAACATGAGAGAGCGATATCAGCCCTATAAACACGTCATTGGCCAGGTCATTCTCGATAAGAATCCTGTTATCCGGACAGTTATCAACAAGACTGACGATGTCGGCACCCAGAATGAATTCCGAACCTTCAGCTACGAGGTGCTGGCTGGTCCTGATGACATGCTGGTGGAGGTTAGTGAGGCCGGATGCGTCTTCAGCTTTGACTACTCCAAAGTATACTGGAACTCGAAGCTGAGCGGGGAACATGAACGGATCTGTGCCATGTTCAAGCCTGGGGAGGTGGTTGCCGATGTGATGGCTGGTATCGGACCTTTTGCCGCGCCCGCGGGGAAGAAGGGTGTTTTTGTCTGGGCAAATGATAAGAACCCGGAGAGTTACAAGTATCTCACTGATATTGTCAAGAGGAACAAGGTGAGAGACTTTCTCTGCGGGACGTTGGGAGAATCCAGGCAGGGGCAAGACGTGCAAAGTCAACATCTCAACTGATACGTTATAGGTGACCGAGTTTGTCAAACCCTTCAACGAAGACGGCCACGACTTCATCAAACGAGCCGCAGACCTCGTGCTGGAAGCCTCTCAGCGCGGAGACTGCGCCGTCCTCAAACCCGTCAAAGTGTCTCGCAGCGTACCACCTGGGGAGCGGCCCGAGCCAGTTCGCGTCCCCGTGCCTCCTACCATTGCCCACTATGTCATGAACTTGCCTGCTTCCGCTCTCGAGTTCCTCCATAACTTCAAAGGCTTGTACCACGGGCAGGAAATGCTGTTTACGCCACACACGGACACGAAGCTGCCCTTGATCCATGCGCATTGCTTTGCCGTCAAGGCGGACGATGCGACCCCTCTCGATGATATATGCCAACGCATCCACAGCGAAATTGGTGTCCAGCTGAAGCCGGGTAGTGCGGAAGTGGAAGGAGAAGTAGCTATTCACGAGGTTCGGGATGTCGCCCCCGCAAAGAGGATGTTTTGCGCAAGTTTCCGTCTGCCTCCCGAGGTGGCTTTCTCCCCGCGGGCTTGACAAGGCAACTAAACTTTACATGGACGTCTCCTGCGACGCTGTATCCTGTTAATAAACCCTCCCCGCATAATCATCATGGGAGACAAGAAAAAAAAGGCTCGGCAAGACCCGCCGCTCCCGAAGCAATACCCGGCGAGTGGGTTGTATTCTCTTGCTTTATATCGACAACCTCTTATACATGCTCGCGCGGGTGGTGGTGGCATCGGACACTAAGGCCGTTTTCAGTTGCCAGCATATCTGTCGAGTCCGTTTGTCCTGAATCGACGGCTTACAGCTTCCAAAGATCTGTCCCAATGGTGATTCTTGCTTAGCTAGGACTACACCCCGCCCTACTAAGAAGAGACGCCTGTTTCAGGATAATGCAATATGAGAGTAAACGACGACAATGTTACGCAGTTCAGTTAGCGTGAGGCTTGGAGGCTTGCTGAACAGTCATAGCAACAAGAAGAAGAATGAGATATTGCGGGGTATGTGTACGCATGTGTGACTGGGATAACATCCAAGTCTCAATCGAGTGTGCCGAGGCTACTCCAACTACCTAGGTAGTCATCTCTCCTTTATCCCCCCTGTTTTGATGTAGCTTCTGCCATTCCATGGAGAATACCGGAAGCAGAATCGGTGTGCCTAAACGTGGCAGCAAGAGGGTGTGGTCGGGAAGCAAAATGGCTAAGCAGGGATGTACACGGCCGGCCTGGCCAAAAGCGTTTATATCAATCCAATCAGACCCCGAATGGAAGCTTGACCGGTTGTGAATGCATGCGGCCAGGCCCACGGCTGTTGTGTAACAGCTACCTCTTGAGTGAAAGAGCATTCGCAGCCACTACTTGGACAAGTGTCTCGGAAACCGTTCGTGGCTGGCAGCCATCATGTATGTTGAAGTTTGTGGAAAGAGGTGACAAGACAAACACATCATCATCAACCAGGCGGAATGCGTGATACCATCAGGAACCTTTGTGAGCTGGCTCGTCGTTTGATGCCTGCGCAGAGGCGGCCACAGCCAGGCCATTCTTGCAACCACCAGGGTGCCCGTCATAAACGAGTTTGTTGCACATGGAGTGTTTCTCACATATAAAGTGCTCTGTTCCTGATGCCAGTATTAGAACGGAATGCGGGCCTGTGTTTGATTTGACGTGATGAAGCTCCTCTGGCTCCCCACCACGATGCTTGGCCTGCAGGAAGAGTGATTGGCCCATCAAGGGTTTTAAAGAGGTTGCATTGATCCTTGAATTGTGCTGCTCGCTGTGCTGTCGATATTCTAGCTCCGGCACCGATATATGTATGTGCAACAGAACAGAGTCCCGGTGCCATATGCCTTCCCCTAGCCTCCCTGCTGTGCCTGGTGCAATTGCATGTTCGGATTTGATAACTAGTCCAGTCCCATGAGCAATAGACCGGTCCACGAGTCCTCGGCGTGTAATTGATCCCTGAAGGATGGCCCACTGCGGATCTCGATGAGGCTGGAAATCACAGGGGGCGTTGTCAACACACGGCCCGTCAAGCGTTGAAGTGAACTCTGAAGCCCTGATTTGGCTCGTGAGTGGAGAAGTACTAGTCGTCGTCCGTTTTAATTTAGAAACAAATAAAAGCTCCTTTCTGAACCGCTAGGTGCGCACCAGAAAACTACTCTGTCGACTGCATCTTTTGTCTTGGAGTGGCTGCCCAGGCCGGCAACACCATCATTTCTCTCACCACTGACACCGCCTCTTGGAGTTTTGTCCCAACGTACGTTGCAACTTTGTGAGTTTGCTCACAGCGAACCAGCCTATGATTATTCGGTCTTGAGATCTAGGTGGATCCGTGGAGTTCGGCCATAATGGCATGTACGGAGCACGCCATTTAGTATTATGATTCAAAGACCTGCAGAGCCGTTGGACTGGTTATCAGATATGTCAGGCTCGGATACGCGGCACTCTCGCTTTCCAAGAAGATGGTACTGCAGCGTGACAAAAAGGCTACAACGGTGCTGGCCAACGTAGCCTGGACCATTTAGTGAATTGGACTCTCCACCACACCATGGAGAGAAATTTCTTCTTGGCCGAGCAAAGTGCTTCTCTTTGGTCGGTGGTGGTGACGGCTAAGCCCAGTAAACAAGCTCCTTGGCTCTCTAGCGTTTTCGGTCCGCGCCACCGCGGCCGGGAGGTGACACGACGAGGAGATACCAAATGCCACAACTCAGCGGCACGGAGTATTGACAGTGGTTGAGTGGGTGTACATCGGGATGATCCTCTGGATGGTTGGTTACACCGTCCGCGAGAAAGTGGGGTTAAGCCGAGTTAATATCTGGTCTTATCGGTTTGCTATCAGCTTATCATCATGATGTTGTGTGGAGGTTTTCCATGAGCGAAATATATGGCAGCCGAACAACAAGATGTGACTCTTTCTTTCTCGGAAACAGACGCGACTTGATGGCACACTGTCCTTCAGTGAGCCTTGACTTCATAATATCAACCGATTGCAGCGGGCACTAAGTTGCACCCAATACCAAACCTATTTCAACAGACAACAGGCTTTCCCCGAGGATACCCAGGCACGTAGCCTCCTTGCGATTAATCTCCTGGTTTTCGAAGTACGTAGAATTAATTTGATGTACAACCCCAAATTGCCGTAACTTCGTTTAGAATATTCGTGCGGAATGGCGCTTACCAAGTTGTCCCCTGGGAAGTTGACGCAGAAGTTTTTCTTGAGGGAGGCTGGCCAGCAAATACATTGGCAATACACTCCGTGGAAACGCAAGATCCTGCAACAGAAGTGAACAGCCACAGGGTGTAAGCCATTTCGAAGATCGACGACGAGGGCGACGCCCAGTCTTCAAGCTGGTTACGGAATAGTTCTTATCTGAAGCGCATGCGGCGTACTCTCCAGATTCTTTCCCCCATGCTGCAGGAAGGACCCTTGAAGGCGTTTTCGAATCGCATCAAGCCAACATCATCAAGAAGTCCATGGAGAGCTTCAGTTACCCTGTGCCTCGCATCATGGGCTGTGTCCATGCATCTTGAGATCACTACCAATCATCGCCTGTGGGTTTAGACTCCAGTCGCCACGGACGGTGGCTGCAGGTCGCCCGCATCGCGTTGACAATGCCTGATGTTCCGCCGCCACGTCGGCTAGTCCATCTATTTCTTGGTAATTGAGGGGTTGTATACCAAATTTTAGCAATAACAAAGCTGCACCGCTCGGAAACGTGGGCCCATAGTCGTCAATAGTCATCGTAGAATTGTATGTGGCCTAGCCCTCGACTCAGAGGATGAAATGAATGCAGAGAGCTATACACGGTGTGTTTTAATGAAACTTGAGCTAGAACTTGCCGTGTTGTGGTATATGCGTATTGTTCAGTTGCGCATCTTGCTTCATGTGTTGCTGAGTTTGTATCCAAAGCCCTCGAGGAGATGGTGCATCAACCGAGAGACAGACCCCCGGGGTCGCCAATTCGGTGTATGGGAAATTGTCCTGGGCAGAAACCGTGCCCTTTACCACAATGGGATTTCTATGCATCCTAGATGTCTTTTGTTCCGAATAACCGACCATGCTGTCGAACCATCACTACGCGCAGAATGGCCATGATCAAAAAGCATGGGCGGGATAAACCGGGGCTGTGGCCAGTTCGTGTTTGAAGATCATCAGTTGATGGACAGCTAACCCGCGCGAGTCTGCATGACAAGGCGAGGTTAGAGACACCTACGTGCCAACCTGCTGTCCTAATAGTATCAATAGTGATCACAAAGCTCATGATCTCGACTGATACCTTCATCCGAGGTCGTCTGTGGCGATGTAGGCGTACCATATATCAGTCACAGTGATAGCTCAGATGGCTATCATGGAGGCCTATGGCACGGTGCATATGACTCCATCGTATTCTCTGAATGATAAGGGTTATATTGAAGTGAGATACGCACCTACTTTGGTGAGTGAAGTTCAAGGGGCAAGCATAGAGATTTCTCACACTGTTTCTGCCAGCAAGAAACCGAGCTGTCTTCTCTAAAAGTAACTGGAAAGCCCATTACACATTTATGACGTTGGCCGGTCTTGGAAGTCTAGCGACGATAACTGGAGGGGAAACGATGGCACAGAAGGCTTACGCACTAAACGTCGGACCGCACAACCACTCAAGGTCGACCATCGTAATTGATCTTCCTACGGTTGACTGGGCGGCTTCTTAAGGGCCGATGAGGGGAGTTCGCTGTGCTAACTCAGCCGTTGAAGAAACGGACCAAGCCAGGCCTCCATAAAAAAAATCACCGCACAAAACAAGACAGCCTACGACGGCCTGATGCTGTGCCGGCGATGCGATAGCTCATCCGTACTTGCATCACTCAGAGCTTGTCGGTCCGGTAAGATCAGCGTCGTGTTCGCTTGCACGGTATAACCAACTTGAAAAGGTGCCTTAAAGGCATTCAATTCGATGCATCGTTTTTGGATGGCTTGACACAACCAAGGCGGGCTCAGCCTCTAGAAGAGCCGAGCGCCGGGAGATAGTTGGCTGGATGGCTTTTTGCACCGAAGACACCGCCCACGACGCAGGGCCACACAATGCAAATTGTCGAGAGAGTTTCGGGTCGGCAGACCACCCTCCTCCCGGCCGGTGATATCGCGGCTGGACCGCGAATTGGCGAATTGGAATGTGGCCAGGCACTCCACATCGCGCTCAGAATTGACAGCGGCCCAGCCAGGATTTTGACCACTTGAACGTCCTGTTTCTGCAGTCCGTCGTCGGTCGAAGCGTCCCCAAGAAATTTCTTTCACTGTGAAGCTCCACACCCTTCCGGCCGTGAGCCGCAAGGTCCACAAGCTCATTCTGACCCGCCGGGCGGCCGATGGTTCGAGGTTCCATTTGTGGATTTCTTTGACGGGCTGAGCAGTTGGGGTTTTGAATTTCGCCGAGAACGCGAGTAAGCAATGCATTGATGAATTCTGAATCCGTGTTTAACTTGCGATACGCCGGGGAAGAATGGCATATGACGGGAGACGACCATTCGAGCTGTTCGAAAATGAAAAGAAAAGCAAATCTGGGGAAAGAATGCCCAAGTTTTGTGCTTCATACTTACGGAGTAGAAACTACCTAGGTACCTAGTAGTCAACCCCGCAAACCAGTTGCTCCAGAGGCAGGCGTGCCTCTCCAGAGTAGTTTCCACTTTTCGACCTAACTGTACATGGTACGGAAGACATCACACAAAATACAATTTTGACTGTTCTGGTGCCATTCATCCACTAGATAACGTTACTTGGGCTTTTGAAGGCGCCTGCGTGAGAGCTGATTCCTCAACACCCGGCCAACAGCGTTGCCGGAGGCTTCACATTATTCCCTCTAGCCGAATTATCTTCCTCGCAGATTCAATGCCCCGAGTCTTTGCCACCTCACCGTACCCTCCCGGTACATTTTCTTCCCATCGGCCATGGAAGATGGCTCAATGCGCCAAGCTGTTATGAGGTGGCCAGAAAAATTTTAGTCCCCTGTTTTATGTTTTTCCTTTTTCTTTTTGAGCCATTCGACCTTGGGGTGTTTCTAGTTCGTCGAGAGAATTAGCCGTGGTTGATTATGCCCGTCAAACCTCCACCTGTTAAACGGCCAAGAAGGGCCCAGCCACCAGGTAATAATCCCAGTTTCATTGGACCGTCTAGTAGTACTATTACAGTCATCGACAGTCGGCTATGCCAAGCGTCCGGTAGGGCCTGGCAAATTTTGGCAGCCGACGGAGAATCGCAGGTGACTGGACACTATGTACAACTTTCAGTTGCTACTGTGGCTAACAAGTGCTAGGCGTCGCACAATCACATCCATGTTCACAGCCATTTTCGAGGCGGGTGTAGAATCAGGCGGACCTATGGAATTGTTGCATCGAGACACGTCGCCATCCAGATTCGGGCCTCTAGGAAGACACCAAAGACATGCTAAAGCCATTAGTACATACATACAGAATAACGCAGATAACAAAATTTCATCATCTCAATCACACCATCAACCCGACGTATGCACTGTTGCCACCAACAGAGATAAGCTAGTCTCATACCAGCCACTGGGTAACCCCCGTGGCTCATCCATCGGATTCAATCCCGTCCATCCTGAATTGATCCCCTGTGGCCCCCTTGTGCGCCCCTGTGCGCCCCTGTCGAGACTCACTACCAGTGGCTGACAGCCTCGTGGTACCCCTCGGTCGGCCCCTGCCAGTCCCACGACGTTTGCATTGGCTAACATGAATATCGAGTTGATGAACTATTGGTGTAATACAAAGTGCTAGGAGTACCCACGACAAGACAAGACAGCAAGGCACCGTACGACAAGCAACCCATGATCTGACAGCATCGGCGGGACTGCATTGTGGGGATTTTGGAAGTCTATCTTGCAAACACAGTATAGAGTAGCCTGTGTACAAGCGAAGCATCCAAGCAAAACCTGCGTATCTTGCGGGCGCCGTACGTACTGGGCTGGGCTTGGGGAAAGGAGTGAAATGTATCTGGAAGCTGAAAGCCAAGCTACTCCTGTTTCACTCGAAGTATTACGCCTCGAATTAGTTTACCAGGGCTAGCTTGTTGTTCCGATACCTTTGCTCCCGGCCAAGCCGTGGACAATCTTGGTGATAGAGATGGTATAGATACTCTGTTGCGCGAGATGGAGAAGATCCATTGATGGCTTGACGACGGGCGTCAGCTCACCCCGCTACGCAGAATAAAGTTGAGAAGACTAGGTTTATTTTTCCGAATCTGGATGGAGACATTTTGGCGTCTTCCTCCCTCCACAGATGGCTGAGAATTGGTCGCTAGGGCCTGCCCTCGAGTGAGGTGCCAAGTGCAATTCCGGATGAGATGGTCCTCGCCGAAGAAGGCAGGTTCAAGAGAGGTCAGAGGAAACCCTGCACGCGGGATAACCGGGCATTGTCCGTACGAGTCTACGACAGACCCCGTACAGCCTTCCACCCCGTATATATGTGATGGAAGGCAACGGGGCTAGCTGACAGTTTGGCAGTTTGGGCCGGGGCGATGACAAGATGACCGCAATCGTGATGCCGGGTCTCGACTGGCCTGCGCGGCTGTATGCCGAACCCGCAAAACCATGCCTCGATGCCTCCACGGTGTAGTATCTCCATGTACGGAGGACTCCGTAGTAGTAGCGGTATTAACTTACTAGTAGTATTAGTGTCGAGGTGCAGTCCAAGCGGCGATCTGCTGCTGGACTGGCCACCCGCTTTTTGAGGTGAAAAGCAACGACTACCTAGGTAGTTAGCCAACCGCAGGGAGACGGACGAGGGACGATGGACGAGAGACTATCTGAAATGTGTCATGGAGGAGTGTGCGTAGGTGGTTCGGTGTGTGTGGTGGGAGTCTGGCTATCTAAGATGTTGTTGCTTGTCATCTCAGTGGACTGGCTTGCTTTGGTCTGCATGCAATCGGCAGCCTCGATGCCGAGTTCGAGTTTGGGGTAGTTGGAAGTCCTAGGTACCTGGGTATTTGAGTACAGAGACTTTGGAATCTAGGGAGATGCGGGCGTGGAGCCGGGTACTGGGACTTCTAACACTACTCCGTAGCGTTCTCGTAGAAGGTGGGAACTGGCATTAATTCAATCTGGCTGGGAGCATCTGGACGTGCAGACGCAAACTCCCAAACTCCAGTGGCCCCCTGGGCCTAGACCAAAGCGCTGAGACCGGACCCCGTAGTAGTACTTTGCGACAGAGTGCTGAGAGTGACGGGGAGTAAGTACCTCTCGGCGCTCATGTACCCTGTACGGCCGCCGCCCCGAGTCCGTGTGGATGCGCGCATGTCACTGGTTCGAGGCGGCATTGCAATGCCCGTTCAAGCCATGGCAAGCCATTCTTGCCAACCCATTGCCCTGAAGTCGGCGTCGTTTTCGTCCCACTTGGATCGATGACAAGCCCCTCGAGAAATGACACTGCGAACCTTGGGAACTCGACCCCAGACGGAGACGCGGGCACGGCCATGCTTGTCTCATAAGTCACAACTCCCCATCCTTATGTTCCTTTGACTCTTTTATCCTGAACGCTCTGCTTCTCGCCGTCACCCTTCCTCCCTCACCGTTCGCTTCGCAGAGCCAAAACCTAAGTTTGCCTTCGGCCACGCACCCACGCACCCACCCACACTCACTCACTCACTCACTCCTTTCCTCACTCACTCTTTCACTCACCCACGCACTCTCACCTCTTGGCTGCTTGGCTCAACTAGCCTGGCCCTTTGCCGGCGCGTCCCCACGTACTCAAGTACTTAATACGGGCCAGGACAGGGTACCGGGCTTCAGACTTGCTCCCCGTGCTGCGCAGGCTCGCGCCATCGGCCATTCCATCCAGACCATCGATGGTCGACTTCAAACTCTGCACCCTCGCACCCTCCTTCGTGTCCGCCATTGGGTCACTCGCTCACCGCATCACCATTCGCACACTGGCGCACAGGATCAAATTCGCCTTCTGCACGCCGGCCGGCGGTTCCATATCCCACGCCCGTTTTCGCCGTTGGCTGCTCCAGTGACTGTCTGGTTGCATTGTGGGCGTGCGCCGCCATCTGCCGTCTCTTATCAGCAAGGATTGTGTTCTGCATTCGACGTCGGACCGCTTCTGCAGCCCACCTCAACGTTATCTCCAGACGACGCTGACTGCAGCAAACGCCTTCGCTTTGTCGTCGAACTACATAACGAACACTTCCAAATCGGGACCTGCACCATCGAACCACATCCGCATCTCATCTGGACTATTTCACTCGTCGTCGGCGGCATCCATGACTTGCTGATTCTGCCCGCAAACCAAGTCCTCTGCGGCGTCTCTCTTGCGTCTGCAACCCGCCAGGCACCGCTGCCTCTCGTCACAATGGCCGCTGTCCTCTCCTCCGAGGAGAGCAGCTACTTCTCGTCCTCGTCGCTGCGTCGCTCACAATCGCAGACGAATTTAGGGCACAGCTCGTCGTCGTTTCGGTCAACGCCCACGCCGCAAATGTCCGCCCCCTTCAACCCGCCATCCAAAGCCTATACCGATTCCGACCTTTCCTCAGCGCCCTCGTCTCCTCCCGCCATCCAAGCCGAATCCACCGACGTCTCTTTCTCCTCAACTCCTGCGAGCAACCTGTCAATATCTTCCGACTTTGACGAAACCTTGGGGATCGACGAGAGTCCGGAAGACCACTTCAGCCTACCTCTGCTCTCGCAAGAAAAGTTCTTTCTGCAGCCCGATTTCCAGCACGATGACAACCTGGAACCACCCCCGAGCCCAAGGACGGGTCATTCATACACAGTCTCTCCCGCTGAGCCCGAGGTTTCTGTTGCCACATCGGGTCCGGACACGCCCGACGTGACCGAGCATGCTGAAGATGACACGGCAGTGTCAAGCAGGCCGTCCCGGCAAGTGGACTACCTATCCCATGATTGGAAAGAGGAAGACATCTGGTCATCTTGGAGGTACATCATCTCCAAAAGAGGCGAATTCGCCAACAGTGCTAGATTGGAAAACGCCTCTTGGAGGACTTGGATGAAGGCTAGGAACAATCTCAAGACCATCTCACCCGAGGAACTGAACTGGTGTGTATTAAATTAAACCCCCCTCGCCCTCCCCAGATTGTTTCTGCGCGCTAAACAGCGGCGTATTACAGGCTCAAAGATTGTGACGTTACTTGGCTTTATGGGCCTCTGCAGTGCGGTCCCAAGAATGTGAACCCAACAGGCACAGAACCGTCAAGTTTGACTCTATCAAAAACGGACTCACTGGTCAATCTAAACAAAAAGCCTATCCTCAAGAAGAGGAGCATGTCCGAAGTCATGCTGCAAAGGTCTCTTGTGTCTGCATCCTTGTTGAAACAGGCTACAGCGGCAGTTCAGGCTCAAGAAACCCGAGGTGTCTTGAAATATGGCACAGACAAGTCCAACGCGGAGTACTATGTTGCCTACCCTCTTTCTGTCCGAAGGGGAAGTCAAGGTACCAGCAGCTCCATTGCAGCCTCCACCGACTCGTCAAATATTTCCTCCCCTTTCCCGGAGCGAAAACACATTCATTTTAATGAACAGGTAGAGCAGTGTATCGCTGTTGATGTCAAGGACGATGAGGAGGAGGACTATGCCCATGATGTTGGCGAAGACAGCGACTCCGACGATGGTGGCGTCATGATGAAGCGAGTCAAACCTAAGAGGCGTGCCCCTTCATCCAAGAAGCGGAACAAGAAGCCTACCAATGCCGAAGGCAAGATCATTGCCAAACTGCCATCGACTACGCTCAAATATCGAAGCGACACACCAGAACCGCGAGAAACCGCCATGAAGCATAGCACAGGTGTCTACCGGAGCCCGTTGATATCGCCCTCGTCTTCTCAGGAAACCCTTCGACCCGCGAAGCAGTCATCGAGGTTCTTTTTTGGAGAGAAAGACGATGATGACGACGATAATGGCTTTAGCGACGCAACTTTGGCTGCTAGCTCGGGCTGGCGATCTCCACCCGGGGGTGCAGTCGGTGGCGGCATTCACCGGTCGTCTTCTTCGGGGAGTCTGACTGACGAGCCAGCCGGCATGCGCCGCACTGCCTCGGGCATGTTCATGCCTTGTGAGGAGGGAGAAGCCTCGAACGGCGATGGCCTTTTAGGTCGGGTTATCGAAACCGTCAACACTGCGCGGGATATTGCGCATGTGATTTGGAATGTTGGATGGAGGAAATGAGGTAAAAGGACATTTTGCAGTCTGAGATGATGTCTACCGGAACCGATGGCATCTGAGAAATGGGGAAACCAAGCACGACTTTCCATCCTTGTTGGTCACAGACCACTGATCCCTAAACCAGCGAACTTGAAACCGATACCCCCCTCGAAAGCCCCTACGATGATTCCAACTATTTCTTTTAATTACTCGAAAAAAGCCATGTCTGGTGGCCGGGCCTACTCTCAGCAGCGTAATCTCGATCGGGGGACGGATATTAACTACGCGCATTGAGAGCCATTGCACTCCATGGGTGACCACTAGACATTCCTGCTCTGCCGAGGCGACTCGGCCTCACGTTACGCCGATAATGACTACTCATACGTTTCTGCTTATTTTTCTGGCTACAAGAACATCTATACACGATTCTTTGTTGATACGACTTGTTTTTATTAGACATTATTCTTCTGTCCCTTCTCGACGCAGCTTCATTCCTCATTTCTTTTTTTCTTTTTTGCCCCGCTACTTTTCGTCTCTCCTTGGATCCACTAGATCAATCATATGGGCAAGCAAGCAAACATGTGTCAAAAATGGGGGCAACAAGACAAAACTCGGGTTCATGGATCAAGACCGGGTTCAACAGCACTGGCCGGCGTTTGCTTCTGTTATTTGGTTATTTGGGGCTTTTCGTGAATCTGGCAAAAGACGAGAGGCCTTGTCTTTTTTTACTTGTTGGGACACGGCCATCATTCCTTTTCTTTCTTTCTTCTTTTTTTCTCGTTCTTTCTTTCCCCCCTACTGTGTGGATGGGGGGCCATGGCGAGGGCATGTATGAAAAGGACGCATTGTTTTGGGGCGTGAGGCATCATGGATGGCGAAAAATATAGGATGAGGTGTAAATTAGTGCATACTACGTTTGAAGCGAATTCAATGCGTGCCATGAGGTATCGTGGAAGATGACGTGTTGGTGTCGGCACGTCGCCGCAAGTGATGATCCGAGTCCGCTTTCACCAGGCAGACGCTTGTTGCGTGAATGTGCCGAATGGGCTGGCTTGTTCTCGAGGGTGCACATGACGGGGTGTGCATCACGAGACCATTGTGCTTGTAGGTAGGAGTCGAGTACGTGGATACCCAAGCACTTGAGTACCTAGTACCTACCTACCTTAGGTAGTACCTACTCCGTACTTGAGGAAGTATCAATGTACTTGAAGGTTGGATCTTGCTATTGTGCCTCTAAGTGTGGATTGCTCGGCGGGCTTGCTCTTTTTGCTAGGCACGCTCACGCGCTATCAAGTACCTGGTTATCAGGTATTATATCAATATATATTAGTCTATATTAGCACAATTATATCAACGTATTCCGCATGCCAGGTACGAAGTACTCGAGCATGCAGGCACCAGTACGACTACCTATAAGTACCAGACGGCAGAGGGAGTCGGTACCAGCCAGGCATCAGGGGCTCAAACAAGCAACACTCAGTGAAAGACCAAACAAAACCCCCTGTGACGTATTCAGCACCGCGACCCCAACAATTTCCGTCGGGGTAGTGGTCTCGTGAACTGCTTTTTTTTCCCTTTCATCTCGGCAGGCGGAGCAGCGTGCTCATTGGGCGAGTGGCCCGTCTGCTGGGGACCAAGAAAAAAAAAGAAAGGAACCTGGGGTACACAGCACTGCCATGTACGTACAGAGTACAAAGGGGCAAAAGAAGGGAAAACGTGGCCGGGAAATGAGAGCAGGGCTGCCGGTGCAGGTGCAACCCTTTGGTGGCGGGTGGGTGGACGACTCACTCGACTTGTGAGGCATCGTCAGCCGACGAGCACCAGTTGAGACCTGGACGGATCCTTTGTCTGGGGTATTGTGGGGTTGTCCAGGGATTTGGGCCAGACTGTGCGGGGAGGAGAGGGCAAGTGCCGAGGCGGTCGATGCTTTCAATGTTGCAGGGAGGCAACATTCGTGAGGTCATCTTCGGACATGGACATGTAGGCCGACCGACATGGAGGTGGTAGACGAGCCCGGCACCGTCTTCCTTTGAAGTTGGCAGCCCTTCTTGGCTTATTATTGTTCCTTGGGGGAGGCGCCGAGGGCTCGCATGAATTGATGAGGCGCTCTGCACCATCTCTGGCCAGGGCGTTGGCATCAAGACTGGACTTTGGGTGCTGCAGCAGACGGGCCTGGTGGAAGAGCAGCCGCCGCGTATGTATACCATTGTCATATGGCGGTTTACAAGAGGACATAGGGGCACGCGTTTTATGACGTAGAATACGGTTGTTTACGACAACTATGAAAGCTAGTGAGTACCCACCGCATGTTATCATGGCTGTCATTAGTGCCCAGTGAGAACGGGATGCCTGATAATCCAAAAGTCTGTGATTGGTTTACCACTTCAAGGCTCTTTTGCTTGGTCCAGGACAGTTGCGTTGGGAACACCCTTGTCAAAGACAACAAGGGCAGCGACGGTAGAGAGGCGATGTAGGGCTGTGAAGTAAGATGAGTGCGGTACGTGTACATTCGGATTGGTGGCAATGTTGCTTAGGTATCGGTACCCCGAGCAATAGGGTTTGCCGTTACCATTTCTCAACGGAGTGAATCTTGTTTGGCATTGGCAGCAGGACCAGTACTGGCATGAGGACATAGCATCTAGTGCCATTGCCATCGTGGCACATCAGCCTGTATGTATAGCATCAGTTGACACTGAATTACACGGAACTAATGCCAAGGTTGGTTTCTCCTACAACCCCAGCTACTGAAGCATTGCTAGAGTCAAGAGGATGCTGGCTGCCGAGGTATCTCAGTGCTTTAACCAGAATTTGTCTCGAGTGCACATTTACATCTGCCAGCTCGACTTCAAACTCATCGCCAACGCGAATGTCTTTGACGAGGCGGCAGCCGTTCAATCCAGAAACATCCATGGTGGCGCTCAGGTCAAACATATCCAGGTGGCCTAGTAGCCCCTGACGCCAGCGTGAACTGACAGTGAAGCGAAGCGTGCGTGGCGCCTTGTCTTCGAAGCGCCACGCTCGAACGAGCGCAATGAGAATCCAGTCCAATGTGCCGCGTGACACCGTCTTGGCCATTTTTTCCCGCATGTGTAGAAGTGGGAGTGTGCTGCTCAGCGACGTGGTCGTGAATGGGAGAATGCCATCCAACACGTCAGTTGTTGCATCAATTCGTCGCTGCATCTTGCTTTCAAAGGCTAGCGCTGCGTGTATTTGCCAGTGCACAAGAAGATCTGAGAATCGGCGCAGCGGTGACGTTGCCTTGGTGTACATGTCTAGTCCTAGGAGGAAATATGGTCCAGGTTCCGATGAAATCTGGATTCCTCCCGTCAGCCTTGATAGCTCTTGCCGATGAGTGGCTGATGGCTCGACGCCTTGATAGATCAAAGGATAAATCTCCCTCGTCGCAAAGTCGAATGCTGCCTGGAAATTTTCTGCCGACTTGGCATCCTTGCGATATGGAATCGGAATGCCGCGGTCGGAACACCATCGTGCCGCAACTTCTCCTGCGAGAACCATCGTGTTGGACACGACGGAGCAACCAGTAAATCTTTCGATGCCGACTTTAATGTACGGGTCTGGCGGGAATAAAGTAGCCCCCTGGATAGCCCCAACTTCCGGTATTGCGTCGTGAAAAGACACTTGAACCGAGGGTCGCGGGAAAAAGTATGGCCATGCCCCTTTGGATAACCTTCTTTGTTTCATTGATTCGGCAAGACGATAGAGAGTCAGGATGTCCTCCTTGCTTCTTGAGTCCAAGTCTTGTACAGTTGTCATATTACGCTCAGAAGTTGCTGCTGTAGCGTCCGGGGGTGTTCCGACTTCGAAGCTGTAGCCTGTAACTGACGGTGGTGTTTGCTCTCCGCAAAACTCGGCTACATCTTCGGGATCCAAATACGTGACTTCTTCTAATGTGCTGGGTTCAACTTGGTAATCAAGAACATCGCCGGCTTCATTGACTTTTGCGCTAAAGGTCAGCGCCGGACAGCCAGGTCGAAGTGAGTACTGCTTGACCAAGCTCTCTGACTTGTAGTCCTTGGAATCATCCTCCCCCAACTCTGAGGGCAGCATTGCCTGGAAGTGGCCCGGGAGGTAGATGTTCTCTGGAATCAGTTCCATGAACCCCCCCAATGCCGAGTTGGGTTGAATGGCTGAGGCAGGGTCTGCGGCGTGCACATGAATCCAGAATTCGCCAGGCTGATCAGTGTGCTCCAGTGAAACACCATCATCGATGATCATTGTGGATGGCGCATCGATGCAAAATATTGGTGACCCGGCCCGCAGCTTTCTGTTACCTTCTGCAATATCAGGCCGTGTAGACTTGAGCAGATTTTTGGGTTCCGGGCGGCTAATCCCACCGCCTCTGGCAATGGTGGTTCCTGGAAAACGAACTCTGTATCGGGAAGGAATTTCCCATGGCGCTATAACCCCAATTTCCTGAAGAAAGGTCCAAGCAGTACTCTGGTCGAGGGTGGCATCATCATAGAGCCTTAGTGACCGAAGAATGAGTGCGCCATATGAATGAAATCGGGATCCAGCGCCGAACAGGTCATAGCTTGCCCACCACTCTAGGAATGAAATCACGTCTTTACTAACAGAGGACCAGTCCACCTTGGGTAGCGTCACGCTGGGTGATGTTTTCAATATACCATGAGGAGTCCATTCCCGCGTCTGGCGGCTATAAGAAACAGCCTCTCTTGCTTGGATGATAAATCTTCCCAGAGCGATCTCCTCCAATTCACTGTCTTTGAGTGGCCGCAGTTTCTTGGCACTCGAGTCTGTGTATTCGCGTACCCAGGCTGCAATTTTCATCATGGTTTGTGCGTGGTTTTGGGGAAACACCTCGAACAAGTGGTCACGCCGGTGACAGTCTGCCGAGGGGCTCAATGGACTGAATGCGATATCATTGCGAGACAATGCCGTATGTACAGCGTACAAGGCCGGAGGGGGGAAGCCATCTTCCCCTTTCAAATTTTCCGGGAGTAGCATGTCTGCAATTTCGAACAGGCTGAGATACTTGACATCTC